TATTAGATACTAAGTTACATGGTATACATACGAAGTCACATGGTATACATGCAAGTGACACAGTATACATATGGTGACCCAGCACCCCTCCGCCTGGCGCCTTTCAGCACAGGCATCTGTCGCCTGACATACCTTTGAACTTTCACCGGACATGTTGGTGGATCTGTGAGAGTGAACAATAACAGTGTCAAGAATCTGCGACACACCTAACATCACATGGGACTGACGCGTTCACACGCCAAGACGCAATAACGGGACTGACGCGCGCAGACGCAATAACGGGACTGACGCGCGCAGACGCAATAACGGGACTGGCCCGTGCACACAGACGCAATAACGGGACTGACGCGCGCACACAGACGCAATAACGGGACTGACGCGCGCACACAGACGCAATACGCGCGCGCACAGGGACTGACGCGCGCACACAGACGCAATAACGGGACTGACGCGCGCACGCAGACGCAATAACGGGACTGACGCGCGCACGCAGACGCAATAACGGGACTGACGCGCGCACGCAGACGCAATAACGGGACTGACGCGCGCACACAGACGCAATAACGGGACTGACGCGCGCACACAGACGCAATAACGGGACTGACGCGCGCACACAGACGCAATAACGGGTCTGACGCGCGCACACAGACGCAATAACGGGTCTGACGCGCGCGCGCACACAGACGCAATAAGAAGATTGACGCACGCGCGCACACAGACACAATAACTAGTCTGACGCGCGCGCGCACACAATAAGGGGACTGACGCGCTCCCACACTTATTGTTCCTATCGGGAACAATCAGCAGGCCTATCTAAATGATGTAATATAAAAAGCCTACCGACTTGTAAACAAAGAGAGACGGAGAGAGATATTAACAATAAACCGGATACACAAACTGACATTCAGACCAGTTGCGGCATGAAAACCCGCACAAAAAACGTGTTATTCGACCGTGAACTCGAGCGATTTTCTAGGCCAGTATAAACTAAAGAAAAAAAAAGAGGGAGGACAGGTGTATGTGGACATGGCGCTGAAGCCACGGAGGCGGGACAGTGAACACGACACCTGTTATTGTCTGCTGGACCTGCCACACATTGGGGAGTATGATGAACACCTGCCACTAGGGGGGGGGGGGGTAGCAGGAACACTGCACCACACCTGCCACTATGAGGGGTAGCAGGAACACCACCACACCTGCCACTAGGGGGGGTAGCAGGAACACCACCACACCTGCCACTAGGGGGCGGGGTAGCAGGAACACCACCACACCTGCCACTAGGGGGGCGGGGTAGCAGGAACACCACCACACCTGCCATTAAGGGGGGGGGGTAGCAGGAACACTACACCACACCTGCCACTAGGGGGGTAGCAGCAACACTATACCACACCTGCCACTAGGGGGGTAGCAGGAACACTGCACCACACCTGCCACTAGGGGGGGTAGCAGCAACACTATACCACACCTGCTACTAGTGGGGGGTAGCAGCAACACTATACCACACCTGCTACTAGTGGGGGGTAGCTGGAACACTACACCACACCTGCCACTAGGGGGCGTAGTAGGATCACTATACCACACCTGCCACTAGGGGGGGTAGCTGGAACACTACACCACACCTGCCACTAGGGGGGGTAGCAGGAACACTGCACCACACCTGCCACTAGGGGGGGTAGCTGGAACACTACACCACACCTGCCCACCTGCCACTAAGGGGGGTAGCAGGAACACTACACCACACCTGCCACTAGGGGGGTAGCAGCAACACTATACCACACCTGCCACTAGGGGGGGTAGCAGGAACACTGCACCACACCTGCCACTAGGGGGGGTAGCAGCAACACTATACCACACCTGCCACTAGGGGGGGTAGCAGGAACACTGCACCACACCTGCCACTAGGGGGGCGGGGTAGCAGGAACACCACCAACACCTGTCATTAAGGGGGGGGGGGGTAGCAGGAACACTACACCACACCTGCCACTAGGGGGGTAGCAGGAACACTACACCACACCTGCCACTAGGGGGGGTAGCAGGAACACTGCACCACACCTGCCACTAGGGGGGGTAGCAGCAACACTATACCACACCTGCTACTAGTGGGGGGTAGCTGGAACACTACACCACACCTGCCACTAGGGGGCGTAGTAGCATCACTATACCACACCTGCCACTAGGGGGGGGGTAGCTGGAACACTACACCACACCTGCCACTAGGGGGGGTAGCAGGAACACTGCACCACACCTGCCACTAGGGGGGTAGCTGGAACACTACACCACACCTGCCACTAGGGGGGGTTGCTGGAACACTATACCATACCTGCCACTAGGGGGGGTAGCTGGAACACTATACCACACCTGCCACTAGGGGGGGGGGGTAGCTGGAACACTATACCACACCTGCCACTAGGGGGGGTAGCAGCAACACTGCACCACACCTGCCACTAGGGGGGGGTAGCAGCAACACTGCACCACACCTGCCACTAGGGGGGGTAGCAGCAACACTGCACCACACCTGCCACTAGGGGGGGGGTAGCTGGAACACTATACCACACCTGCCACCGGGGGGGGGGTAGCTGGAACACTATACCACACCTGCCACTAGGGGAGTAACAGCAACACTGCACCACACCTGCCACTGGGGGGGGTAACAGGAACACTACACCACACCTGCCACTTTGGGGGGCAGCAGGAACACTATATACCACACTTGCCATTAGGGGCAAGGGGCCTCGTAGCCTGGTGGATAGCGCGCAGGACTCGTAATTCTGTGGCGCGGGTTCGATTCCCGCACGAGGCAGAAACAATGGGCAAAGTTTCTTTCACCCTGAATGCCCCTGTTACCTAGCAGTAAATAGGTACCTGGGTGTTAGTCAGCTGTCACGGGCTGCTTCCTGGGGGTGGAGGCCTGGTCGAGGACCGGGCCGCGGGGACACTAAAGCCCCGAAATCATCTCAAGATAATCTCAAGATAAAGGGGTGGTGGCAGAAACACTACACCACACCTGCCACTAGGAGGGTAGCAGGAACACTACACCACACCTGCCACTAGGGGGGTAGCAGGAACACTACACCACACCTGCCACTAGGGGGGTAGCAGGAACACTACACCACACCTGCCACTAGGGGGGTAGCAGGAACACTACACCACACCTGCCACTAGGGGGGTAAAAGGAACACTACACCACACCTGCCACCACGGGGGGTAGCAGGAACACTACACCACACCTGCCACCACGGGGGGTAGCAGGAACACTACACCACACCTGCCACCACGGGGGGTAGCAGGAACACTACACCACACCTGCCACCACGGGGGGTAGCAGGAACACTACACCACACCTGCCACCACGGGGGGTAGCAGGAACACTACACCACACCTGCCACTAGGGGGGGGTAACAATAACACACTACACCTGCAACTAGGGGTAGCAGCACACCTGTTATAAGGGACAACACCTTGCGGGACATCGATACATCAAGCTAGATAATATATAATATATATTATATATAATGGCTTCTATAAGGATAGGAAGCCGGCCGCTTGTCGAAGGTCCCCCATTTGTCCCAATAATTTTGTCGAGCTGGATTTTGAAATCCAGCAGTGATTTGACATATACGGCTTTGGCGGGTAGGCGGTTCCATGGCTTTAAAACCTTATGGGGTAATGAAAGCATTTTCTGTCCTACAATGTGGCTTATTGAGCTTGAAGCTGCTGTCCCTTGCAGGCATTATATGTGGCTTTTTACACAAGTGGTCTGGAGTAATAGCCCCAAGATTATTCAATATTTTTAGGTTTCCATGATATCAGCCTGTCATATATGGTTTGCAGTGTTAGTAGCCCTTTGGTTCTCAATCGTTGGTTTGGGATTGCTTAGGGCTGGTGTGGGGTTGCTTAGGGGTGGTGTGGGGTTGCTTAGGGCTGGTGTGGGGTTGCTTAGGGCTGGTGTGGGGTTGCTTAGGGCTGGTGTGGGGTTGCTTAGGGCTGGTGTGGGGGTTGCTTAGGGCTGGTGTGGGGGTTGCTTAGGGCTGGTGTGGGGTTGCTTAGGGCTGGTGTGGGGTTGCTTAGGGCTGGTGTGGGGTTGCTTAGGGGTGGTGTGGGGTTGCTTAGGGCTGGTGTGGGGTTGCTTAGGGCTGGTGTGGGGGTTGCTTAGGGCTGGTGTGGGGGTTGCTTAGGGCTGGTGTGGGGGTTGCTTAGGGCTGGTGTGGGGGTTGCTTAGGGCTGGTGTGGGGTTGCTTAGGGCTGGTGTGGGGTTGCTTAGGGCTGGTGTGGGGGTTGCTTAGGGCTGGTGTGGGGGTTGCTTAGGGCTGGTGTGGGGGTTGCTTAGGGCTGGTATGGGGGTTGCTTAGGGCTGGTGTGGGGTTGCTTAGGGCTGGTGTGGGGTTGCTTAGGGCTGGTGTGGAGTTGCTTAGGGCTGGTGTGGGGTTGCTTAGGGCTGGTGTGGGGTTGCTTAGGGCTGGTGTGGGGTTGCTTAGGGCTGGTGTGGGATTGCATAGGGCTGGTGTGGGATTGCATAGGGCTGGTGTGGGATTGCATAGGGCTGGTGTGGGATTGCATAGGGCTGGTGTGGGATTGTATAGGGCTGGTGTGGGATTGCATAGGGCTGGTGTGGGGTTGCATAGGGCTGGTGTGGGATTGTATAGGGCTGGTGTGGGATTGCATAGGGCTGGTGTGGGGTTGCATAGGGCTGGTGTGGGACTGTATAAGGGCGTTGAGTGTACTGGGTGGGCGTGGGGCTTGGGTAGGACTGTTCTGTTGTAGGTTGATTGTGTTGGTGTGATTTTTCTTAAACTGACGGAGGATTGTCTTACTGGTGTGGGATTATTGTAGGCTTTTGTTAGTACAATTGCTGTGGGAGTCTGTTGGTGTGTGTGTGTTAATGTGGGAGTGTTGTATTTGTGTGGGTGTTGCGGTGGGAGCCACGGAGGTGTGTCAGGGCTTGGCAGCAAGGGTCAAGTAACTGTCTGTAAGCTGCCTTAGGAGGGCCGGGGGCGCCTTACCTGTGTGGGGTGGGTGACGAGCGCCGACGGGTCCTCCCTCACCACACCACGCCTCTACCGATCATGAACTGCACCACTATCACACTTCTAAAAGGAAAAAAAAATAATCCGAGGGCAGCGGAGGATGGACGCGCACGTCACCACAACACTGTCAGAGACACCACTGACACGACCTGTTGGCCGAGCAGCGGCATCCCACAGGTACCTGTTGGCCGGAACCACACATGGAAGTACCACCATAAAGCCAATTGATCTCGCTTTATTTGGTAACATAGCCGCAAAGTATTTGAATATCTTATCGCTCTCGAATACAGTTAACTTTGTAAATAAACAGAAAGTAAATGGCGGACCAGGACATCGACGGAAATAGTTGATTTTATCCGTAAACAATCCTCATTGACGCCACAGGTGAGCCATTGCGGCGCATGCGCACTCCGCCTCCCGGAAACATGAAAACATCTGGAAACCTGGAGCGTTCCTGCCGCTCTTCTCTCTGTACAACACCCTCGCCCAGGCTCCTCTTACTCATTTCTGCTTTTTCAGATTACCTGGATTCACGTGCAAGACGCGGAGGGCGGCTACTGATGGAGGATGCGCTAGTAACTTGGCCGGTAGCGGTGGATCAGGTGGTGCTTAGGGCCCAGGCATCGTCTCTTCTGTCATCACGCCCACCGTGCCTGTCTCGCCACCCACGCCCACCGTGCCTGTCTCGCCACCCACGCCCACCGTGCCTGTCTCGCCACCCACGCCCACCGTGCCTGTCTCGCCACCCACGCCTACCGTGCCTGTCTCGCCACCCACGCCCACCGTGCCTGTCTCGCCACCCACGCCCACCGTGCCTGTCTTATAGGCTTGGTGGCGAATTATATTACCTCCCACGCTCACCGTGCCTGTCTTATAGGCTTGGTGGCGAATTATATTACCTCCCACGCTCACCGTGCCTGTTCACCTCCCACGCCTATCTTAATCCTGCATCATTTGTACCTCTTCATGCAACACTTGCGTTGACCTCGTCTCACGTGTTATATAGCCATATTGTCTAAACCCATTGAATCCGCAAATACCAAAGCAATTAAATTTTAAAATCCAGCTCGAAAAAATCATCTGGGCAAATGGGTTGACCTTCGACAAGCCGTCGGCGTCCTGTCGTCGTCGAGGTCACAAGTGTATTAGTGGCCCTCAGGTAATTTCAGGTAAACCTTATCTCACTACATCCACCGTGTATACCTCATCTTCCACACTCCTGCAGCAGGAGAAGCTCTAAAGAGAGCATAATGATTATGATGAGCAACATCTCAACGAAACTCAATAGAAAAAAAACACGGAGATTCATCCAATTTGACCTTCGAATCTACCCGAAGGTCGAAATAGTCTCCTCCCAGCATATACAGAAGGGAAATGGGGCCAGAAGACTTCAGAACGATCCAAACTTCAAGTGGGTGTGGTCGCCAATGTAAAAGCCAAACAAGACTTTTTCAAGGCCTACAGTCTCAAACCTGAATTTCCCCGAATTAACCTGAGGAGTACTGCATGAAAACTGTGTTATTCAGAGATATGTACTCTAAGTAAATAGTTATCAGAAGGCACCAAGTCAACAACCCTGCCAATGGACAATGATTGCAGAATGAAAAATTGGGTAGAAATCCATATTAGGAGCCCCTCTTCCGGGAAACATTGCAAGCATGGATGGTCTCTAGCCACTTGGAATGGATGGTAGACCGATGGTCTCGCTTCATGCAGGTCGGCGTTCAATCCCCAACCGTCCAAGTGGTTAGACACTATTCCTTACCTCCGTCCCATTCCAAATCCTTATCTTGATCCCTTCCAAGAGCTATATTGGCGCTTTCTCCTGATAGTCCCATTGCCTTCCCTCTTTAGCACTGGTGTCCATAAATCCGTGGTGTAGTGGTAAGACACTCGCCTGGCGTTCCGCGAGCGCTTTGTCCTGGATTCGTATCCTGGCCGGGAAGGATTTACTGGGCGCAAATCTTTAACTGTAGCCTCTGTTTAACTCAACAGTAAAATGAGTACTTGGTTGTAAAACGAAACGCTATGCATACTAGTGGCTGTACAAGAATGTAACACCTCTTGTATAAATATATAAAAATTCAGGTAACTCCAATGTGGTCAGGACCTCAGATTGTTGATTAATAAAGATTAAGCCACCTAAAAGATGGCACGGGCATGAATAGCCCGTAAGTGGAGGCCCTTCGGAGCCATCAATATCAATAGCTGATACTGGAGATCTGTAGATGGGAGGACCTCAGTAAAATTTTCCTGTCTTATACCTGCTCGAGGTAAGAAGCAGTCAGTATACTACGTGTACTGTATATAGTAGTATACTCAGTATACTTTCAACTACCACGCAATGCAAAGGATTAAATGACTCCAGAGCCATGAGGGTGCGGCAAGAGTCAACCACAATGACAAATGAAAGTTGACATTGAAGAAGCAGATAATTATTGGCATACAAAATTGCAATATACTGTAAATCTAAACAAAGTGGCAAACTGTTGCACTGTATCCGTTCCTATTGTTCCTAGTAGATAAAGGAAATATATATGATGAAAGTATAAGTCGTGTCTACCTGTTGTACATTCCCGGGATCAATGCCCCAGTAGTCTAGTCTCTGACCAGGCATCCTGGTTGCTGGTCTGACTAAAATCATGAACAGTAATCCTGTAATGTCCAATACTGAAAATTATTTGAAGTATTAACAAAATTACTTACCAGTAATATATAATATACTGTACTGTATTGCAATTCATAATAGATGCATTGTAAGAAGTGTGTTACAATTATGTTTGTTATACATATTGGAGCCATCAATATATTTCTTTATATATACAAGAGTTGTTTCATTCTTGTAAAGCCACTAACACGCATAGTGTTTCAGGCAGGTCCTTAATCTTAATTTTCCCCGGAATACGACCCACAAAATCATTTAACAACCAGGTACCTATTCACTGCTGAGTGAACAAAAGCTACAGTTAAGGATTGGTGCCTGGTCAATCCTCCCCGGTCAGGATATGAACCCAGGCCAAAGCCCCAGGCGAGTGTTTTACCATTGCACCATGGGGACTATTTGGTGGGCAGTTACCCACCAATTAATGGTGGGCAATTAATTACATGGTGGGTGGATAAATTGTAAAATCTAATGGCAAACATCCAATAAGGTCTCATCCAGGTCTTGTGTGTTCTATGTAATCATCTTGTTTTACTGCGCACAGAAAGAGTATAGGATGTACGATAAACTATCTGCCTCTTGTTGCAAAACTCACAAAGAAAAGTAACTTTGACACTTAGCCAGAGCAAAAAAAAAAAAAAAAAAAAAAAACAGGAAACATGCAATGAGGGTGACACTAAGCATAATTGTGAAACTAAAATTTAATAAAACAAACTGGAGAGCTACTAAGGAAGCCTTCCACAGTGTAGATATAGATTCCTCTTTTTGTATCAAACAAAGTTTGTGGTGGTTATACTTACCACTGCCCACCTTCCCTGAAGTATATTTTTTTTTTGTATATAAAGATCTTTGTCAGCGTGTGGTACATGGTCAGTGAAAGCCTGACGGATAACTCAAGTCCTACAGGCACTGTATACCAAATACACTCTTGGCTCGGGAAGTATCAGAGGGAGCCTTGGCTCAGAAAATATTGTACTGTCAAAACTAAACTCTAAACCATTAGTACAAATTTAGAATATATATTATAAAGGTACAAAAAGGAGATCCAAGAAATTTGTCAATTTAATTACTACATACAATAAATGTGAATGAACTAGAAGTTGGGAGGATAATAAAAGGCAAAATTATACCCAAGTAAATTGTCTTGGACAAGCAAATAAATATAAATATCTTGGTTACTTGATCCAAATATAAAAATACATGAAGCAATCAAAATCCTTCAGTTCAATAACCACAACTTTCACTACTGTATGTAAAGTTATAACAAACTTTGTGCATGTACCAAAAATAAATAATTTCACAAACTTACAAGGCATTCACCATCACTTTCATGGTTTTCTACATCGGTAGAGGAAATCATAGTGCTATACTGTATATAAAAACACAAATAATAAAGATATTAAAAAAAAACTTACAATGTAAACATCACATTTAAGCATCAATGTACAAAAAATTAATGGGAATAATACTAAAAAATATCACAAAGTAATCCTTCATCCACATGCATTGCTATTTACAGTATGAATATTTCAGCATGCGAGTAATTTACTACATGTAGAAGCACCACAGAGTTGTAACCAAAGAGTGCTGTGTTGTGAATAGTGTGATATACATGAAGCAGTGCAGGGAGTGGTGCAAGGCGACCTGACCTCAGACCAAAGTACATTCTATCCAGCGGTCGACCCCAAAAAGACATTCATCAATTTCAACATTTTGATCATTCAATACAGAACTTGTCTTAAACATAAATTATTATAATTGTACATTACATATTGTGCATATTTAGGCACTAGGTAGGTTAGGTGTTTAGGTTCTGTTGCTGATGATTTGTATTTGTAGTACGTGTGAGAAGCACTTACAGCGTTGTTGTTCGAACAAAAGTCGTCAGCGAAGTGTACGGACGTCATAAGTTGTAAGTCGTGTGTAAACCATTTTTCATTCATAAACAGGGGTTTGGTAGGTGCATGGAATGGACTTTGGGCCTTTATTTAGAGGATGAGCTGTGCAAGGAATGTTGTGTGAGTGAGGAGGGTGAGACACATGAAGCAATACAGTAGTGATGCAAGGAGTGCTGCCATGCTGGGAAATGATGTGCTGAGTAAATATACCTAAAGAGGCAGAACTTCTAATCAACTTTATTTAGCTGAACTAAATTAGGTAGAGCAAGCATACAACACACATGGTTGTGGGCCCAACACCACTCATGCCCAAGCCCTCCACACCTTTAATTGGTGATGCATCTCCTATCTCCCACCATGGAAAAGGGGTAACACAATGTAATACAAGTTTTGTTCCTGGGTAGCAAGTGTTATTTTCTCAATGTTTATGCCTCTAAAGAACAGAAAATGGCCACTATTCCCCTCATACCTTATGCTTTGACCTTTGCCCAATACAACTTAGGAAAGACATCTTGAAGGTACTTAAAGGCTGCCAAATCCTTATTACAGCTGTAACATTATTTCCTAAGTTGGCAGCCTTCAGGAACCTTCAAGACATCTTCCCTAAGCTGTCTGAGGCAAAGGTGAAAGCAAAGTTTGAGCGAGGGAAATAATAGCCACTTTTCTATACTTTGGAGGCACAAACAATAGGAAAATAACACTACCCATGATCAAAATTTGTTTTACAGTAATGCACAAATCCATGATATATGTTTTATAATAGCGACAAAAGTATACAGTAACTAATGAAAATTCATAAATACTTAAATATAGAACTGACAGTTTCAAGCACTTTAGATTATTTCCTTTTGAATCACATCAAATTTTACAAAACAACCCATTAATTATTCTCTCACGGCAATCTTTCTCATTTATCATGAAATTTGTTAGAGATAATACAACTGTGGACTTGATGAAAACTGACACTTGTTTCCTATAGACCTAGTGACATTGCAGAACCATCTGCTTGTTTACATTATTCATTGTCATGGTGCCCTTTCAGTTATTGCTACAGTACTTCCTCATTTCTGGTCTTGTACTGTTGTTTCTGTTCATGATTTGTTGTCATCCTATTTAATCTCATAGGTATCCTTGCTTAGGCAACCCTCATTATTTCCACACATTGGCCATGTCTTGATTAGTGTAACTGGATGCTGCCTCACTCGTTAAAACTGACAAGCCAACATGAAAAATTCTTTAACAAATGTCTAATACCTTTTAACACAAAGCTGCAGAGCTCTCCGAAGGTTAAATAGCTAAGGGTAATTCTCCATGTGGTCATCATTCATGCTCCTCAGAGTAGAGACTGGTAAATTTGTATGGCAGTGTTAATTGATCAAAATCAGTGCACAGTGAATGATTTTCACCAATGTATTCAACTTATTAATATTTTCATATTACATTTTAAACACAAATATTGAATATATTTACTTTCCTTGAACATAACAAATTACAGTTCAATAAGTTAATCGGTTGAATACACTCGTAATGCATTTCTTTTACAACCGCGCTCCAATAACTTTATTAAAGGCGTGTAAGTATTATACAAATGTATACAAGATCCAAAAGGCTAAAATAATGGATAGCCAGCTAACATCCTAGACAGTGCAACAAGAGCTTCTGGTTGCAACCGAGATGACAATGCCCCTTAACACTTTCTGCCCTCATGGTGGCCACCTCTCATACACCAATATTCAAAAGGAAATAGGAAAATGTTTACTTTTATCTAATCTAATAAATTGTTGTTTTTTGAGTGTACCTAGAACAGTAATTTATATTAACAGACATCATAACATTCTAGAAGGTGACTCATTTAAGTATTTTCCTCCTCCCCAATAGCTCATTTATATCCACTTTATTCATAAACTCATGCAGAATAAGTAATGGCTATGAATAAAACAATTACTGCTAAACATGTTTTGATTGTAACCAATCTAGAGAGGTTTTCCCCTATAACAAACTTGAAAAAATTTCTAAAGAGAATCGAGATAAAAGTTTTGTGTGATAAAATGTTTTGTCCACACTTGCAGGGGACAAAAGAGGAAGTGCAGCCAGAAGCCAAGGTGGAGATCAACACCACCTCTAATTCAAGGTCCGTAAACATACAGGGCAATCCAATGACATCCATTTAAGCACAAAGCTGCAAACACCAAACTCCGGCAAATGTAGCCTGTAAAGGGCAGCTGGCTGGTACACTTACACCTCAGAAGCAGGATCAGAACCCATGGAGAACAAACCCCACAGGATTCAGGGTCATAAGATTTAGTGACTCGGATTTAAAGTCATAAGATTCAAGGGCCTCAGGGCCTGTTGAGTCATGCTAACCCAACAGGCAGCATGGCAGAGTCAGTAAGAATGATTATTGTAATGTAGCAAAGGTCATGAACACCTTCAAACTTGCAATTGGTGAGAGTGGGTTCAATAGGCTGTTTTTATATATAATTGACCTTGTCAGAAACCTGCAAGGGCCTGCCAGTAATTTACCAAGGCCTGCTGGTAATATGCCAGACAGGTACTCCCAGGCACTATAATTGTACGAAAATAGTTTGACTTTCTGTGGCATCGATACCTACTGTGAGGCCACGCATACTAGCCGTGGTTTATCCTTGGGTGAGTGCAGCCACATCTCTCATCACTCAAGCATTTTCACAAACTATCCTTAGGATATACCGTATCATTATTTGCCAGTTGAAGCCTCATGTCATCTGGCACAAGTAGTATTGGTACATCAGGAAAAGGTAAGAGGAACTTCTTTACCATGGATGAGAAGGCAGAATTGTTTAAGAAATATAATCATGGTTGGGGAAGCTAGCAGGCGACAGAGGTTAATGGCATTGGTACTACATTAATAATTTGACAAGAAAAAAGCAGGTGAAGGAAAGCAGTGGAGGTATGGAAAGTGACAAAACAATAACAAACTTTACAATGTGAGGATCTGGATGATGTTGATTACCAATCTTTATGCACTAATGTAGCCAGGGGCTTGCTGTTGGTGCACAGTTACAGTCTATAGCTGAAAGAATGCAATGAACCATGATCGAGGAGTTCAAGGCTAGTTCAAAGTTGCTGTGTAAGTTTACCAAATACTGTAGCATAACAGTATTAACCATATTTTGCTGTTTAACTGTGTTACCAAGGTCAGCCAGTGCTTCAAAAAAAAAATTAATGTTTAATTTATATTTTATATTATTTATATACACAAAATCATTCATTATATATCTAAGTCTAAATATGCAGAAACATGCATAATTTGCTATACAAAAAATTTAGAAAATTGAGTGATAGCCAAAATGGTAATTTTTGTTTAAATCTGGATTTCACGTTAATCCAGATCAAGTCTGTAACAATAAGATCCAAATTTTGAAGGGGTCTCGTGTATACACAAACACTGCAATTAGCTAGGGAAAACACCAGGAAGTCTAATTGGCTTCATGTGCTCAACATTGCTACATCATCATTCTCGATATCTAGAGTTCTGATTAACTGCACGTTAGGTTTCAAATTCATACTCGAGAGTTAAAGGTCACAAGTGTGCAGGCATGTAGAACAATCAGCATTAATAGTAAAAACTGAGTGAACTTAAAAATGAATTTTATTGAACTTTACAATTGCTAGGCTGTAACCTTGACCTGGAAATAGAGCTTATTATAAAGAAGCTATCATACCAAGCAGTACTGTATGTTCACTAATTTGTTTTAATCAACGAGCAAAGGCACATACAATAATAATACAAAAAAGTGATGTGAAACAAAGGATGTAAACATGGTTACTGTTCTGGAACTTTGTACCAGTCTCTACCTTAGGCAATTTCCAGGAGAAGGAAGGAGGCACACTATATCATGATCATGAAATAGCCAACATCGATAAAACCACAAAATAACATACACCAAAACTACTTTTAAAGGAAACCACAAAAGGAATAAGTATTACAGGCTCCCAACACATACATTATACAAAAAAAATATTTCAGAATTAAATCACTTATCAAAATAATAATACTATTAAGAAATACTTGAATGTAGCCATAAACAAATGCTGTAATATGCATTAAGGAAGCAGAGTACATGTGTGAGTACATTTTGCTCAGGTAATTTCAGTACAGTACTGCACTTTATTTTGTAAAAATATTTTAAAATAATTTTGATTTTTAACAGCTAAATTCAAATGACTTATGATTAATTTAAATGATAATTTGCTAAGTGCTTACCAGCAAACACATCACATCACTTGACAACTCGCTCTTCAGCCACTTGTCCTACTACCATTGTGCATAGTAACAAAGTATTGCTGTACTATATATCAATTATGATTTGTAAATAAAATCCATAAATGCCTTAACCTGAAAGTATGGGATCATTCATTGCTCTTGTAGGCTTTACACTTGACTGAATTCTTGAACTGGATATCACAAGCTTTCACTGTATTAACCTTCCATGGACACTACATATTTATATAATTAAAAGTCTTGTAAATACAAAAATTGTATACAAAAAGTGTCAAGTTAAACTCTGAAGTACATGAACACTTGCATGTTCTCAAGGGAAGGAACTTTCAAGTAACTGTCAAAATATTATTGTTTTTGGTTTTACAGTCAAGATATTAAGTATAGTATCTCGTTTCTACATGATGCATTATCATAAACTTCCAAGAACTTTTTTAAAACTCTTCAACAACAGAGATGGATTCTGCCAATGGTATTGGATGAATTTAAAAAAATAAAAATATTTTCATTAACAGAGATATTTATCACTGAAGAAATGATCTATGCAAACAGAGTGACGGTGGTGGCGATGTTTTACGAAGGTTGTAGAGAGTGGTCAGGAAGAAGACGTGCCAGTAAAGACGTCAGCACCAGCAACGATGACTGTAGCCCTGCAGCCTGTTGCCCTTGCATCCAAACAGAGCTGTACACCTCGCGTAGTGCCAAAACTCTGATGAAAACAAAATTGCCATTCAAAAATGTATAAAAATTTATCCTACAAAATTGGAACATGCAACAGTTGTGTTGCGTCTGTATCTCAAGAAGCACATCAATAAACTAGAGAGGGTATAAAGCCAATACAAAATGGCTATTGGATCTAAAAGATGTGTGCTGTGAGGAGAGGCATTAAATATGACAAAGTTGGAAGATGGAAAAATTGGCAATTTGATCATCACAAACAAAACAGTAATAGAAATCAACAAAATTGATGAGGAGGTAGTTTTGAAAACTGCAACTCTAAGAGCAAGAGGCCATAAAGTCAATATGCAGGTGATGAGTCACAGTAACGTGGCTAAAGTATGTTGACCAGACCACACACTAGAAGGTGAAGGGACAACGACGTTTCGGTCCGTCCTGGACCATTCTCAAGTCGATGGGATCGACTTGAGAATGGTCCAGGACGGACCGAAACATCGTCGTCCCTTCACCTTCTAGTGTGTGGTCTGGTCAACATAAAGTCAAGCTAAGGAAACAATGGTGCCCCCAAAATATACAAGCTCTCTTTTGCAGAGTGAGCAGCAGACACTTGAAACACCTTAAGTGCTGGAGCCAAAATTATCAACAGATTTAAAGTGTCATATGCCAAAGATTATATGGAAGATGGAACACAGCGAGCATAGTTCTCATCCTGTAATGACACTTAGGTAATTATACACAGTTACTGAGCAAGCCCACTGTATGAAGAAGAAATACAGCAAGGAGTGTGGTGCAACCTTTGAATATGATGGTTATTTGTTAGTGTCATATTTATACCTTACAACATACAAATTAAGCGAAAAGGCTTTAAAGAGCTCTCATAAAGAAAGAGATCTAGGGATGGCCCTGGATTGAAAAATGTCACTTGAGGACCACAAAGCTGGAAATAATGCAAAGACATGCAACTAAATGGCTTCTGAACTGAAAAATAAGAGCTATGAGGAAAAGTTAAAGGTGTTAAATATACCAAAGCTAGAAGACAAGAGGTAATATGATCACTATGTACAAAAGAGTAATAGTAGTACTAGGCATCCGTCAATCCCATGGGGTTATGGAGTTGTGCCCTGGGTGTCTAGTTGTTGTAGTCTAGTTGGATGCAACGCCTGCTGTGGCTGTGAAGGCCAACCCTAGAATGACAGTCCCGACTGCAGAGAGAGCAGATAAACACGGAAGCGGGTGTGTCTGACAGTGGTCAAGACCTCCTCTGAAGTCTATTATCCTCTGCCTGCCTCTTCAGTTCATCCTTGAATTGCTGGAGTCCCTTCTGCACCCTGCATCTCCAGGCAGATCTGTCTGCAGCTGCCGTTGTGTTGATGTCGATGTTCATCTGCTTGAGGTCGTGTTTGCAGGCGTCTTTGAAATGCAGTTGAGGTCTTCTGGTGGGTCTCCTTCCTGATGCCAGTTCTGCATACAAATAGTCCTTTGGTTTGGTGGCCATCTTCCATGGATGTGACATGTCCCAGCCATCGCATGTGTGGTTGCTTCAGGAGAGTGAACATTGAAGGGACTCTCTGTTCTCTCGAGTACTGTGTTGTTGGAGACATGGCCTTTCCACGTGATATCAAGGATGCGTCTCAGGTTCCGCATGTGAAAGGTATTGAATCGTCTCTCCTGGTGAGAGCGCAGGGTCCAGGATTCCGAGCTGTAGAGAAGTGTACTCACTCACCACACATGCCATGTAGACTTGTACCTTGGTGTGCACTGTCAATTTGGCATTTTCCCAAACGTGCTTTGTGAGCCTGGCAAGTGTTGTTGCGGCCTTCCCAATACGCCTGTTGAGTTCAGAGTCCAGGGAAAGGGTGTCTGAGATTGTGGAGCCCAGGTACACAAACTCGTGAACTGCTTCCAGCACATAGTCTATGATGTTTATACAGGGTAGCTCATTGACGTCTTGTCCTATCACCTGAGTCTTCTTCAGGCTGATTGTCAGGTCGAATGCGGAGCAGGCTGAGGCAAAGCCGTTGAGAAGCTGCTGTAGGCCTTCTGCTGTGTGTGTGTGTGGTGATCGCTGCATTGTCAGCGAAGAGGAACTCCTTGAGGATTCGCATCTGTACTTTCGTCTTTGCTTGGAGTCTGGATAGATTATAGAGCTTTCCATCAGATCTTGTACGGAGATAGATGCCCTCTGTGGTTGTTCCAAAGGCATGGTCGATGAGGATCGCGAAGAAGATGCCGAACAGGGTTGGAGCAAGAACGCACCCCTGTTTAACACCACTGTTGATGTTGAATGGTTCAGAAGTTGAGCGGTAATACACGACTGTTCCCGTCATGTCCTTGTGGAAGGATTGTATCATGCTGAGTAGGGTGGGTGGGCAGTCAATTTTGGCCAAGATCTTGAAAATTCCGTCCCTGTTCCTTACCTTACTGTTCCTTATTGACCTTACAAAGGTCGAAGGCCTTTGTAAGGTCAATGGTGATGTACACAGATTTTCTCTGCTCCCTGCACTTTTCTTGAAGCTGTCTCAGGGAGAACACTATGTCAGTGGTCGACCTCTCTGCTCGGAAAAAGCACTGTGACTCAGGGTACACTCTTTCAATAAGAATCTGAAGCCTGACCAAGACGACCCTGGCAAAGAGTTTGCTGACGACGCTGAGGAGGGATATGCCGCGTTAGTTGTTAACATCGCTTCTGTAACCTTTATTTTTGTAGAGAGTGATGATGTTTGCATCTCTCATGTCTTGTGGCACCGAGCCCTCCCTCCAGCACTGGCACAGAAGTTCATGAAGCTCAGTTTTAAGTGTTCCACGAGCGCACTTGAGAACTTCAGGCAGAATCCTGTCGTCTCCTGGGGCCTTCCCTGAGGTAAGTAAATCCAGTGCTTTCTCAATTTCTTCCACATTCGGTTCAAGGTCAAGTTCTTCCATGATGGGCAGGCACTCGATTGCATCCAAGGCTTCTACGCTGACCAAGTTCTCTCTACTCCAGAGTACGGAGTAATGTCCCACCCAGTGATTCATCTGTTGATCACAGTCTTTAATGATCTCTCCAGTGGCTGACTTCAGAGAAGCCGTCCTGTTTTGCTTAGGGCCTGTTGCCTGTTTGATCCCTTCGTACATGCCTCTTATGTTGCCGACAGTGGCCGCAGTCTGGATACTGGAACAGAGTCAGAGCCAGTAATCGTTAGCACAGCGCCTCGCAGTTTGTTGAACTCTACTGCTGGCAGTATGGCGGGCCTGTAGGTTCCTTTCTGAGGGCAGGTTCTTGTAGGATGACAGAGTTCGTCTCTTTTTCCTCTACGAGGGGTAACAGTTCCTCTGCACTGGCCTCAAACCAATTTGATGACTTGTTTTGCCTCTTACTGAAGGTGGACATGGCAGTGTTGAAAATAATGCCCCTAAGATGTGACCACCTCTTACTTGCGCTATCGCAGAGTGGTACAGGAAGGGCATTTACCAGCGCAGCAGTGAATTCCTCCACCTTGTGAAGGTCACGGGTCTTGTTTACGTTAATGTGTGTTTTTCCCTCCTTCTTTGTTCTGTGGATTTTCCGGGGTTGGAACTTTACTCTGCAAACGACGAGAGAGTGGTCAGTGTCACAATCTGCGCTCTGGAAGCTGCGGGTCAGTTTGACGCTTCTCAGATTGCTACGCCCCGCAAGCACCAGGTCAAGTTGGTGCCAATGCTTAGACCTGGGGTGCCTCCAGGAAACCTTATGCTGGGGCTTGGTGTCGAAGAAGGAATTAGTGATGCAGAGATCATGACGACAGCAGAACTCCAGGAGGCCCTGCCCACTCTCATTCATCTATTCCAAATCCAAACTGGCCTAGGCAGGAAGGCCAAGAACTGTGATCAGAACCAAATCTTGTATTAAAGTCTCCCAGGAGGAAGATTGGCTTTTGTTGAGGTATGTCTCTGAGAGTCAGGCCAGGGTCATCATAGTCATCATTGTCGTCCTTCACTTCGGTAGAGGAGGTCAGTGTTGGTGCATAGGCGTTGATGAGGCTGACCGTTCCTGCTGCTGTATGAAGCTGAAGTTTGATGATCCGTGCAGACCCCTCTGTGGGCGGTACTGTGAACCCTAACAACCTGCTCCTGATGGCAAAGCCAATGCCATGCTCCCTTACCTCTTCTGGTAGTTTGCCCTGCCAGAAGAAGGTAAAGTCCTTCTCCCGTGTGCTGCTGGTTGCGGGCAGACGTGTCTCCTGCAGGGCGGCTATGTCCATCTGGAGCTTGCGTAGTTCACTGTTGATCACAGCTGTCTTGCGGGCGTCATTCACTTCCAGTAGATCTTCCAAGAGACCCGGTGTCATGGTCCTTACATTCCATGTGCCCAGTTTGAGAGCTGGGTGGCTCTGTGTTTGTATTCTTTTGCCTGGTGCATTGGTTGACGATCTGCTTATTGGATTGTGGCCTAAGCCACACGCACCTAGTGGAGCAGCCAGACCATGGCGGGACAGCACCTTATTGACTGGGGGCTGTCCAGCTTGAGGCGGGCGGTAGCTGTCCTATGAAATCGAATGATTTCTCCCACCGACAGAAGCAACCCCTGGTGCCTTACTCTACACCAATTGAGTGGTAGGCTTATCACTGGTAACTGTCGCTTCCCATGTTGAGCCATCGCCAAGGCGATGCTGGAGTGTCTTCTCCAGGGCACAGGCCTGGGTAGTAATTCAAGGGGGAAAAAAGTAATAGGAATCAACATAACTGACAAAGAAGAATTCTTGAAACCTGCAGCTTTAAGAATAAGAGGTCACAGACTCAAGCTAAGGAAACAAAGCTGCTGAAAAATCATTAGAAAGTTCTCTTTTTTGCAAACAGAGTGGTAGACGGTTGGAATAAGTGAGGTGGTGGATGCCAAGACCATCAGTACTTTCAAAGCATCATATGACAGTACTGTACTGGGAAGACAGGACACAATGAATATAGCTCTCATCCTTTAACTACACTCTGGTAATTACCAGCTGAAGTCTTTCGTTACTGTATGAAGAGTGAGTGAGTGAGTGCGAGTGTGAGAGTGAGTGAGTGAATTTCAACACTTGGCCTTGAGTCTCTTGTGTATATACAAAACCACATTTCCCCTTGCTAAAGGAACACCCATATAAAAGCAATTCAGTACTAAACGAGATTAAAATATAACAATAAGACTCAACCTAATTTTAACCAGATAAATTATTAATTAATGGTAAACCATCAAATACATAGCTCATCTATCAGGCACATATTATTATTTGTATACAACATAAACCAATTAAAAAATTACTTATTGGCAAGATCTGTACGCAGTGTTGGAGGTAGATTTCCCACGCCAGGATTAACAACAGCCACACCGATGTTGCTACGGGGATTGGTGCCCACAGATACCAAAGACCTTCCTAACCTGAAATACAGAGATGATTCTTAATTATCTAACCACCTTTATTTGTTCCTATGTATGATGTAACAAATGAATAAACAAAGGCTACTGCCTCTCAACCCACAAGAAATGGGAAATGGGGTACTAATGATGTATGCATGTACAGTATATATATTATCACCACCTAGTTTCGTCTTTCATTAGGTGGGAAGGCATCAACTCAATTTTGTTCACATGTTTTTAATATAGTATGTTCATAAAATATCTGGCAAAACCTTCTCTGATTTGACTACCTGCATGCTGCAAGGATCATATCCATAGCCAGATGAAGTTCTAGTACTGCCAGTGTTATCAACGGCCACGGGGAAGAAGCTGTAGCTCGGCCAACACCGGGTGACAAGCCCCTAGCTATGCCTACTTGAGGATTAGTTCCAGGCACAGCACTTCCAACCTCACGTACTGCACGACGCACATGCCGCATCACACTCTGAATTAAACAAAAAAATTTCAGTGTACCATTGATATTAATTCCAGCTTGTCTCATGTGCCCTGAGGTACATCACATACTTTAGGTCAGCAATGCACTTGCTCAATGGCTAGCATCTTGCATTTAATGCACAGGATAGTCAAGCTTAGTCAACCTTGGAGATACCCTATGGCAAATGATTTGCACAAATCTCCCACAATCACTGCATTTTCTCAACACTGTCTCTGCAAAATCAATGCTAGGGAGTTCTGGAGAGATCAAGAGTATTGCATGTTCATCAAGAAGAAACATAACAAAAAACAGCATTGAATGTAATGAAACCCCATTTTCTGGGTGAGCCCCAAAGGCTCCCTGGAGCTATCAGATTGATATGCGATATATTAGTCCAGGGCATTAGTCAATGGATTTCAGCCTACCGGGGACCACAAGCCAGAACCTGGCCACCTCAGAGAGACACAGGGAGCAATGGCCTCTGGAAAACCCCCTTGTGGTTGGGGGTATTCCTTGTCTGCCATAAACTGGGGTTAGGCACCCAAAAAAGTAAGGCATAACAAAACAAACCCCACTTGGTACGAAAATTGCAACTGAAGACCGAACAGGGAGGCAGAACTCCCCCAACTTTCATGGAAACAAACGTCATACTCCGCCACTGCGGGGCATTGTCCACACAGCCCTCCCCTCCTTGGGAGGGGGAGGGGGAGCCCTGGACCCCCCGGACCCCCACTCCGGCTACTCAAACCCCAGTTCGAAGGCTGAGTATCAATAGCAAAATGAAATCGCTGACTGGAGGGAGGGAGGGAGCCAGGGAGCCTCCGGGGCTAACCCAGAAAATGGTATTTCATTAAATCCCACGCTGGTTTTCTATAAGGAGCCCCTTCAGCTCCCTGGGGCTACATACTGTAACTTAAGATAAAAGGTAAAAGAGGGACTTACCTGAGAGGCAGCTGCCACACACTCCTCAGCTCGAAATCAAGACAACTGGCTGCAACCTGCGACCCAAAGCCACACAAGAACGAGCAGGACCAGGAATGTTGACCAAATAACAGGCGACTAGGAACCAGTTCGATCTTCAAAATCCCCTTGCCCAAATGTCAGCCTAAGACATGTTGCCAAAGACGGCAGCCAAAGCAGCAAACATACGAACATCATGGGCACGAGAATAGAGCGCAGGCTGGCTAGACTTAATAACCCTGCAGACTACCTAGGAGACCCAAGCCCTGGAACAGGGAACAATGGAAACCGGATGAACCCAAAGCAAAGTTATTTGAGCACCATTGAAACTGAGGCGCACAAATTAACGGTGAAGAGCCGCAACTGGGCACAAACCCACCTGAGGGACGGGGTCGTTTCGACCACGCCCCAGCGCACCCACTCCAAGATGACCAGACAGAGCGCAGTAGAAGAAGCCTGCCCCGTCAGCCCCGAACCCCCCAAAAGAGGTAGAGCCACCCAATGCCACCACAGGTCAGAGGAGCAACCTGTCCTCTTACAAATTACGTCTGAATTTGGCCGTTTACCCGTATGGCTGAAAATGGACGTAATTTGAAAATGAAACAAAATTGGAAATAAATTTGGGATTTTTTTTTCCAAAACAGTAAGTTATGGGTCCTCTGGTAGGTTAGGAGGGCAGGAAATTATCCTAAAGTTTCAAAACGCCATGAAAATGTTAATTGAAAGTTTCCTCTCCTAACCATTTCAAGTAAGCCAGAGGACTCAAACAGAAAACAGGACAGTACATCACTTTCGTGAGCTGATTTCACTTCGAATTACGTCCATTTTTGGCCATAGCATGCATACCAGTGAAAAGCAACGTCATTTTTAAGAAGACAGGTTGAGAGGAGACGACCCGAAAAGCCGATCATCACAAATCGTGGGACCAGGAGTGAGCAAATAAAGCGAGCCTCCCCCTTATCGCCCCGTCAACGGGGCGACCCGCGAAAGGGCCGATGCCCCTTACGAGAAGGCAGCCGATGAGCAGGTTATCTTAAGATGATTTTGGGGCTTTGCGTCCCCACGTCCTGGTCCTCGACCAGGCCTCCGTTTTGTTACACACCCCCAGGAAGCAGCCTGTAGCAGCTGTCTAGCTCCCAGGTACCTATTTACTGCTAAGTAACAGGGGCATCAGGATGAAAGGACCTGCCCATTTGTTTCTGCCTCCATCGGGGATCAAACCCGAAACCTCAGGACTACGAATCCGAAACTTTGTCCACTCAGCTGTCAGACCCCGCTCAAGAGCGGGGCCAGAGCAGAGCGAATATCACGCCGAACAGACGATGCTGGCTCCGAAGGAAGTGCCGGCTCAGAAATTGGCACCAATGGCCCACCCCGAGCCCTGGCATGACCCTTCCGAGAAGGCTGAGAATGGCCACCTAGGACAACTAACAAGTCCGACAGAGGAAAACAACTAGACGATGCAACCTGCAGAAACTGTGCGACAGCAGCCTCTGCAAAAGCAATTCCTTGACAGTACAGTAATGTTGCCCTGGGTGGATTTTCCCTGCAGAACCTCTAATGTGCACACCCTCTGTTGTATCTATTGTACAGCATACTTTTGTCCTTCAGTTTCCCCGCAGACACCATTCTACAGCATAGTTGAGTTACCCTCATTTGGTTTATTCAGATTTCTTACTATTGAAGATCCTTACTTTAGGAAGAATTTAATGTGATAGATCAGAAATATGACTGTGTAAATATGAACAATTTAATTTTGGGTAGAACACCCAGATTGACCCAATCCCTCCAATTCTTTTCCTCTTAACCTGTACTTTGAGTTAGTTCTTAGTGTCAAGCAGTATGCAGATAGATTGGGATAGTGAACCATCATAGACATTTAGAACTGTGCGCATAATAAATAAAAAAATCTGCTTATCGTAGGGTAGCGATTTCACCAGTAATGGCAGGAGTAATTATTGATTAGACTGTAGATTAGACTATACTGTTCTATATTAGATTATTCTTATTAAAATAAAGTGCCCTTCACTTCTATACAACCAATAAATAAACCTATGTAGAAAGCAAACTAAACATTCGTTTACATGGCTTTTATTACAATATTCCAAAATATACTTACAGAGAACACTTCTGTTGAGAGATTATCTAGTAACAGAGCATCAGGATCTGCCAGGAGCTGGTATAGTGCAGAACCAGGAGAAGAGGATGGCAAATCTGCTACGTCCAGTGCTGGTTGACCTCTAGCCATGCGAGTTACCCATGTTTCACAACGTCCTAACTCCACTAAAGCTGCCCCAAAACCACATCCAGGAACCCGGACCAAATGGGTGTCTACCAGAGCTCCTACTGAAGAATGTACATAATCCTGCAGTGGAGGAAAAAATTTTTAGTACATACAGTTATAACTTATAACTTAAAGTCTTCCAAATACATGTAGCAACAGTCAACTCTTTCATACCCCATCACAGTGTCTTTTGTGGTGGGATTTTTTTAGACTTTTCTCATAGTATTCTGCCAAGAACACTATGAGAAAAATATGATGCATTCTACAGATAAAATGCAACAAAATCTTATGTTGGTGTAAGAGAAAACTGGGACATCGACCTGGCAAAATTTTAGTTTTTTCTTCAAACTCAAAATTAAAAGAGGCTGCCATGGATTGAATTTGGAAAGTGCCCAATGGCTTCACTTCACTCAGTGCTGTTTCTCTATGGTAATGTATAGGTGTTATTCAGAGTATAGCTTGAAATAATGATTTAACCCTGGCAGTGGGCACCTGTTACATGTGATAAATCCATGGTACACAAAAAAATAAATTAAAAAATTATTTTTCTTTCTAATATTAAAATGCATTCCTTGATCACAGGCAACTTAAAAAAAAAATTGCATGTAGCTTGCTTTGGATGTGCTTGAGAGAAGAAAATTGCAATGATGTCACTAATTCATACTCACTGATGGACGAGACGCCCTGTCGAGGTCACCTGGGCTAGGCGGGTAGCAGGAATAGCAGTGAATATATTTATACCAATTTATTTCAGTGCCACCGACTTGTTTTTTCACTAGTTTTTTGCAGTTAAATCATGCAATGGTGTGTAATTTGAGAAATATATATATGTACAGTATAATAAATTGTGCCGATACATCCGTACACATTAAAATATTTGCGTCACTAATATGCACATTCTATTATATTCATTGGACAATAGAACATACTGTATTTGCTATCATTATGCCATATACACATGTTATATATAACAGTCAACATCTTATGCATCATTTGGAACCATTAAAAACAGCCCTATTGAAAGTAATAATCAGGTAACACCAATCCAAGGTCAGCCTTGCACCAAGTTGTTAGTACTGTACATGCAATCAATGTATTTTATTTTATTTATATTTTTATTGATACATTGGAACCTTAGGTAGCAAATGCCCCTCTTTACAAATTTTTTGGGTTACGAACTCAATTTCTGCAGAAAATTTGAAGCGGGTTACGAACTTTGCCTCGCCTTGCAACTTTTGTTGATACACATAAAGGTTGACCGAGTGCGTGGTTCCTGGTGGCACGGGTGACCGCACTTTACTTTACCAGTGATTCCCACTTAGTGACGATTGCGCTTGAATTCTTTGTACTGTATAGAATTTCATTGTTTTTCTGCTATTTGGGTTTTTGAATATAAAAGTAATTACTGTGTTATATATCATGCCATGGGTCCCAAGAAAGTCAGTGGTAAGGTTCAGCCTAAGAAAATAGTTGTGAGTAGAGGCAGTAGAGGATGTTCCTTCCTCATTAAGAAAATGTGTGAAGTATGGGAAGAACTGCAAAGTTTTGTTGAAAAAACTCACCCAGATAAAGCTGTAGCAGGCCATTGCATTAACCTTTTTAATGATAATGTGATGTTTCACTACAGACAAGTGTTAAAATGTAGGGAAAAACAAGTGTCTGTAGACAGATTCTTAGTAAGACAAGCAAGCAGTGAGCCACAACTAGGTCCTAGTGGTATGCCTGCAAAACGTAGGAGAGAGAGTACCCAAGAAAAGTCATCACTGCCTAATGTTATAATGGAAGGGGACTTCCCTTCCAAACACTAACACCTCTCCTCCTCCCCCCCTCCTCACCATCTTCCATACACCAACAAGAGTCATCAATAAAGATCAGTTATAACTTGTACAGTATGTACTCTAGTACAAAATGTGTGTGCATTATGTATGAAATGTATTTTGAAGTTAATACATTTGGGAGTGTAGAACAGATCAATTCAATTTACATTATATTTAACCCCTTAACTGCACGGCCTCCAAATATGACACCCCCCCAGTGTGCAGGAAATAAAATCTCTAGAATTTTTTTTTTTCTGTTTTTAAAGTGTTAAAAACCCTTCCCTGAGTAAGGGTATAGTAACAGAAGGTCGAAATTATAAGTACTTTAGCTGCTATGGGGTCCATAAGTTCGTGAGTGACGTCATCATTCACTGGTCGCCCATGGCATACGCCCCCGGGGCCGGTAGGGCGCTCGGGGCAAGATGCGCGAGTTGCCGCGAATATATTTTTTTGTTCATTTTCTGCGCACAGTTCCAAATACATTTTATATGCTTTTACGTGCCAATCCTATGTATAATGAACACATACACTATATTATGGCAGTAGAACATCCGTACTGTCCGAAGACACTGTGTTACGTGCATGACATGTGTACACATATTCGGTACATATTTCCATTGTATTATGCTAATTTATGTATATATACAGTCTATTTACACACTATACACTATCACACACTATATACATTCACCATGAACACACTCAGAACTCCGCGAGTGTCAGCTGCCACACCCTCACTCCAACATCCAGTCTCTCCCTCACTCCGCCAACATCTTACTCGCCAACATTGCTCCTCCCACCTTACTGTTATTGTTTGTATTACACTATTTACACATGTTATGTATACCTATCTAATCAACTTGAGAATGGTCCAGGACGGACCGAAACGTCGTCGTCCCTTCACCTTCTAGTGTGTCGTCTGGTCAACATACTTTAGCCACGTTATTGTGAATCATCGCCTGTATACCTATCTACATGTTTTATTCACCATAACTATGCAAGTAAGCTGGCATTGTGTCCAAACTTTACAGTGGCCACCATACACTGCATGAGAAATCACACAGCAGCCAGCAGACAATGTTACGATTATGTCACCTCCCTCACCAAAATAGCTCCTCCCAACATACTCCTGTTGCTGTTACTACATTACATACACACATTGTATATACCCATGTACAAATGTGTTCACCATAGTGAACCACTAAGCTAGTATGATGAGCAAAACAAGAGTGGCTGCCACACAGTGAGGCTACCTCGATTCTCTCCCTCGCTCCCTCACTACAATTACTCCTCCCACAATACTATGCACTGTGCTTATTATCACCACAATACTGGTCACTAAATCCTGTAAATACATAATTGACCACAAGTTTATTTTGTAAAGGAACCTAAGAAGTCGTTTGAAGATTCCTAGATGGACGAAATAATGCTGTGGTGCTGTGGCGCTGTGAACATCGTGAAGAGCATTGAATCACTAATATTTGAACATTGTACCCAGTCATTATCACACTCAGGCTCTTCTGTAATACTATCAAGGCTAAATAAAACAAGTTATATATATATTTTGACATTATTGGGAAATGTTGTGGTTACAAGCTGAACAGCAGTACTGTGAATTCATGTTGCGTGCGCCGGCCTTGGTTACTCATTCACTACTGAGGCTCTCACACCCGGGAATGTGGACCACGATTTTTTTTAAAGATAACTTCTGTTTACAAGAGCCCTGAGGAAGCTAATGTGAACCCCATGTAGCCGCGGGAGTTTTGAATGGAACGTGAAAAATACAAATACTGTACCCGGAGGTGCGTAGCGCACCCCAGATGTGGGCCTGCAGGCACATTGCACAGTTAAAGGGTTAAAGGAATAGGACAAGATGTAATACTACCCAGAATTTTGAGCAAATTTGCAGAAGAATCTAGTGATCTACTAGGAAATATTTTCACACACGTTCCAAGAAGAAATGCATGTTCATTAATGTAAAATTGCAAATATTATGTCAATAGATACAAAAGAGGGTGACATAGACCACCTTCCCTAAACAAAAAGGCAGGTCATAACATTTTCAAAATAGTGATGAAAGAAATTATTAGAGCAAAGATGAGCAGTTTGCTGGTCACACATAGACCATGAAGCCTTTAAAAGGGGCTTACACATTAAGTCACTATACCTGTAGTGACTTAATGTAGACATACAGTACTGCAAGGAAAGTATTGCGAGAGTTCTCGAGTCCAATAAGTATCATATTTCTGGATCAGTCACACTGCAATACTTCTTAATGGCCTACCAAATACTAATTTATACCAAATTTTTAATGTAAGCAGGTACACAAGATGAAGCAAATTTTATATATGCCCAAATACTATTTTCCTGAACATCCACATTTTATAATTACAGTACTAATGGTTTCCATTTAAATTTTGCCCTTCCCTTTCATCTCTGTTACCATTTTCCTCAAAATGGACACTGAAGCAATCAAAACTTACTTTTTTAAAATACAGTACAGGTAAACAGAATATAATTAATATAAAACGTTGAGTAATTTTTATTTTTTAATTAAGATACTTTTATTAAGCTAGACACAAAAAATAAGAAATCAAAGAAATGAAACATTTGCGAAAAGATTTCGCTGTGCCAATCAACTATGAGATAAACATTGTTAATATAGATGTTCAGCAACTAACCCAGTGTGTGTTGTGATTCCATGAAAGTCCAGCAGCCACAAGTATAGGTGGCCAAGCAAATACTAATGGTGTGAGAGCAGCACTACTGGACCAATGGGCAACAACCACCCCACCTGCCCCACCGTCCACACCTCCCACCACACCACTGTACACGTTGCTCACCCCAGCCTCCGGCCACCTGTAATACAATGTCCACCAACCTCATTAAATAAACAAATATTGGTACTTACTTTCAATGAATTTTGCTTATGTTAAATCTAATTATATATTAATGCAAAAGTATTAATAAAGCAGTTTTTCTAATGGCTTCATAATTACACACTGCTCACCACAAAACCTGCATAGATGGTTCACCAAAGTAGTCCAACACATATTCGAGTGAACTACACAAAGTGCACTAACAAGCAAAGCCTAGATAAGTAACAACTATCAAAGCTCTAAACTTGTTTAGCTTACCCGCTTAAACTGCTCCAAGCTGCAGTACCCGGACATACTGCCAATGGTCGCCCAGATTCCACCGCAAGTTGAACACCTCGAGAGAAGTCATAGTCAGCCTGGAAAATATAAAGGACATAATAATACTGAAGTAGCTTCTACTGGCCAATGTAGGGCAGGTTCTCTTCACACCTAACCATTCTTACTTGTGCATTAATTTTGAAGGATTTTGTACAAAGAAAACAAGTGAGCATAAGAAATTAAGACAAGAGCTCCTTGCCTATGTTAATGGAATAAATGCACAGTCCCAACAACCGAGAAATTAATTGATCACAGTAAATCTTGAGCAAGAAGTGGATGCATAGACTGAGTGTGACAGATGTTCCTACTGCATCAAGCACAACTGGTGATGATATCAGTGATTTGACGAGAGAAAATTGTCAGATGAATTTCCAGGATTCAGAAGATTCATCAGGGAAGGAAGAAGACTGAAGAACTCAAGCAAGCATGGCAAAAGTAGCAAAGAGCCTTAAGGTAATTTTAAAGTTCATGGAGAGTAGATCTAATGTCAATACTCAAGAGTCTGATGTCTTTTGCAGATTTTTTTTTTAAATGCAGAGATGGTTTGAAGCAATTAATACAATACTCAAAGAGACTTTTGAGAGGGCTACCAGGAGAGCTTCAAGTGAAGCCTGTTCCTCATCCATGTAATCCTGGACCCTCAACACCTCAGCCTCAACTCTCAACACCCACCTCCACCCTCAATTAACACCACCATACTCGCCCAGACATAAGTCCCAGATTGTATGTGGAGAAACATCTCGACCCTTAATGAGTACCCATATTAAGTAATTTCTTTATTGTCATATTTACTATTACGAATACAATATTCGGTGGTGTTTTGTTTAGCGTATCTAATGAAGCTATAATATATTATGTACTTTTGCACATCAAATTATTATTTTCTTGTGGTTAGGAGTATACAACCAAATAGCCAATCATAACTACATACTGTATCCAATCGTGACTGGAGCCGAAGTGATTGGATTGGAGGATGTCAAGTGTACATTAATAACTTGTGGTGTAAAGCACATTAAATGCAGATCTAACATCAGTGAAGTCCTCATTTCTTAAAATACAAAATTTAACTCCTTTTCCTGGATTTTAAAAGAATGAAATACAAAATATTGCTGTGCTGGGCAGGAACATTTTATACTCCACAGAGTAAGTGAGCCCCAGACTACAATAAGGATATGAATGCTAATTATCTTGGTACAGATAAGACTTAGGCTTCTAAATGTAACATTAAATCATACAAATGAAGATATTTTGAAGTTAAATATAATGTGTTCTGGTGTCAAAATGAAAGCAACAAATAGCTACATACCTGAAAGCCATACTCCACCAAGATGGCTGTTGGAGGAAGAAAAGAGAGTTGTCGAGCCTTGTTGTGGAACACATTAGCACATACCAGTAGAACTGTCGACTGTGCCAGGCCCAGCTGTGCCCAAGGACTCAAGGAGATGGCATTGTCAGGGTCACTATTCCCTCCACAACTGGCTTCTGCCAGTACTGCTGTCAACCTTGGACCTATATGTACATATCTGCAACAGTTGTATTATCAGTCCTAAGCTGTAAGTATATAAAAATTTATGTGACATAGGGTTGCTATGAAACAACTGAGTGTATATATTTATCAACCCATCACCCAAAGATGATAGCACAGTACTGTACTTGTAGCAACTATCAGTAGAACATACAAAAAGATGGATCATTACTCCCACACTAAATGTGTGTACTATTAATTTTGTAGAGGGCAAGAGAAAGAAAGTAACAACCAAACCTAAACATTCCTAAGCCTAGTAGAGCACAAGTAAGGTCTAAAATGGTATATATTATTCCTAGCATTGTATATTTAGGCTTAGGATAGGACATGTTGTATCATTACCGTTCCACTTTTGGCTCGACATTTGGAGTATTCTAATGTAAAAATTAGGGGTACAACAGTCCAATTGTGTACATCTGACTAATACAGTGGAACCTCGAATAACAAATTTAATCCGTTCCAGCGCCATGATCGTCATGTGAAACAGACGTCATACAAAACGAATGTCCCCATTGACAATAATGGAAATAAAATTAATCCGTTCTACCACCGAAAAACATCAATATGATATTCGATGTTTTAAATAATGGAGCAGCCTACCTTACATACACTGAACAAACCTTTATGACATTTTTCTTTCTTCAAATTTGTTCAATATTTGTTTTCATTTGTCTTATAGGAAAAGGTTTGTTCAGTGTTAGGCAGGTAGGCTGCTCCATGTTTCTTAAAAAAAAAAAAAAAAAAAAAAAATCCAGAAAAATAGTATTCCTTCTACAGAAGGAATACTGGCCAGGCAGGAGTAACATTAGTGAGCACTTAGGAAAGTGAACCCTAAACTCATGCAGCTCGAGGCATACAGTAACTGAAGGTCTACATAATACAGTAGTGTGGCATAAAAACCAGTGTTGAATGTAATTAAATGCCATTTTCTGGGTGAGTCCCAGAGGCTCCCCAGAACTATCCAGGCTGATATGAATATCTCTAACTTTGGCATAAATCAATGTGGGTGGAGTTCTAAGCCTACCGGGGACCACGAGCCAGAACCTGGCCCCCTCAGAGAGGCACGAGGAGCAATAGCCTATAGAAATGCACATGTGATTTTGGAGCATTCTATCATTCATCGACCGGGACAGGCACCCAGAAAGGTAAGCGCCCCAAAAGAAACCCCTATTCTGGTTAAAACGACAATAATAGACAAACGAGTGGACAAAACTCCCCAAATGAAAAAGAGCAAACAAGCATGACGTCTCATGAGCCACGCCGCATGTCTATGCAGCTCCCCTCTCCTCGGGAGGGGGAAGGGGGGAGCCCTAGATCCTCATGCTGGGGATCTACACCCCAGTTCTGAGGTTGGATATCAAAAAATGCAAAAACCGACGGCTGGGAGGGAGGGAGGGAGGGTTGTCAGGGAGCCTCCAGGACTTGCCCAGAAACTACCATTTCATTACATTCAATGCTGGTTTTCTGGAGGGAAGCCCCTACGGCTCCCCGGAGCTACTTCACCAAAGACGAAAAAGAAAGGGGACTTATCCGGGAGGCAGTCGTGCTCACATCTCAACTCGAAGTCGAGACAGGCTGCAGCCGCCGACGAGGCCGAGGAACGTTAACGAGGTAGCGTCCAGCCAGGACCATGTTCAACCGCCAAAAACCCCATGCCCGAATGTCAGCTCAGGACACGTTACCAAAGACGGCAGCAAGAGCAGCAAAACTTACAAACGTTATGGGCACGGGAATAGACTGCAGGCTGGCTAGACTTAATAACCCTGCGAACGACCTGAGAGACCTGTACCAGCGAACAGGGAAGAAGGGAAACCGGATCAACCCAAAGCGCGTCCCCAGACACAGAAGCCATGGCGCCCAAATAATGGCGGAAAACCGCAACCGGACACAACACATGATGCACCCCCGGCTGGACCAAACAAGCATCAACAACCCAAGGACCCCCCCTAGAAAGCAGCATTCTCATTTTTTGCCAGAAAAGAAGGAGACGGCTGCAAGGGAACAAAAAGAAAAGAAAAACCTTGCAAGAAGGTTTATACCCAGAAGGAACAGAGCCAGCCACTGTTATAGGTGAAAACTAGCTGTGCAGTACCCCACGCCCCTACCAGTGCAAAAACTACCACTTACCCCAAGGCAAACTAGGGTGGAAACCCCCCAAAACACTCGGGGTGCTCAATTGCCAAGCAGCAAAAGACCAACAGAGGTTGACCCAAGATGACTTGTGGAAGATAACCCCAAGCCCCAAGGGCGGTACTTACAGGGCACTTAGGGAAGGGAACCCTAAGCACGTGCAGCCCGTGTACCTAGGAATATTACTCCCAGCTCGCATGCCACTGTAAGAGCAGTACTGAACCAAGGCACAGCACAACACAAAAGTCTGGAGCTGGAGCCACACAACCGTGATGCCTCACATCAGCCGAAGAACTGGGGTGTGGATTGCTGGCGCGGGGGTCTGGGGCTTCCCCTTCCTCCTCCAGGGCAGAAGGGAGCTACGCAGACATGCGGTGCGGCTCGTGTGACGTCATGCTTGTTTGCCCATTTTCATTTGGGGAGTTCTGTCCACTCTTTTGTCTATTATCGTTATTTTAACTGGAATAGGGGTTTGTTTTGGGTACTTACCTTTCTGGGTGCCTGTCCCAGTCGATGGCAGATATAGAACGCTCCAAAATCACATGTGCATTTCTATAGACCACTGCTCCTCGTGCCTCTCTGAGGGGGGCCAGGTTCTGGCTCGTGGTCCCCAGTAGGCCTAGAACTTCACCCACATCGACTGATGCCAAAGTTAGGGATATTCATATCAGCCTGGATACCTCCTGGGAGCCGTAGTGGCTCCCCCCAGAAAATACATGGTCAGGGTAAGATTCTAGTATTTGCTTATGGTCATAAGTGGGAATGACCACAGGGTGTGTTTAGCCAAAGAATACCAGTGCCTAAGCAATGGGGAGCCACTCAGGAGGGGGGGGAGCCATTAGAAAACTACTTTCATTTAGCAGATGTGTAGTTATTATTGAATTATAGAAGTTTTTTATAACCATGGAAGAAAGTGCAGTACTGTACCTTGCAGAAGGAAAATGCGTGAGAGTTGCACTAATGGTTGTTGCCACTGCACCCAGCTGAGTGGAGGAAATTGTTCCCTCTATATCAAAAGCTGGCACCAGGCTTATTCCTCGATCATCACAATAACGATCAAGCGATACAACTTCGCTGAAAAGATAATATATTATTTGGTTATCAGTAACATTCACGGACTGTATTGATCAAATGAGCAGCATCTTGTGAAAAGTCATGCTTTTCACCATTGTTCAAAGCATTCAAGGCAAGAGTTGGCCTCCACGTGTTCACTTCTTCTTGCAGTGTCCAAAATCTGCATTCTTTATCCTGATCATTTGCTTCTGTATTTAAGGATATAAATTATTTTCCCTATTTACCCATCTTTAACATGATCTCTTTCTTCACACTGCAATTTACACCACCATCACACATCCTACTCACCATTTATACCACCACCACGCATCTTCCTCACCAAGTAGACCACCACCACACATCTTCCTCACCAAGTAGACCACCACCACGCATCTTCCTCACCAAGTAGACCACCACCATATATCTTCCTCACTGCCTATTTAGTCCACCACCATACACAAATGGTAATAATATATTTACATTTGTGCAGCTGCTCATTTTCTCGTTATTTATTTGTACAAGTCGGCAATCATTTGCATATGATTGCCGACACATGATAAAAATAAAATAAAAATACTTGCATTATAGTGCATATCATTACTGTAATAAAAATAATGAAACAATGTTGTCCCCAGAACAGTGAGTTAGCTAGTCTTGAAATATTTCTTAATACTTATTTTTTATACAGAACTATTGCATGCTATAATTTTTTTTTTTACATGAAAGTGTTTCCAAATTACTGGTCCATTGTACAGTGGGAACAGCACGACAGACAAACCCAAGAAAGTGATAACTTTCCCTCATTACCATGGTAATGGGGGAAAGAAAAGATACACAGCATACACCAACGAGAAAATGCAGATGCTCCAGAAAAGGGGGAGGAAAAAAAAAGCAAATGATGCAAACAACCCAGATCATCATAACCCATCCAAAGAGCAGAAGGGAGAAGGCAGGATGTACTCGGAGACACATGGGGTGAGTCAAAGAAAGAGAGAGGCGGTTCATATGAGACAGACAAGGATACAAGCTATAGTACTGTACTGCATTGTCCTTTGCAGATGACACTAGAATTTTCATGAGTATTTATTCTTTGTAAATTTCAATAACCTTCTTTAACTATATTATTCATCTTTAATTTGAGGGTTAATGCCTCCCCACACCAGTAAGTGGGAAATGGAGTAATTATCATGAATGAATAATATAAATCATTAAATCAATAGTGAACGTAATATATACACTTTAGATTTGATCACAGACCTGGGAGAGTAGGGCAGACTACAGGCATTAGGTGATGCACGCAACATGAGGTGTAACTGGTTCATCTTCAAGGCAAGTAATGAATCGACCATCTGGTACACACGTTCCTAGGAGAGGAGCAGACTAGATAAAAACTCCCTCACCATTCTAGGTTTTCATTATGTATAACAAAGAATACAGGAACTTTATGTACTTTCCTTCAAAACATATAATTTTCCATATTGTCACGTTGCTTTGATCCCCAAATTCTCTTGCCCTCTTTCTTTGTAAACATATCAGCCATGGGCATCAGTCTACTATTCCACAGTTCAATCTCAAAACCAAATAATTCACAACTGTAGTTATTCTGGCTGTTGAGATGACCTAACATTGAAAATAAAACTGCATAAAATATTAATACTTACTAACGTAGGGACCCGTGCATGTGGAGAAACATCCAACAAGACCCCTCGGTGGGAGAGTGACGGTTGATCTATTATGACTAGTGGAGGAACATCTCCTTTCTCAGTTGCTTCAGTAGAGCACACACACACACGCAGCAGTTGGACAAGTGTCACCAGAGCATAGTGGAGGCTCTCTATTGATCCACACAACATGGTCACCTGAAAATTTTCACCATGACAAAATTAAAAGATTCCAGCTGGAATTTGTAGCCTATGCTATTTGTAGCTGGCGCAGTGAGGTCCGGGACTCTCCCCCCTTCTCTGGGAGAGGAGGGCTGCGCGGACAAGCGGCGCAGCAGTAAAGTGTGATGTTTGCTTATTTGCTTGTTTCCTTCGGATTGCAGGGAGTTTCTACCTCTGTTCGTTTTTTTTGTTTTAGTTTCTTACCATGTGGGGTTTGTTTTGTTATGCCTACCTTTCTGGGTGCCTAACCCCGGTCAATGGCAGATAAGGAAAACCCCCAACCACAGGGGAGTTTTCCAGGGCCATTGCTCCCTGAAACCTCTCTGAAGGGGCCAGGTTCTGGTGCTGGTCCCTGGTAGGTCTGAACTCCATAGCTAATGTCCCAATCTAATATAAAGTACATTAGCCCGATAAGCTCCAGGGAGCCTCCGGTGCTCCCCACAGAAAATGCAGAGTTAATGCAACAGTTCACTCTTATTATCCTTAAATACCATTTATCACTCTTGTCATCAATGCTTTTCTAAGAAAAATAAAGATCCAACACTCTACATCTAAATTAGTCACTTTAATTCAAGTTACAAAAGCTTTTTTTTTAAATGGCTCAGTAGAGAAATCTGATCTTCAGTTAAATATATTCATATCCACATGTCTGCTGCTGCTGCTGAGAGTTGTCAGGAATATCGGTCATGTAATTTTGACTGCTATTTCAACATATGTACAGCTACATGTACAAAAAAGCCATCTCCATACCTATCCTTCCTTAAACTAGTTACTTTAGGCATTAAGCGCCCAACTTGATATCCCACTTATAATTTAAATTAGCTGTATCCTATCAACCATTTATCTACCCTTGTGCACCAGTTTCTTTCCTGGGTTCCTAAAAATAACACGTTCCTCATTCACAGCGCCAAAAAATGTGAGCATTTGCACTCATAGATCTGGATTTAATACAACAGACCAGGTAAGATAGGAAGGAAAATAACCCTCACTTGGATAACTATTTTTTAATTGGCTGGCTGTTTTATTACAAGCCAGTAGGAACACTGGTTATACAATACTGTACACCAAACACTAGCTTAATACAAAACAAACAACTGTCTCTTTGGCAAGAATTTAACTTACAATATTTGGAATGCCACCCTACCAATATAACCTTCCTACCAACCAAATTTGATCTCGCTCTGCTATCTCATACGCAAGCAGCAGATATAATACAACTTACGTGAAACCTTCTAAAAAAAACATCGTTCTTAGTTATATGTAAAAATCTATCTAAATTATTACTTTGCTGTCCTGTATGGTGAGTGTGTACTGATGGGGATGGTTGGTAAGTGCAGCATCCACTATGCACGTGAACGTGTGAGAAGTCGGAGGGTCCCGAGCACCCACAACTGCTCCTAGACTAACGTGACAACCAACTTCTTCAAGCCAGCCCTTATGGATATCCCACACATCTACAATCCTGAAACATACATAACACAATTATTATTTTTAATTTCAAGCAAGTGTAAAGAGAATATTCAGGTATGAGCAAATGACAAAATTTGTTCCAGATGAAAGTAATCTTTTCATATACAGTACAGGGGTCCCTCCATTTATGAATTTAATCCGTTCCCAGAGACAGGTCATAACTCAAAAATTCGTAACTCAAAATGAATTTTCCCATAAGAAATAATGTAAATTGAATTAATCCGTTCCACATTCCCAAAAATATTAACTTCAAAATACATTTCATACATAATACATACAGATATTTTATACTATAGTATGTACAAATTATAGCTTATCTTTATTGACGACTCTTGTCGGAGTATGGAAGACGGTGATGAGGAAAAGGGGGGGGGGGGAAGAGAAGAGATATTACTGTTTGGAAGGGGAGTCCCCCCACTTCCATTATAACATCAGGCAGTGATGACTTCTCTGGGGGTACTCTCTCTCCTACATTTTGCCTGCATACCACTAGGATCTGGATGTGACTCACTGCTTGTTTTTCTCACCAAGAACCTTTTCATAGAGACCTGTTTTTCCCTATGTTTTAACATTTGTCTGTAGTGAGGCATCACAGTGTCATTGAAACGGTTAAGGCCTATAATAGCCTACTGCAGCTTGATTTGGGCGAGTCGTTTCAACAAGTCTTTGCATTTCTTCCCATACTGCAAACCACTTCTTAATTGTTGAGAAACCCTTGGCATGGTATATAATAATTACTTATATGTTTAGAAAGCAAAAAAAGCTGAAAAAATGAAATTTGTTACAAAGAATTCAAGTGCGATCGTCACTAAGCGGGCAGTCTCGTAAACTGAAGTGGGGTCACTCGTGCCATCAGAAACCATGCGCTCCATCAAAACATATGTGTATCAACAAAGTTGCAAGTCGAGGCAATGGTTGTAAGTCGAGTTGAATTTTCCCACAAGATTGAGGTCGTAACTCAAAAAAATTGTAACTTGGGGGGGGATTCATAAGTTGAGGTTCCATTGTACAGTATTACCTTTAAAGAGAATGTAAAACAAAGATGCTCTTATTGAGAAAAGTAAAATACACTATATTCAAGGAAGAACAACTTATTGTATAGGTACATGTACAATAACAAAATTTAAATACCACAATGAAAACAACATTAAAGGAAAGGATCAAATAAAGGTGGTTCAGACAGTCTGTATACTGTTGAAATCTAAATAATTGACATAAAGGAAGCACCTTCCTTTTATAAATTGAAATATCATGGAAGAATTATGCAATAAAATTCCAATTTGATCAAACTGCAATTATGAAGATTAAATTAAAAGATAATGAAAATATACAAGGCATTTCACATCATAGAGAAAGAGAGAAACATATGATTATCATTAATCATCAACACCACAAGCAGTTATTGTTATCAGCTCATAAGACCATATCAGTACTGTACTGGTCAAAATATTGGTATCTCTACACTTCTACTATAGAGGCCCTAAAACAATGCAGGCAAGTCCTACTGAATGTGGACCAGTGCAAGCCCAAAAGATGCCCCAAGAATGGATCTGGCCAGCAACTAATGCCACGGTAAGATCTAGAGCAAAATGTTTAACTGTTGTCCCTGGACACTGAAGATGGCAAAACACACACCCTGGTGAGTTTGGTGAATATTTTGAGCACCAGGTTCAATTTCAAAGGGAGAGCAAGCTATGTCATGGACACAAACCCAAAAATGTTCCTGAACTTCAGATTAATTGGAAACATACCAATAAGCATTCTATATATCCAGGGGACACAAGCCAGAGTGAGATGTCCAGGCCTATTTCCTTACACTCGATGCAACTGTTCACCTAGCGGTAAATAGCCACCTAGGAGTTAGTCAACTACTATGGGTTCTAACCTTGGGAAGGTCAACCATTAATTATGGAAATCTTGATAAACCAAGCAGGTTTCCTGTCCTGACAATGGCAAGCCATTTATATATATGGGTACATAAATTTAGATGATTTGTGGTATAATACCAATACTAGTACAGCATAAATGAAGAAAATGTAACAGCTAGGTAGCAGAACTTCAATAAATCTCTTGGCATCCATGAGTAGTGTTGCCATGAGTGGCTATGCCAAGCAGTACTAGTATGTACTGTGATTCCTAAGGTGCTACTTCAATTTTAGAGGAAATACCAGTAAGTGATACAGGGCTTGTTGTAAGGCTTACTTATGAACAGGTATCACTCCAGCAACAATAGCCAGCGAGGTATGGGAAGGCGGTGACCAGCGAGGGCCACTCAACTCAATGATGCGGCGAGGCTGGGGCCATAGCAAGTGTAGTGACGAGTGGGTCACCAATGGTCGAGGTGGTGCCGTCAGTTGTGCAGATGCTAAACGTTCACACACCTGAAACATGTATACCTGTACTGTAGTAAGCAATCTAGCCACATTGATTAAACTCTATAGAACCTGGTCAGAGACCAGACCGTAGAAACACTGATCCTCGGAACTACATTGAGGTAACATCAGGGTATTGATGGAAACACACAAAAGCAATGATATATCACTGATATGCAGCTGGATTTTAAATTGCAGCAATGTTTAGACATTTATGGCTTTGGCAGGTAGGCAGTTCCGTAGGTTTATAATCCTATGGGTAAAAAGTATCTCCTGTTTTCTGTTCTACATTGTAGCATGTTAAATTTGAACCCATTCAACTCGGAATGCACAGTAATTATGCAAACCAGTTTGCACACTGAATATAGGATTAAATTTAAATAGTTCAAAATTAATAATTTAGAATAATTTCCAGTGAACAGGTCTTAGTATTAACTGCTCTCCCAGATCCAATTTTACTCTTAACATTACCTGTTCCATACGAGGACTAAGTTCTAATGATGATGAAGACTGCAAAGGAGAGCGAGACTGTGGAGTGCCTACTGAAGGTTTTCTTGGAAGGATGCCATCACTGTTACCAGCCTCCACACCTGTCATAACACTGTCAGTCCCCATACTTGCTAAGGATTCCAGGGAGCCAGATGCTCCTCGAGACATTGAAAGGCCTGTGTAAGAGAATTTGCACAATGATAATGAGAGGAAAAATCATAATAGCACGAATGGCAGCATGATACTTCAGTAATGTACAAAACAAAACTATTTAAAATTGTATTGAATAATCTATTACCCAATTCAATGAATGTGGGAAATGAGGTAATGAAAATTAATATATAGTATGAATTGAAATTCTATATATGTACTGTTTAACAGACCAGTAGTGAGGAGTTGCAATATTTGCCCCATTTTTTGTTTTAAATTGTGAGAGAACAGGGTTTTAAATTTGAATGCAGAGCACATACAAAGGTATACAGTACTGAATTAAAGGATGAGAATACTGGGAAACTAATGTATTTAAATCATACTGAAATATCTAATATAAATTAACACACAAACTGAAATTATTAAACTAACAACACAAGTATCATTAGGCTCACCTCTGTCTGAGAGTGACCGCCGCTCTAATAATGGGGAAACACTACCATTGGCAATGCCATTGACTTGAATTGGTTTATTTTCCAAGAAATACTGTTGCATCAGATCTTGAAGCTGCGGCTTACACGAGGCCATTTCCAAAGGCGTCTTCCCTTTGTGTCGTCTAATGAGGAATAAAGAGGTACAAAAATAAAGTGACTACAGAAGATAATACTGTACAGGAAAGAAAATTTAAATGATTTTCCATACCAGTATTGCATCCTAAATTCATGAAATATGTATTACATCATTGTAATTGGACACTATTAATTCTATTTACTCTGTTCTAAACAACTAGAAATGTATTTAATCTTTTAATTAAACTCAGTACAGCAAACCAAGATTATGAGATGTGCATGCTATATCCTCACCATAGATTATTCTTAAGTTGATGCCTTATATTTTTATGTTTACAATGTTTACATTACATGTTTCTTTATTTGAGCTACATTGCTTACTTAATGGTGTACAGTATGCTGCTCTTAATATCCATCTTTTGAATTTCCTGTTTTGAGTCATCAGAACTTCATGGATCACTCATCATTCATTACAAGAACTCTTGTTATCCACTAGGGCTGTGCTCCACAAAAATGTAGGCAAGTTAATTCACAAATATTGAATTGTAGTAGCCTTTCTTCAACTCCTCTCTCAAAAAAACATCTGTTGTATCTATACATTACTCCTACAACTGACTGCCCAACAATATACAATACAGCAATATGCTATAAAAATCAGGTTTTGAGTGCATATAGAAAGCCAGTATCTAATGCAATCAAAAGTATTACGATATTATGATGTGTGATGCTAGAGCCACTTAGTCAATAATTCTAGGACCTACCCTGCACACAACTCATTGAAGACAAGGTAAACATCTTTTAAATCAAGCACCCAAGTATGGAAGATCAGCTGCCCATACCCACATGCCGACATCAAAGGAAGGAAGCCCTGGCCTACAGTAGGAGTGAAATATAAATGCGAAAATTGCCCACTTTCTGCACAAGAAATAAGTAACATTCAAGAGCTAACCCATTCATGAGTCTAGTCATTACCAGAAACAGAGGCAGAAGAAGGTACATCTCCCCTCATTCTGCTGGGCATCCAACTTTAGCAATAAGACTTTTCATTTTTTACAGAACTAGTTTTAATCAAATTTACCCCTTGTAACACTGAATATGTGGATTAGCATCATGGTCCAAGAGAATTCTCACAATGTTTTCATCTCCACGAGCTACAGCATCATGGAGGGGAGTTGCACCATCACTGTTAGCTGCATTAATATCTGCTCCCCGAGCTGCAAAAAAAATAAAAACAATTGAAATCTAAAAATGTGGAGGTAATATCCATTAATTTATTCATTTAAATGTATTTATAACAATAAATATAAAGTATATATATACACTGATCTACAAATGGCTATATAATTAGCCAAGAATATTACCCAAGTGTAGTAACAGAAACCGAGTCGAGCTTATTGTATCTTGTGTTCCTTGTACAGTATCTTTTTTTTTTTTGGTATATAAGTAGATACAGAAGATGACAATTTCTGGTATCTACATTGTAGATACTAGTTTACCCCTAAATATGACCACCAATCAGTTTACAATTGGGTCCTTAATTACTACTTGATGAACAGAGGCAAGCAGTTAAGGTTTGGTGCCAATTATATTCCGGCTCATACCTGACTGAAATTGCTTGCGAGACGTGGAGTGAGTGCTACCCATGCCACTGGGGCTTTAATTTGTCACATACTGTAGTCTGGAGTTTTTGAACTTCTAATGCTGTTTGCACACACTACCCTCACTTATAATTTATATATATTGACTACCACTCTGTTAGTAAAGGAGAGCATTTTGAGACATTTTTGACACCTTAATTTCTGTAACTTGCACTCAAAACCTTTTATTCATAATGTTGCGGATTTAAAACTCCCTCTATCAATTTGATCAATTCTCAAACAATTTTTTTAATCATATCACCCTTTTTCCTCATTGCTCTATTTAGTTCCAGAAGGCATTTAGTAGAATGTCTTTGCATCTTATCTATGCTTATTGAGATAAGGACAAGAAGAAATGGTTGCATATTCTACCTTAGGTTTCTCTGTCATGTCATGAAAAAATATCTTGAGCATATTTCCATGCATGTGCTGAAATGTAATTCTAAAATTGGCAAATGTAGCATTGGCAAGTGTAGCACATCAGAGGCATATTAGCTATGCCTCTGATGTGGCATTCAAGTGACAACTTTCTTTCCTGGATCACCCTCAAATCTCTTTCCATGACTCAACTCTTTTAAAATATTTTCACATAATATTAAACTACCTTGCGATAATTTTTGGGCTCAGCGTCACCGCGGCTCGGTCCTCGACCAGGCCTCCTGGACTATATTTGTCCTAGTGAAGAGGGAGAAGAGGAAGGGAGGCTCGAGCCATCCCTTGGTTTTCCATAGTCAGGGATGGGAAGCTTGTTAGGCTTAGCCACTACTGGCGTTCCTCAGGATGAAACCCACAACAGTTGTCTAACTCCCAGATACTATACAGGTTTACTGTTAGATGAACAGAGGTATCAGGTGAAATGAAACATTGCCCAAATGCATGTCTTGCAGCTAGATTTGAATTCAGGATTTTTAAGCCGAGAACATATGCACTTACGACTGTGTAATATCAAGTACATATTGAGTGTGAGTACAGTACTACACCACTCAAAACTAGTGAGAGCACCACTAACACCTGCCAATAATGAGGTGGAGCCTGATCCTAATGACCCACCACCAACACCAACTCCCAAATGTCCAAGTCTCACCCAGCACTATCTCACCAACATACACTGTACTGTATAATGTGTGTCTACAACCTTGGTGAGTACTCATATTTTATCAAATTTTAATGAGCAAGTTGTGGAAATATTTTTCTGTATAATATTTTGTAACAGTAATAGGGAAAACCAGGATCTTTAACCCTTCAACTTCATGTATCAACCAGGGTTGTATTTATGTCCAAGAGCAAGATTTAAAACTTCTCTAAGGTAAATGGGACACCCATATGGTGCCTCAGGCCTCCAGTAAACAGTCGCCATCTTGCTAAAAAATCATGGGCTCCTGCATTTTGGCAGGTAACCCTCAGTTTGTATACGGTGACCATGTGCACCACACATGCCAGCTCAGCCATGGTGGGTAGCTGGCTTCTGCTCTGCTGGGGGGCACTGGATGACTTTTGTATTTTTAGTTAGGGCCCCCCCCCCCCAAGTTTTTAGTTTTAGTATCCAGTGTTCTCCGTGTGAGGTGGGGCCATTGCTTGTCACCCTGAGGGACTCCTGGGTGCTCCCCAATCATCTGCCCATCTGTGCGTTTATTTGCCATGAGGCACATTAGTTTCCGCTGATAGGCGACATTCATTTTGCCATTAGGCTTCGCGATTAACCCTTCATGGGTACGCTGGGGTGCATCCACTCCCACGATTGTTGTCGTCCCTAAATCAACAGCACCAACAACATGCCACCAGCTCACAACACCATGTGGCTTGTGCTACGACATCACTTATAGAAAAGCAAATTAACAGGGTACATTACTACTAGAATCTGACAATTATAATGATGTAGATGATCCTGTCGGTGATAAAAAGACTATACACAAGGATTGAATAAAAATGATACGGACAGTAAAATTGATGAACCAGTGATCATTTTGAAGGCAAAGCTTACACCACCATGGTCACAGGCAGCGTTCTACTCCTCCACTGCCACAGCGTCTCATTACAGCAGCTGTGCCACCTGCTGTTCCTTTACCCTATGGACATATAGATGACGACTCATTTCTGGATTTAGTAACCAGGATTCTGATACACAAGGAAATCACACTAATGTGATATATCAATGAGACTCAATTGGAGCAATGAGGGGGATTCAAACCCTCAACCAGGGTACTCCCAAGCCACGCATCTAAATTTTAACTACTATATTATAATATAAAAATTGGAATTTGTTTTTGTGCCCACCATAGAGCTGTGTGTAACAAGTGCAGTGCAGGGGCCAGATTTACGAAAGCACTTACGCAAATACTTACGAACGTGTACATCTTTCCTCAATCTTCGACTGCTTTGGTTACTTTTATTACAGTTTACAAGCATGAAAACTTGCCAATCAACTGTTGTTATTGTTATAAACAGCCTCCTGGTGCTTCGGAGCTCATTAACTGTTTAATAATTGGAAACAAAGCCGCCAAAGATTGAGAAAAGATGTACAGGTTCGTAAGTGCTTGCGTAAGTGCTTTCATGAATCTGGCTCTAGGGGCTTAAGTTCATGGAGTGCATTCCAGTTTTCCAAATATAAACTTTAGTTACATTTTAATGCATTTTGGTATGAAGCCATCCCTTGCATACATCAAGGGACTTGTACATTTAATTTTAAATTAAATCTTGAAATGTCTTCCATGAAGCTACACTTCCCAGTATCAACATGAAGTTCTATTTTATAATCAAGAAATTGTCTGTTGCTAGCAACACAATATTACTTTGAAACCTTAGAAAGAAACAAACATTGAAAACCTCTAAGGGATGCCTATTAAATGTTAAGTAGCCCATATACAGTATTTATAAGACAGCCAGCTCCAATAGTTGCAAGGAGTGAGAAAACAAGCTATTTAATCAACCAAGATGTACTGTACTTGGCAAGGAAGAAATAACACCTGGATTTGAGGTGAATTTATAAAAATGAAGCAATGTTTTTTTAATGAGTATGAAAAACCTAGTATATATTCATAATCTTTAAATTTGAAGGATAATAAGATGTTGATAAAGTGATACATGATGTATGTTTGCACTCACTGTACCAGTGCAATCATAATAACGGAAATCCAATAAACTCATTAGTTATACGATTGCACAAGTAAAAGAATGTAAATTTTGAAAAGAATTAATAAGGTAAGCATAAGTAAAACTACATAAACTCCAAACAATTTTTTCATATATAGCTATAAGATACAAATTACATGGAGGTTAATACCAAGCAGCATCGTCCGAATACTGTACTGCATTAACGATCTGCTCCACAACCAGAGATCTTTTTCAGTATGTATCACATCTTGACTGATTTCCTACCTTCTCCAATACTAGCAATTGCAATACAAATTTGGTTTTATTCCTGGGCCAATTACATTGACCTACCTCAATGTTTAAAGAATAGAATTTATATGAAGAGCAGGTATAAAATTTGATTTGCATTAAAGAAATTTAAGGAACAAATGACTCAAATTCAGAAAATAAGTTACCAATTAGACAAGTAAGGGTATCGGTGTCGGCAAATGATGCTGCCCAGTGCAGAGGGGTGTTGCGACTAAGTGGGTTGTCGTGAGAGTTGATACTCAATCCAGCTGCAATCAGTTGACATACACGACCAACACTAAAACCAAAATTATCAAATTTAGCAAAAATTCTTAAAACAAACTTTGCTATTTTGTAAAATCTGGTACTGTAGAACTTACAATGTCTAAATTGCCACATTTGCTATCTATATCTATTTTCTCCATCTGAACTCATCACGTAATCCTCCTCATTGTCTTGTTAAAAATAAAAAAACAGCCATTTATATTATTCAGGAATCAACAGAGCTAGTCATTTCTATATGGTAATCAATAGAATAAATACAAAGTGATAAAACTATAGACTTCTAACTACACAGGTACAGAAATCCAAACGTTAAAAGCTGTTCAGAACTAAACTAAAATTGTCATCACAAGGAGGTTCACACACTACCATACTCTACTGCTATACTAGTCAGTCGTTGTTATCTTTTTTTTTTCATTTTCCGGTGCGTGTGGTTTGGTCATCATATCTTCAGCCACGTTATTGTGACTCATCATCTGCCTATACTAGTCACATTAATATGTATAATGTGCACACATTAATAATAATTAATAAATACTGTACTGCAAATAAATAATAATTATAATAATAGCAACAATATTTGATTTATGAGAAACAGTATACAAAGGATAATATTCCAGTAGCTATATACCTGGCAACATTATTCTTGTTTCCTCGTCAGATCTATACCCTGTAATTTCAAACAGATTGCCAATGCTGCAAGAAAGAGTGAAAAAATCAATAGGCATAAAAATAATAACAATTGTGACAAATCTCGATAAAAGTTGGTAACATCTGAAGAAGAGAGCACGAGATGTGAAACAAAAAACAAAAAAAGTAAAGTGGTAAATGGAATTCAATGTGAATAAATGCTGTGTTATGGAATGTGGATTCGGAGAAAATAGACCACACACAACTTACAAATTATGAGGAATGGAATTACAGAACTCTAATAAAGAACGAGACCTAAGGGTGTTTTGGATAGTAAGCTGTGGCCAGCGGAATACAAAGAACATTGTGAGAGCAGTGTATGGGTCACTTTCCAACTTCAGCCTTGCTTTTAATTATATGGATGGTGAAATACTAAAGAAACTGTTCATGACTTTTATGAGACCAAAATTGGAATATGCAGCAGTTGTATGGTGCCCAAATCTCAAGAAGCACATAAAGAAACTGGAAAAGGTGCAGCAGCATGCTACAAAATGACTTCTGGAACGGAAAAACTAAGAGTTACAAGGAGAGACAACAAGCATTAAACATGCCAAAACTAGAAAAAAGAAGAAAAAGAGGTGATATGATCACCACATACAAAATTCTAACAGGAATCAACCAAATTGACAAGGAGGAATTTCTTAAACCAGCAACATCATGAACAAGAGGACACAGATTCAAGCTAAGGAAATAAAGGTGCCGAAAAAATTAGAAAGTTTTCTTTTACAAACAGTGGTAGACAGTTGGAACAAGCTAAGTGAGAAGGTGGTGGAGGCCAAAACTGTCAGTAGTTTCAAAGTATTGTTATACAACAAAGATTACTGGGAAGACGGGACATCACGAGCGTAGCTCATCTTGTAACTACACTTAGATAATTACATCTCCATGTACTGTAGAAAGAGATGTCATAATTTAAATACAGTATCTGAGACACCAAAGTCTATGAGTGGACTGAAAGTGTAACCAAAATTAGAGTTTTTTGAAAAGCAAGAAACCCAACAATACATTAAAGTACAGTCCTGGAGAAGTTGTTCCACTTCAGTTTATGAGCCAATAACTGACCTTTCCCAGGATGAGCCCAGAGTAATTAATTAATCCTCAAGTACCTATGTCACATACAAGAAACTGGATATAAAACATGTTCATGAAGCTAACTAAAACACAAATACTGTATAGAACAGTACCAACTGAATAGTCCTCTACTAGACAGAGTCCAAGGATGGCCAGCACTTGGCCTAGAAATAGCGGGAACATGCGACTGGTTGATAATCCAGGAGCCTTACACTGGATGACCTTAGTCTTTCGCTGTACAGCTTGTGGTCCCTGGTAGACCAAACAGAACACTGCAGCCGAAGTAACCTAGTAGTTGCGAGCCAGAATTGGGCATGACAGGTGAACAGGAATAATAGCCACCTTGATGTCTAGTCAAAGCACATACAGTGACACCTCGACTTACGAATGTCCCTATTTACAAACTTTTCGGGTTACGAGCCCAATTTCTTTGTAAAATGTGAATCAGCTTACGAGCTTTGCCTCGAGTAACATAGTTTGTTGATACGTTTATAGGCGACCTAGCGCGCAGTTCCTAGTGGCACGGTCTCCCGCACTTCAGTTTGCCAGTGCCTCCCGCTTACTGACGATCGCGCATGATTTCTTTGTAAAGAATTTCATTGTTTTTTTACTTTTCTGGGTTTTGAACGTAAAAGTAATTATTACATATCATGCCATGGGTCCCAAGAAAGTCAGTGGTAAGGTCCAACCTAAAAAAAACACATGTGAGGATGACCATAGAGGAAAACAAGAGATCATTCATAAACACGAAAATGATACATAGGTCGTTGAACTAGCTAGGCAAAACAACAAATCTTCAGGGAAAGGAGGAAGCAGTAGAGGATGTCCCTTCCTCATTAATTAAGAAAATGTGTGCAGTGGGAAGAACTGCAAAGTTTTGCTGAAAAGACTCACCTAGATAAACCTTTAACAGGCAATTGCATTGACCTTATTAATGACAATGTGATGTCTCACTACAGACAAGTCTTAAAATGTAGGGAAAAACAAACGTCTTTAGACAGATTCTTAGTAAGACAAGCAAGCAGTTCCTAGTGGCATGCCTGCAAAATGTAGGGGAGAGAGAGTAACCCAGAGAAGTCATCAGTGCCTGATGTTATAATGGAAGGGGACTCACCTTCCAAACACTAACACCTCTCCCCCTCCCCCCTCCTCACCGTCTTCCATACACCAAAAAGAATCATCAATAAAGGTAAGCTCTAACTTGCACATACTATAGTACTAAATATTTGTGTGTATTAGGTATGAAAAGTATTTTGAAACTAATATTCTTGGGAGTGTGAAACAGATTAATTCAATTTACATTATTTCTTATGGGAAAATTTGTTTCGGGTTGCGAATTTTCAGGTTACGAACCGTTTTTGGCAACGGATTAAATTCGTAAACGAAGGGGCCATTGTATAACGTAGATGTATCTTTTGGATAAATTTCTTGGTATTCTTTTTTATCAATTATCCTTAGAACACAGCTGTCTGAAGAGATGTCTAAAAAATACATCTACAAAATTTAAAAAGGCTAAAAATTCGTGTAATGCTGACGTCAAGACACCACCATAAATCAACACTTACTCTGACTGTGCTGTAGCACGAAGCAACTCCTCGGTGAAGATGGCAGTGATTGATTGTGAGGGGACCAGTTGCAAAGGAGTGTTGCCCTCATTATCCTGCACCCCAGGGTCAGCACCTATTGCTAACAATGCTCGTATAATGTCTCCTCGACCAAGCTGCAAGACAGGTAAAGTACGTACTACATATACATTTATTCTTAAGGAATAGTATAATAGTACATATCATAAATTTGTAAAAAAAAAAAAAAAAAGTAAATAAATTGTCTTGTGTCACTATAAATATAATTACATATTGCAACCTGCAATATATGAACAAATAAACCAGGAATTTCCTTAGCACTAAAGCTCAGATTGATTTGAAACTGACTAAAAATTATGATATGACCCTTTAAGGTAAAATTTCACATTTATGTTAATTTATCTTAAAGCAGGCAGTTGCTCTGGTGATGGTTGAACCAAAATGAGCTTTGCTGAATCAAGGTTGCACTGTATTATATTAAGGAGGATAAATAATGCCAATTGAAAATAATTACCTTGGTTGCCATGTGTAGGAAGGTGCCATCTTCTGTTGCAAGTGAATTTATCAACTGTTTCCTCTCTTCTGTTCCACCACCATAACTTGCTGAAAATAAACATGTCCCAATAAAATTAAATAAAGTACTGTACATTTACATTAGTGATTATAATGGAAGGTAATCACAAAGGAATTACTGTATATATGTCTGGATCGCATGAGGGTAACAATGAAAGGTATCACCAGGCTGGTACATCACCTAATCACCCAACTTGACTTGTTTAATTTTGCTTGTGGAAGGTCAAGCTTCAGCTCTCTGATCATCCCTTTCAGCTGTCAATTAACTGGTGTACAGGTTCCTGAGCCTATTGGGCTTTTATCATTTCTATCATCTGAAACTGTACATGGAGTCTGCCTCAACTACTTCTATTTTTAGTGTATTCCATTTGATCACTATCCAGACACTGGCAATATTCTTTCTAATATCTCTAGTGCACATTTGGCCATTCAAAATCCATCTGCGTCCCTGTTCAAACACTACACTTATTAAATAGTCTGTCCTTGTATGCCATATCAATTCCTTTAAAATTTTGTACATGATAGTCATGTCTTCCCTAACTCTTCTGTCTTCCAGTGCAGTGAGGTTTAATACCTTTAACCTTTCATTGTGACTCACACTCCATAGTTCTGGTACTAGTCTGGTGGCATACCCCTGAACTTTCTTCAATTTTGTCCTGTGTTTGCCTAAATATGGACTTCACATTACAGCCACATATTCCAGGAATGGTCTGACTTATGTGATATACAAGGTCCTTAATGATTTCTTATAGAGGTATCAAAAATAGTTCTTATGTTAGTCAATCTAGCATATGTTGCCGATTACTGCACCTTCGATAAGAGCTTCGGGAGATCAAAGTTGATATCAAACCAAACCCAAACCCAAATCCGATTCTTTAAGGATTTCATCTCCTGTTCTATATAAAAACAAGGTAGTATAATGAATCCTATTGGTGCAATGATTGCATTGTTATTTTTCACACACAGTATAATAAACAGACAAGTATAAAGAGCACAAACTCGTGTAAGTGAGCAGATTGAATGTACAGTATTAGTTGCACTGATGATGTTGGTTGTCTGTTGCTAGGGTTATAATAATGGTTTTGGTTTTAGATGGTCATAGAGGCATCTGTAGTCAGTTGTAGCTGTATGCAGTTGTGTCTGTAGTTATAACTAGTTGTTTTTATGGTTGTATGTACTCCTTTACTGATGCAGTCCCTCATAATTTATTGGAAGCAAACACCGAGACAGTGGAAGTCAAGTGAAACTGGCTCCTTATTAAGTTTACAGAGTCAGAAGTGAATAATAAGCAGTATTGGTGGTTCTAGCATGGGAAATGACAACTGTCACATTCCAACAATGATTAAATCACAATTTGGCAAAGTTGATGAGAATTAATAAAAAAAAATGAATGTACAGCCTATGCTCGGTAATCTGAATTATATGGGGACCCATCCCCATTCAAGTTAGCCTAATTACTTATCAGGAATGTCCAAAAATATAAAAATTTTAAACTTTTTGTAACAACCCAGTTACTCCCTTTGCATTTTCATCTTTTACCTATGTACTCCAGCTGTTTACCCACACATGATGAACACTAATTTGTTCATACTGTATTACCAAGCTCTTGCAATATTGCCAACTAGTAATCCACAAGCTAGGATGGATTAGCACAAGCATTCATAAATACAGGACATTCACAAACACAGCAATCCTGGAGTATGCAGCTCCTGCCTAGAGTCCATATCTAGTTAAACATAAGACAAAGTTAGAGAAGACTCAGAGGTATGCCACCAGACTAGTCCCAGAACTTAAATGTATGAGCTACAAGGAAAGGCTACGGGAGCTAAACCTCACATCCCTGGAAGACAGAAGCGTAAGGGAAGAAATGATAACCACCTACAAAAATTCTCAAGGAAATTGACAACGTGGACAAAGAAACTATTTAGCATGGGTGGAACACTGACAAGGGGACACAGGTGGAAACTTAGTACTGTACCCAGATGAGTCACAGGGACGTTAGAAAGAACTTTTTCAGTGTCAGAATAGTTAACAAATGGAATGCATTAGGCAGTGATGTGGTGGAGACAGACTCCATACACAGTTTCAAATGTAGATTTAATAGAGCCCAATACTGTAAGTTCAGGAATCTGTACACGAGTTTATCGAGAGCCGTGAGGCAGGACCAAAGAGCCAAAGCTCAACCCTCGCAAGCACAACTAGGCGAGTACCATATGCTACCATACTGTACCATATACAGACTACTATGCTTAATTTTTGGGTCATATAAGTATTTTCTTTGTCCTTCAAGGAGGTAGGGTGGCTGGCAGGCGGAGACAACCAAATACACTGCTCAAGTAAGCATTTTTCTGAGCGACAGTAGTACAGTATACCGTACTGTTAAGTGTTTTTAATATACAACATTTTGCCATATATATTTTAATTACACATATTTAAATGAGTTCTAGTCTCCAAACACAATGCTTACTTGACTAACTTTTCCAAAATTTATTATGGCACCATAGTCAACCTGCATAAACTGCCAAGTTCATGTATCCACATATTATACTACCCTGTGTAATATTCTATCCCACAAGCAACAGACTTTTCCGCTAAATATTAATGAATTCTACACTTCACAAAAGCACACAAATTCTTACTTACAGACTTCACAAGCATCTAGAAGTTTTCGGAAGATGTCTGTGCGACCAGCTTTCAGAGCTTCTTTAATACTGTCAACTGCTCCTGCTAAGCCCGGTGGCACACGATCTTCACCCATGGTGAATAGTTCTGCATATATCTGTAAGATAAATGTGATCTATGTTTACAAATATTCATTGATAATGTAATAAAAATTACATTCATACTTTATAACAAAATTAATTTCACAAGTTTTTGTAATGTTTCGTATGAATAATTTCTATAATTATATTTTTTTATTTTAAGCATATTCTTTTTTAAGAATATGCTTAAAATAGGGAAGCTTCAAATATGGAATTGAACAGAAAGAATGCTAGATTATTCAACTTGCATGTATAATCTGACATGTTATACACATGGTTCCCCTATTGTACATTTGCATGTGGTCTGATGTACAATGTTAGGGTACAGTGTGTGTTACAGCCTCCCAAAACATGTTCAACCATTCATAAGAATCACACATTTCCCTATTAAAACTAGTTACAGTATTATCTATTTGAAACCATTTAATACTTCACCTGTATATTTATGGCAGCCGAGACAACATGTGTATGTAAGTCAATCCAGCCTTAACTGTGGAGACAAAAAAAACAGTAAAATTCTGAATAATGAATATGAATTGAACAGTATAATTAATAATGCATCATAATGGTATTAGACTTGACTAAATAAATAAGACATTTATTAAATGCAAAAAATTTAAATGATAAAACTGATTTACAGGTAGAGTAATTAAAAAAAAAACTAAAATTTATAAATATGAAAATAATTTGTGTATATTTATATAAGTACTGTATTTCTTGCCTAATGCTATATAAGGCATACTGGCTTTACCTTGAATTAAATCATTGGAATCTATCTGTTCACCTCTAACAAGCTCATTAGAAGTGATGGCTGTATATAATTATTATACTGTAGAAGGAAGCATTATTGAAGTTATTAACTACATAAACAAAATCAGCAATCAAGAATTCCAAGTTTTAATGCTACTATTTGTATGTACTATTTGTATGCAGATTTTGCCTTAAACCTAACCTAACCAAAAACATGTATAGATTAAAAAGAGAGAGCAAGAATAATTTCTATGGTGTATCCTCACAATCAAGTACCATAATGGCCCTGTCTGGTTAATCAATGATAAAACTCATAAAAAATGTTGCATTTAGGTTTCCCTAATTTTATATACATTAAGACCAAACTTTTAATGACATAGGAAAGCACAATGCATAAACAGGTTTATGTAGGTGATGTTTTTCCAAGGCATCCAAACCTACTGGAGCCAAGGATATGTGTGCCGTGTACACCTGCCTATGATACTATGAGAGCTAGATTTTACCCCCCCCCCTTTTATTTAGGGGGGAGAAGCTGCCCCAAGCATGGCCACAATTTGGAATACAGTACCTGTATGGCACAGTCAAGTCAACAGTTACATATCAAAAGTCGGCATTAAGCCAGTATGATTATACTGTGAAATAATACTAGGCTGTAAATGACCCTTTACCTTATTTTAATTGTCCTCCTACATTATACAGTGCACTAGGATCTAGCACTGTTGCTGGGGTCTGGCACTGGTGCTAGGGTCTGGCACCGGTGTTGGGGTCAGGCACTAGTACTTGGGGTCTGGCACTGGTGCTGGGGTCTGGCACTGGTGCTGGGGTCTGGCACTAGTACTGGGGGTCTGGCACCGGTGCTGGGGCCTGGCACTAGTACTGGAGGTCTGACACTGGTGCTAGGGTCTGGCACTAGTACTGGGGGTCTGGCACTGGTGCTGGGGTCTGGCACTAGTACTGGGGGTCTGGCACTGGTGCTGGGATCTGGCACTAGTGCTGGGGTCTAACAGGCACTGGTATCGGTCTTGAGCAACGATCGGACCTGGTGTGGGAAGAGCGTGGCTCCGCCCCAGGGAGTGAGTACACTGTAGGGAAGACGTGGCCAAGATCCTCCAGCAAGGGGGGAGCATCAACACAGGAAAAACAAGTCACAGGAGGAGGGCCGGAGGTGAGCTGGGCGGCCCACGTCATCCATACTGCCCGCCACACCCCTCCACGCCACTCATCTAACTCACCTCCCACAGGACCTCACCTCACTTCTTTACTACAACTACCAACTACATATTTTGATTTTGGTATTATTAAAGCGACGATATATTTAAAACGTACTGAATGTGTTGGTGATTAATATTTTAATATGATCATTAATGAAGTAGTTGGCCTCACCGGTGTAAACAAGGCGTGTCCGAACAACGTGTCATCAAGTTTAATTGTAATCAATAAAGTTGTCAAGATTTTACTTATTATTTTACAAAATGTTATATATGTCAAGACAAACAGCGTTTAAATAACACTCGTTGATCACTTAATGACATTAAATTATAAATATGTTCGTTATTGAAGAGAGAAAGCCAATGAACAAACTCGAACAGTGTCAACCTGTCAAAATCTACTTCATTTTTTTATTAGCAAGCTTTGGTAATTTTGATTTTTATTAAAACCAGGAAAAAGAGTAATATACATTCTAAGATCTAGATCTAACATACGTGCTATCTAACATACAATATAAAATTGGCAAACCACAACACTTAGTACAAAAAATATGAAAACATGAGAAATATGAATTATGAAGACTTAAGAAACTTTCAAATATCTGTATTTTTGTTAATATCATTATTAACAAGCTTTGGTATACACAGCAATGTACTGCTACCCTATTCTATATGAAAGATTACACAGTGTAGATCAAAAACTAGCTATAAGTTCATGTAATATTACCATCTCACAGGATGGTTAATCATACATGGAATCAGGGGAGAAAATACCTGCCTCAATACAAAAAAAAATCAACTCTGACTAAAAATCGGAGAGAACATAAAATGTAAGGCTGATTTATTAGCCTCTACTAGCAAAATCTGGGTACAGCACAATAATATTTTCCAATATTCTTGCGAGTATGAAGTAATTACAGAGCTCAAAGTACCTCATACCATTTGGTCTGAAGTCATTGATAACAGGGTGATCACAGATATAGTGTTGGAGAGTACAGTATGTCCCAGCTCTTGTTCACACAGTTTACAGTAGGAATGTCCCCCACAGTTGGGAGATTTACTGCCTGCAGTCACCTGTCATAGATATCGATATCCCAGCCTAATTTTGGCAATTACAGCTGTCAGAACAAGGTATAAGACAACAACGAACTGCCTTAGGGGGGCCCTCTAAAAGGCTAGTAGGTAGGCAATAAAGAGCTAGACCTCACGTTCCCATAGCCACTGATAGGTAAGCACTATCATGTAATAGGTGACGTCATAAGTGTCTCTCCTGCTGACGCTCGGGAACAAAACTGGTCGCGTCAACGTAAACAAACCCTCGTCGTGAGCGGCGCCCATCACACCGCCCCGCCCACGCCCGCCCACAACCCACCCGCCCACGCCCATCCTCTCCCAACTCGTCTATTACATAGACAAACGTAAAACAGCTAAATTATTTAACAAATATCTTATTTAGAAAACTATAAATAGATATCTTGGGGAGAGGCAAGTGGAGCCTGTATTCCACTCATGATAGACCTCTCTGGTTATTCTGTACTACAACGCCAAGTTTATAAACATTAATACTGTTACTATTACAATTACTCTCAACTATGGTCTTTGGGTATTGTGGTAAGCAATAGTCTATTGTAATGTTCCCTTTTCGTGAAGGTTCGACGTTGTCCAGATCTGTGCCTAATTTTTCGCCTTAGGGTTTCTTCTTCTTCGCGAAATATGCAGTTTGCATGAATATTTTTCCTCCCGGTGACTGCACAAATGTTCCAGTAGTGTTTTCATGTGATGTCATCAACCTGGAGGTCAATTATATTGCAGGTATTGATATCTGTGTTTACACATGTCTGCTGCAGGCTTTTGAGCCTTTTGAATATGACTAACACTGGTGAACTATTGTTGCACAATAGGCTGCCACAACAGATCAAGTAGGGATTCCCATGTGCAGTTTGCTGCCTTCCAATGGTAGTATCCGGTCAAGGGGGAATGTAGAAAAATACATGAGGGAAGAAGACATATGTGGCTAGTCAGTTTACAACAAAACTTTAACAGAAAACTTGGATATTTTTAGCTTGTGTTCAGCACATTTTTTATAAGGGTTGTAGTATACTCCAGACAGACAACCAGAGTGCAACTCCATAATCTCCAGAGACTGATGGATGCCTACTATTTATTCTTTATTAATTACTGTATATCTGTACTGTATATAGGAATGGTATGGTAGGTGGCTAGGAGGGTATGACCAGAGCAGACCTCTCCCATCTAGGCTTTCTTTCATTCTAACAGTCTTAACTGCATTTGGGTAATTACACACCTGCTTCTATTTCTGTTTCCTAAGAAAAATATCTTGACTCACTTGAAGTAGTCTGAGAAATGGATACTAGCCTTTGACTCGGCCAAATTCAAAGTTATTTGCATAGGAACACAAGTGAGAAAACTTGTAAAGCAGTACTGAATGAAAAGACAGGTATAAGTGAAGGAGAAAGATCACTTGAAGTGCACCAGTGTTTTTTTTTTTTCAGGGATACTGTATTCCTTTATGGGCCCTAAGCTTCTAGCTGGCCCACTAAAGTGTGTTTGATGTGCAACGACAATTCTGAATGCTGTCGTTTTCGGTTAATACGTCAATGGGTATTGCATATTTGCATATTCCTACATCATTTTATAGAACATTGCCTCTATTTTCAATTCATACAAAAGATTTCATTAATAAACTTCTTATAATATAAATATTTTGTACTTCACTGTGAACATCAATAACTTTAAGTGCCTAATAACTGGGTAATACAATCCTAATATCCAACTGACTGGCCAATACTGTGTAATTTACATCTAGTATAGAAAATGTGTGTGTAATGGAGTATCCAGCTGTTGTATAATATTTTTATTGATTTACCAAAACAATGCAAATAACATGGCCATCTGCTGTCCCCAGACAGCACTCGGCACCCTTACTTAAATCTTTGAGTATGTTAGATACCAAGTCACTGCACATCCTCTCAAGTGTACTCTATATATTTAAAACTCTGAACTGTAATGCCAATCCTGACCTTAAACGCTTCCTAGAAGGTTGTAACAAAACCCATGGGCACCATACTAGAAACAAATACCTATTTGATATTCAAAGAGTACGACTTAACCAAACTAGAAATGCTCTGCAAATCAAGGTACTCAGAATGTGGAATGATCTTCCCAATCATGTCAAAGACTGTACCTCTCTCAACCAATTTAAGATAAAAACTAGGTACTACCTAATAAAATCCATGTAACCTACCTTACCTCTTAAATGTCAACCTGTATCTTGCTATTTCCAAACAATATTGATTATTGACCAACTCGTTTAACTGCTAATATCTGCCATGTATAAACTTGAAGAAAATTGTAGTCTTCTATTTATTTAGTTAAAATTACTTATACTGTTTTGTTTCAATTTCTGCTGTTCCATCCATCATGTAATTATTATCATTCTTTTTTCTTTTCTTTTTTTGACCTTTTTCAATTCAGTGTATGCTTTGATCTCAATTAGTTTTAAGTGTTACTCTTAAGTGTTTTTCCCACATCTTGCCTGAAACGCTATGCATACTAGTGGCTTTAGGCATAGTATGTACTAGCTCTATCTAGAAATCCAACATTCTGTTTGTAACTCATCTTGTATATATGTACAATATACCTGAATAAACAATTATTATTATTATATTTATTATAATATATCTCGACTCGCTTGAGCTTATATCCTGTATCCTCTGTGATATAATGCCATAGTATACAGTAATGCTACTAAAAATGAGTCTTTATGATAGTACATTAATTAATCATTTGATCAGTATTGTATAAGATTTGTTTATTTCATTGACAACGTTTAATGAGTACTATATGCTAATGATTGATTTTCAGATGGCAGATTTTGCTTACACTGACTATGACTATGAGTATGACCAGGAAGGAGATGGTGGGGACTACGTGGATTATTTTGATGAAGTAAGTATTCTTTGAAACTGATAATTTTGAATGAAATTAGCATGTAATTTTATTGCAAACAGAATGCATAATATACTGTACTGTAATTCCTTAAACTCGCCTCTCTTCTCATTGTGTCAATGTATATCCTATTGATGTATACTACAGTAATGATGTAACAAATGACTGCATGGTGTTCACAGGATATATATGAGTTCCCAGTTGGAGAGCCTTGGGAAGAAGAGGAGGAGGAGGAGGAGGAGGACCCAGCATCCCAGTTTACTCTAACAGAGTTGTACGAGTACTGTGTCGTTCCAACTGTCTCCGACTCTTACCTCCACCTCTGTAACTTGCTTGTGTGGTCCCTTGTCTTCACACTTACAACAAGAATTGGTAATTTTTCCTGCATCTATTTTATGCAAAAGCCTTGGTTATTTCTTCTATTTTAATGAATGACACATAGAATCGAATCAATTATTTGATTTTATATGGTTGTTCAGATTTCAGTATTTGTTTAAATCTTTATGGACTTCTTTCTCAATTTTCCTTTAATTTGCTTGTTGCTGTTGCAAATTTTAGTTTCTTAGTTTGTTTGCATGCCTGCCCATTGTGCATCTTTATATCTCTACTAACTGTACATATTTTACATCAATATTCATTGTGCAACTGCAGGCTTGGTGTTATAATCTCTAATCTTTTGAGTATTTGGATTACCATGATAAGAGAATTCTTGACAGAGCTTTCTCCTCCGAGAGATTGCTTGTTTGTGAAGACCCCCTACTCCTAGATGGAGAACTGTCCTTAACCCTTAGATTGTGGCTCACATCAATCGATGTTTTTTTACTATAAATTTATAAGAATTAGGTTCTGCTAATAAATCTCCCTAATTACCAAGATTTGGTCTCATTCTGGCTATTATTACCTAATGGAAAAGATAAACCGTGTTCTTATACATAAAAAGCTATAAAATTGAATAATTAAAAAAAAATTCCTTTTTAAGATAGCCCAGTCGATAGAGCGTTGGCCCCCACACACGTGGGGTCCACGGTTTGAGACCCATACAGCCCAGGTGAATGGATTGAAAAATTTTGAAACAGCATAATTTGGTCAAAAAGTATTTAAGCAAAATATTAGATTTAAGACGATTTTCTGGGAGGAGCCTCTTGGTGACTACCTGAAGTCATCTCGCTGAAATGGCTCCCCATTACAGTACTGGATCACATCGCAGGAGTCCTGTTAAGCTTACTGGGGACCAGAGCCAAAATCTGGTCCCCCCTTCACGGAGGTGCAGAGCACCGTGGACATAATTTGTCTGTGTCTTTTCACATATCTTTAGAATTGTTTGTTCTAATGATAAACAGACATCCCAGTTGACTGAAATCCCCCTTGATTGAAATTTGTCCTATACAAAGCCTGGCTCTTTTTCAATGATGAGGACTCTTTGAAATACGTTTCTCATGACAGGGCTCCTTAACTCTATTCTTCCTCTTAATTTTATATCTTCCTGTGCATCTGTCCATACTTAAAGTAGCAAGTAACAGTTTACCATTGTTTAGATGAGTAGTGAAAAATTAACTGATAGACATAAAACTGTGAAAACATAAAGTGCTTTTCCAACATTTATTATTAAAAGTATGAATAAATTGTGTTGAATGATGGCAAATCTCTGCACAGTTATTGTTATCATTGGAGCCAACAAGATATCCCTTCAGGATTTGCTGTTCAAGAATAAGGCTGTCACTTGCTTCACTTTGCTCCCTGCAGTATAGCTTCTTCCTTTCATTGTAAGTAGTGTAGGTTTTTCTATTACTGTATACTTTTACAAATTACTGTAACTAATAACTTTAATTTATTAATAATTTGTTACCCTTATATTAGCCATTTTATGTCAGTCTTTAGTTTTTCTTAGTACTGCATTTTTTTTCCCTATTTCATAATTTCATTAAATGTAGTGCTCCCAAGTGATTATACTGTACTGATATGGGAAACCCATTGAGAACTGTGTGCAAGCACCAGATAACGGAGCCACTCGGTCAGTACACATGCATCGACACTGGAAAAGGTTAAGCCTAAATAACTCGGTGAAGATATTATGTCATGACTGTAGTATGCATTAAACATGTTCCATGTTGATATTTAGACTTTTAGGAAAATAAATGTTAAGACTTGGCTGTTAAGTTGATGAAAATCAGATTGACGATTTGATGCTGAAAATCGATTTCTATGGCTGCATCTTTGATCAATCGTTAATTATTTAAATATCTTGATCATTTTTGTACAGTACTTTTAAATTGCTGGTCATTATGCACTACATATAATTATCAGTTATAAAATATGTACAATTTAAGCATTTTTAAAACCTACCAAATAGCTCATAAAATTAATGCGAGACATACTTATTCAATTAGATAAGGGGTGTTGCAATCTTGTTGGTGGTGATCCTTCAAGGGTTGGGATGGTGCTTCCTCCCACTAAGTTTCTCCACTCCCCCACCTCCCTTAAATCTTTGGTTATTGACAGCTCATTCAGTGGCGACTTGAAGGGAAGGAGCCTAGTAAAAGAGAGAAGGTATGACGAGATCATGTGAAGCCAGCAAACCACTTCTCTAAACATCAGTCCGTGAGTAGTTATTTTTAAATGCTTGGCATAATGATACTACTCATACCGACTTGATGGAGTTCTATTAACAAATGTTGTATTTAACTTCATTGTGAAAAGATTAACTGTTGGACCTTTCCGTGTATTGGATCCTTTGGTAATCTGACCAGTTGATAGTGTATATTTTTGAAAATCTCTGGCTCATTCATTCACAGATCTGATTTTCTATTTAACCCTCTCCATTGCCATATTAAAGAACTTAAATGTTATTTTAGGATAATATTTAGTTTCTTTTTATTTCTCTTGACTTGATTTTTATGCATTATAGAAATATATGTCTTCATTACATCTGAACAGTATTTTCAATTAAATCATATCACGTTTGAACAGCATTTGCAATTTAACCACATCACGTCTGAACATCATTACGAATTCATATCTTAGATTGTAGTGGATAATATCCAACTACAAAATGTAATTATTTATTTAAATTCACCAGAGATGCTCTTGTTGAAGTGATATTTATGTTATTTTTATTAGGGTATTTTAATTTCTGAATGGTATTTATTAAAATACCATTTTCATGTTTGTTTATGGGTATATAAAATGGAAATCATCTTAACATGAGAATTACAGTTTAATTTGAAAAAGAAAATATTATCATGCATATGGTATATAGGTTGAAAATAAGACTAATTGTAACATAAAAACATTTAGTACAGTACCATAATTAAGTTGTGATGCACCATCTAATTGTGCATCACAGAGATGATTTAGAGATGCACCATCCCTGATAAGATGGTACATCTAAGAATGGTATTGAAGTGTGTACAGGACATGAGTGTGTGTGATGGTAAACCATGTACAGTATAAGTCACTAAGGAAAGGCATAAATGGTTTATATTGGGTAGACTTTTTTCATATGTTGTTGATAAAGGTAATTAACAATATGAAACCTGAAAACAAATTGTGTTGACATGTCTATAATCTTACTATCTTAAGTCTATGAATAAATTATGTTTCAATTTGTGTGTTTATTTTGAAGAAAAAAAAACTTGTGGGCCACAAAACCAACCCCTTAGAGTTGGTTTGATAGTTGACAAATAGTAATAGCTCTCCTGGCATTCTTCCTCCATAGTACGCCCTCCTGCATGGCTTGTGCACATGGCATCTACTGCATGTGGTGGTGTGGTGGCTTGGCACCTGTTTGGTCTTCGTACAGGCTACATGGCCTGTCTCACAGGAGTGGGAAGCCTGGCCCTTGTTGTTACTCACTTGGCAACTCGGTCTCGACGAGGCCCCTGGACCTGTGCGGCATGTGTGGCTTTCCTAATCTTTTGGTAAGTTTTCCCTTAATGTTAAATGTTTCTAAGATTTCATTTTTGTTAAATGCATACGTGTACTGTGTAATGGTTGCTCAAATATCTGCATTAATTAGGGACTGGATCCAATTGATCCATGCAGCAATTTGATTATCTGTGAAATTTGTTTTCTGAAGGGGGGCTGAATGGTAGTTCCTTATAGCTAGCTCACCAAGATAGCTCCACACACGAGTCACATCAGCCCTAGAAGTCCATATTGCTTATTGAAGACCAGAGCCAGAACCTGGCACCCCTCACTGTGCAAACTAGCAAATTAGCAAATTTGAAAATTAGCAAACTAGCATGACGTCATCATGTCGCTGCACCGCTGTCTGTGCAACCCCCCCCCCACTCTCCGGGAGGGGAAAGGGGGGAGACCCAGACCCACCCACCGGCGACCCAATCTTTAGTTCTTAGGCTGATGGAAGTGTAGTGCGGTCGTGCTTCTGGCTCCGGTTTTTGTTTCAGTTCTGGTCCTCGTGGTAGGTTGTTCTTTTGATGCAGTTTTCTTCTTCTCGGGTGGTGTTTGGGTCTGCTGCTTCCTGAGAGGTCCTTGGGTTGCTGCTTGGTTGGTCAGGCCAGGGGTGCTTTCTTTTGTTGTTCGGTTACGGCTCTTTGCTGTTCTCTGCGCATTTTAGCCTCTTGGACTGTGGACACGTTTTGGTTTGCCCAGATTCCCTTACTTCCTTCCTTCTGGTTCTGGGGTTTGGGTCTCCCGGGTCGTTGGCAAGGTCCTTTCCTTTAGTCTGTGGTCTAGTTTAATGTTAGGGTGCGTGGCATCTGCCTCCCGGATCCTTCCCTCTTTTCCTTATCTGTGGTGAGGTAGCTCTGGGGAGCTGACGGGGCTCCCCCTAGAAAACCAGCATTAAATGTAATGAAACGCCATTTTCTGGGTGAGTCCCGAAGGCTCCCCGGCATCCCTCCCTCCCTCCGGTCAGCGGTGTTTTTCTCGCTTTTTGACATCCAGTCTAAGAACTGAAGGTTGGGTCGTCAGTAGGTGGGTCTGGGGCTCCCTCTTCCCCTTCTCCTTCCCGGAGAAGGGGGGGGGGGGGTTGCACAGACAGCGGCACGGCGACATGATGACATCAGCTAGTTTGCTAATTTTCGTTTGGAGAGTTCTGTCCGCTTGTTCGGCTTTCGGTCGCAATAGTTTTACCAGAATAGGGGTTTGTTTTGAGGCGCCTACCTTTCTGGAGTGCCTGTTCCAGTCAATGGCAGATAGAATGCTCCCAACCACGGGGGGGGGGGGGAGGGGGGTTCTATAGGCAATTGCTCCTCGTGCCTCTCTAGAGGGGGGCCAGGTTCTAGCTTGTGGTTCCCGGTAGGCAAGAACTCCATGCCCTGACTGATGCCAGAAAGATATACATATCCATTCAGCCTGGATAGCTCCGGGGAGCCTCCGGGACTCACCCAGAAAATGGCATTTCATTACATTCAACGCTGGTTTTTTTCAATGTTTCACTTTATTAAATAAATATTCTTATGTAAATGTATATTAATGGGACTCTCTTTAGTGGGTGTATCTCTACCATAACTGGATGTGTCCATGCTGTGTTTTGTGACTTCTGGCTGCTCAAGTGTTATCTATTTTCTTTTGAAACTTAATTATTTGTGGGCTGAAAAAATGTCTAATGGCAGGGGGTAGTCAGGATGTAACACCACAACAAGCTGACTAACTCACGGGTACCTATTTCATGTTAAAGACAGAACACGAAACAATGGGTATAAATTGGATAAGTTTAGATTTAGGAAAGACCAGGGTAAATGCTAATTCAATAACAGGATTGTTGATTTGTGGAACCAATTACCGTGTAACATGGTGGAGTTGGGGTCCCTTGATTGTTTCAAACGTGGGTTGGACATGTATATGAGTGGTATTGGGTGAGTATAAATAGGAGCTGCCTCATATGGGCCAATAGGCCTTCTGCAGTTACCTTTATACAATGTTCTTATTTACTGCTAGAGGAACAGACGCATTAGCTGATAGGAAACATGCCCAACCATTTCTGTCCCATCTGGGATTTGAACCTGAGATTCCTGATTGTGAGTTCAGAATGACCCCAACTGTACTACTGAGATCCAAGGAAGAAAATAGTTAATTGATTGAAAAATGTGAATACGGCTGGAGAATGAGGCAGATGGAAGAATTTGTTACCATTACTGATACAGGACAAAAAAAGATATAAACAGAATATTCAGATTTTTTGGATTTCAATGCCAAGTGAGAGAAGGAACTGATGGAAATTGTTTCAGAATAAAAAATACTAAAGAAATCAAAGCTTTAAGAGTTGAATGAGGCTGTTTACAGTTTTTATTTTGTATTTCCCTTCAGTTCTACTGTACTGTATTGTACTGTATACTAGCATTCTATCTACTCAGGGTAACAAGGATTAACCTGCTTGTCTCCAAGGTAAGTAAAAAATATATATAAAAAAACTATACTTTGTCCATAAATTTATCTTTTTACATAGTTTTGCTTTCCAGTATATTTAAGGTGCACTGTTTAATACTATTTGGTTGTGTATTCAGTATGCATAAAGATGCACTCTGTTATTTGGGGTACAGTATTAAACAAAAATGGCAATAAATAGTAAAAATGGCAAAATGCTTAGTCGACCAGATTTCTTGATGATATGGAACAGGTGCAATCCCAATTAGTTGGTTGAGGTTACATTGTATACAAAATTATTTATGTATTTAAACATTTATTACCACATATTGTATGTACATACAGTGTAGATATTTATATTGCATTATTCTAATCAGCGAGTTGTGGTGGGCTGATCCCATAGACTGGCATAGCATACGAGGTCCCCAGATGGTCATCTTGATGAAGCTGGTGTCTGTTGGATATGACCTGGATGCTGCAACACTTGCCAATGCCCCCAACCCTCTAGAGATGGCAGGATATGTCATGAATCCCGGCACTATCATTTTTGGTCCATGGATCTCCTTTGGCACATACCTGAAAGTTTTGCAGCCATTACCATGGGTATGTTATCTTAATTATTGTCTATCAGAGTATTTAACATATAACATGTTCGTTATGTCTTGTATCTTTGTTAGGACAAGAATAGCTAAATCTAATGGAATAAATGAGTACATACATGTGTAGTCTCTCATTTCATTCATGGGACAACAGTAAGAATTTATTTCACACAGCTACAGTTCTTTACCATTATTATGTGTCCATATAGAGCAGATTTGTCAGGTGAGCTGTATGCCACCATATATTAGGTGGTTGTATGCTGTTGTATGTTAGATATATGCCTTTATGTCATGTGAGTGTTTATCTACATATGTCGGGTAAGGATTTGCCTCGATAGGTGTATAGGTTCATTTTCTCTGCAAGAGACGTGTAGAATATTTCACCGAGTCAAATATCATTAACAGAGCCTTTGGTTGATACCTGGCATAGTCATTCGGTTGACAGCAAGTATCATGTTTCTGCTGATGTCTACATGCTACACATCCTGGCTGCTTCCAGACTCAATCAATCGGTAAGAAATCATTTTATGTTTTTTTTTTTTTTTTTTTTTTAATAAATAAACCTCTTCCACAGCTGAAGAACTTTCACATCTGAACATTGCTGATTTATGCCCAAGTTTGTTGTTATTAGGGCAAATAAATGAGCATGCTTTTCCACATACAGTACTATACTTTGATACTGAAATCACTTAAAAAAATATACAGTACCTGACCCTTCTTTCAAACCTCAACTGTTTGAATATTCCACATATTTGTCTGCAACTTTGACCAGGCATCTCCACCCATAAAAGGCCCTTGTAGTTTGGCGGCTGGTCACTGAGTTGGCGTGGCATGACCTCTACACTTGTTCTGGCAACTTGGCCATGTTTTTGTGTCTCTCCCACAGTGGACAAAGCCTTTCCCCCTGTTTCACCATTTTATATCTGTGATTATATATTGTATCCTAAAACTAGTGCATCCAAAAGTACAGGAAATCTGTTGTTCAGGGCTTCAACAAGTGAAGTCAAGAGAAAACGGGCATCATATTTCAAATGTATTTTATATAAATAAAAGTTATTATAACAGTGAAGCACAAATAAGTTTGTGAAAACATTTTTGATACTAGTTTGATACTAGTTTAAAGCTATTGGATAACTTACAAATACTGTACATAACCATCAGTAAGCCAAAGCTTAAATTTATTTGTATCATTTTTGGAAAATATTATGAAAATACTGAACTGGGACTATTGCAATTTCTATTTTACAGTTAGAGAATATAATAAATTTACAGTTTTTATACAGTATCATAATTCTTGTGTAATAAGTATGAACTCAGTTGTGTCAGCTCGTACACACACACACACAAACACACTATAGATTTAAACTAGCTAAACACAGATGTCGAAGAAATATAAGAAAATTCACTTTCGCAAACAGAGTGGTAGACGGTTGGAACAAGTTAGGTGAGAAGGTGGTGGAGGCCAAGACCGTCAGTAGTTTCAAAGCGTTATATGACAAAAAGTGCTGGGAAGACGGGACACCACGAGCGAAGCTCTCATCCTGTAACTACACTTAGGTAATTACACACACTCGGATGCAATTGGGCAACAGCGACAAAATCGATTTAAAAAAAAAATGTAGTGAACATGCCAGACCAACACTATGGTAAGGATAAACAAAATTTCCACTACACCTTCTTACCATGTAGCTTTCTATAACATCTAAAGAAAAACTATAAGTATTAGTTTCTGCTTCTAGAGGCTTATGTACAGTATTGTATATAATTACAATATGTATTGCCACAGATGAAGGTAAATAAGTGCAGAACTGTGATGTGATCTAAGTTCAGCACATTTCTCATTACTGTCTCTGCATGAGACTGTGAGGAACGGTGTTACCGAGTATGATAGCTTGTCATCTGTGTGCAAATTGTGTACCAGTGCGAGTGTTGTGTGACTGTGTCCTTTAGAATTAATCACTCCCTATTCAGGTTCCCTAAATTAATATTGATTTAACAATCAAATTTACCCTTATGGTGGCCTAAATGAAACTTACAAATACACTACTGTATGAATTATACTGTATGTTTTATCTCAAACTGAAAAACTCACAATTTTTACAGATGGGGACTGGCATATAGGGAAGCACTCTCCTTTCGACTTAGTCATTACTTTGTGTCTTACCTGAGTGAGGCATCTGCTCTTCTTGCGGGTCTCAATATGGGCAAGGTTGCAAGACCATATTTTATTGAGATTCCACGCTCTCTTGTTGAGGTGGTTATATACTGGAATGTGCCCATGCACCATTGGCTGAAAACTTGTAAGTTTCCTCATTATTTTTTCTGCAAATGAAATTTTTTAAATGACTGTGTAGTATATATATTGTAATACATGCAGTACTGTATATTGAATATTGTTTACTTGTGGCTTACTTTTATAGATGTGTTCAAGACAGCACGGAACCATCTGGGGATCTTCTGGGCTTTGTTGCTCACCTACAGCATGTCGGCTCTTTTCCATGGTCTAAATTTTCAACTGGCAGCTGTTCTTCTCTCACTGGGGTTTTACACCTTTGTAGAATACTCACTGAGGGCCAAATTATCAAGTGTATTCGATGCCTGCATATTAGCCAGACCATGTTCAGACACCTGCTTGCATAAACAGAAAGGTATGGTAATTGCATGAATAAAAATTATATCCGTATCCATTAAAAATTATTGTCCCTAGTATCACACTATCACCACCATTCAATTTCCGTAAATATATCCATCCACTCATACTCATATATTTGTATAATCACATATGCAAATGTATAAATATGCAAGACAGTAATAAAAGTGGCTTTGAAAGGGAATAAATGTGGATTTGAGTGTGTGTGCATTTAATTTAACTTCAATAAATAAGAAGGGCACAAGAGAAAAATTTAAATTAAAACTAAACTAAATGTTATATATGTTATGTGTGAAACACATCTTTATGTGAAAAGTAAAAGAGAGAATGGTGAAAATGAAGTGGAACAAATGTTTGAGAGAGCTAGATGTGTGATCAGAAATTAATGACAATTATTAGGGTAAAAAAAATAGGTATAGCTTTGTGTATATTAGAGGAATGTTAGGGGGGTAATAAGAGTGTTAACTCAAGAATATGTTGGATTGTGTATGAAACTGGTAGACAGAGATTGGTAGATGCATATGGATGATCTGGACAGTAAAGTGGGAATAGGTCTTGAAAATGACATTATGGGTAGCAATGGTGTTACAGGAATAAGTTATAATGGCTGATGCAAACTATTTACTAATAAATATTGCACATAAAAAATAATTTAACAATTTGTAAATATACACAGCACTGAGTAAATTATGAAATAATGTAATACAATAAAGTCCTAATTGACTATGTGCTTGCTGTGAGACTTACAGTATGCTTAAGTATGTGTGATACAAGAGCAGTACAGAATATCTGAAGGTGTGCCTGATCATGTGTTAGTGCTGCGCAGATAATCTTAAGTGGAGAAAGGCTGACTGTAACTAATTAGATCTTGAGAGGTAAAATAATACACGTTGAGAAATTGAATGAGAATAGTAGTTGATTAGTGAATTTTTTTTTTTTTTTTTTTTTTAGTAATTTTGGAGAAGAGGCTATGGACATCTGAACCTTAGTGCTATGTGAGATGTATGCTATAAATGTCTTTGCTGCTCACACACTTCCTTGGTATTCTTAACCAAACTCATAGACTAATGAAAGAAGCTGCTTAGTGGAATGAAGAGTTAGCAAGAGCAGTTAGTGATAGAAAAAGAAAGTGGATTTTATAGATACAAAGTGAAAATGATAGAGGCAAACAATAGATGTATGATGATAGTAAGTGGATATGTGAAAAGATTATGGCATGGCATGGCTGAATACTCATAAGGATGTTCTGGGTGAGATATGGTCTGAATTGGATCTAGAGCCTGGAAACTCCAATCTATAATGAAATAAGAACCATTCTGTTATACAACTGGAAAAATATGTGCATGTATTCATGTAGGGAAATATAAATAAATGATGAAGGTCTCATGTACCATTACCCATTTCAGCACGTTCATGGTTCAGTTTGTCAACAAACCTGGTGTTTACTGTGTTGACTGTATTCCACCTGGCGTACTTGGGAATCATGTTCGACTCATCATCTCAGCAGCAGGAGACTGGATACAGCATGATTCATACACTCAATAAATGGTCAAGCTTAAATTATGCTAGCCATTGGGTCATGTTTATTTGCTATGTTATGTACTCTGTGATATAATGCTACTTGTGTTGTTAAGTTTTTATTGAATATAAAAAACATACTGTACAGTATATTTTGTATTCTTGGTTAATGGACTTGTTAAAGATAATCATGCAACTATTTTGAGTATCCTGTATGCAGTTTTGTTTGCATTAGTATTTTATATTTTTATAAATGATAAGCTATAAAAAAATACAGTACTGAATAACATATTTTGTATTCAATTAAGGAAGTTAACCTTCAAAATGCAGCTATCATCAAAATTGTCACCTCACCTATGGCTTGGCATGGCATGGCTGAATACTCATAAGGATGTTCTGAAAACATCAACACTATGAATGTAGGAGGCCTGGTCGACGACCGGGCCGCGGGGACGCTAAGCCCCGGAAGCACCTCAAGGAAGCACCTCAAGGTAACCTATGAGCCAAGCTGTATAAGGTTGATGGGTGGTGGCGGCAGTCTCTCTATTGTTGCTATACACTAGGGGTAGCTGTCAGTTATGTGGGGCAGAGGACTCAAATGTTCACACTGAATGTTCATATGTTTATTAATTCACTTATGTACTGTATACATATAATTGAGAAAAAACAGTGCAGTGATTGAATACTGTATATAGGCCTACAACTTAATATGTACACGTATTGCATGTAAAGCTGGTCCTGGCACAGCTCAAAGAAAGTGTCTTGCAACCCACTCCATTGATGACTGTTATCCAGGCATAGATTCAAATCTAGCAGGAAAGACCAAAGCATCATTTGATGATAATTGCAACCCAATACAGTGGAGCCTCGATTAACAAATTTAATCTGTTCCGGCACTGAGCTCGTCGTGTGAAATGCTCGTCTTTCAAACGAATTTCCCATTTAAAATAATGGAAATCAAATTAATCCGTTCCACTCCCAAACACACCAATATGACATTTTATAATGTAAATATAATACTGTACATGTAATTATTATAAATGTTTTGTTTTACTGTTTTCAATTGTACATATACTTTACCTTATGAAGAGTCGTTGCTGGCATAAGGGAGACGATAGGGAGGTGGGGAGGAGGAGAGGGGTTATGGTGTGGAAGGAGAATCCACCCTTGAGTCAGGTGATTTCCTTCTTCAAATCTACAGTAATTGTGTCTTTCTTCCTCTTGACAACACTATTTTTAGCAAGCAGCTTCTTTGGGGACATCGTGGGTTATAAATTGTAGCCACAAAACCACAAAATACCCAAAGAAAAGCACAAATAAATGCAGAGGGATGCTTATCCTGCACAATAAAACGACACTCTCATCAGAGGTGTCCGAGAATTTGTGAGAACCAGCGGGAACGCTAGGAAGCACCACGTGGATGTCTCGTTATTCGAGCAAAAACTTGTCAATCGAGACAAATTTTTGGCGAGTGGCTTGCTCGTTACTCGAAATACCCATAGATGGAGCCGCTCGTCACTCGAGGTTCCACTGTACATGATAATCTCATTAACGTAGTAAGCAGTTAGGAAATGATAGCAAAATTTGATCATAGGTCTTGATTAACTCCATTACACCCTTATAAAGCTATTATAACTATATTAATATAATTGATAAACTGTACTAACTGGGCTGTAATAATGCTACTGGGTAATTGTTAAATGACAATAACTGCACCGTGAGGGTTAACTGTCATTAAAGTCATAATTTTGTGAATCTCAACATAGTGGAGTCTTGATTATTCAAAGCAATCATCCCTTTCACTGTGACATTTTGTTTCTTACTTGTTCCCATCAGGGATTGACTGAAAAAAAAATAGAGTATCCATTTTTGTGCCCTTACCAATTTTGGGAGCTACCAGTGAATTGGGCCAAGTGCAAATTGCTTAGAGATACAGTATTTGACTTCCGACACTTACTGCAAAGTTACTATGCATGGTAAAGTGTTGAATTTGGTATTGTGTTTATGTTAAAGAGTTATACTCGATGATGGCATTTCAACAAATGCAGTAAGAAAATAAAATAACAAAAGGCGAGTTAGTTAGCCAACATGACGTTGAAAATGTTGACTTCAGTCGATATCAGAATATTCTGCCATTTTGATTAAATGAAGACTGTAGGCATCACAAAAACGTTAAAGGGTTAAGTATCAAAGGAAGTTCTTTGTTTTCTTGGGAGGAAAGGGAAAGACAGGGATTTTGTTTAGTGCATGGGATGGTTTCTGTAATACATTTCTATTTTATTAAAAATATAACCGAGTACATATTTCATATATGCCATGAAAAAATCATTAAAAATGTTTTAAATACAGGTAGTATAAATTTGTTGTCATTGTACAACATAAATATTGGTTCAAGTAAATACAACAAATCATCAACCTTACTCAAGAATCTTATAAATTTGCTACAAAATATAGATTAAAAAAAAAAAAGCCAAATTCCTTAGTACTTATATTGTATTCATTTGTGTTGCTTTTCTGGAGGATGCCTGGTGGCTCCTTGGTGCTATCTTGTTGACCAGACCACACACTAGAAGGTGAAGGGACGACGATGTTTTGGTCCGTCCTGGACCATTCTCAAGTCGATTGTGATGAGGAAGTAGATGCAGGCAATAAGTAGGCAAGAGAGAGGTGAGGAGCAAGGTAAGGTAAGGTGTAGTAGAGGGGATAGTAGTAGGAATAAGAACTGCAGTGGGCCTATTGGCCCATACGAGGCCACTCCTATTATAACCACTGAATGAGGAGGAGATAGTAATAGGAATAAGAAGAGGAAAGTAAGGGAAAACAATGAACAGAAAAAAGAGAGAAGAGAGAAAGAAAAGGAAAGAGAAAGAAAGATAAATGGAAGGGTAAGCTTATGTTAGGTCACGTTTGTTAGAAGTGTTTTCACCTAGTGTGTGGTCTGGTCAACATACTTTAGCCACGTTATTGTGACTCATCGCCTGCATTTGGTGCTATCTTGTTGAGATTGCTCCACGCTAAAAGTTGCATCAGCTACGGAAGTTCTGTTTGGCCTATCAGGGATCAGAGGCAAAACCTGGCCCCACTTTCACAGAGGCACAGAAAGCAAGTGAAAATTTACCACCCTCCACCAGGAAAAAGTATCCAAAAAGTCAGCAAAGCTTTACAGACAACAGAAGGGTTCAGAGAAAACAAAGCCTCAAAATTGCCAAACTCCACAAACAGTTTGTGCACAAGAGATTCACTCAAATCAGCTTGAAACTCGTTAGTACTGTTCCAATCACCACCACCAGGTGGCTTCCCTGACCAGTCAGTTCTGTTGCTGATACTTTGGTGGATTGTTCTACCGGTATTGCAAACTACCAGACTGGTAGTCTGCCAGTTGTGGACAAGCCCTGCAGCTTCATGCTAAGTGCCAGCCATCCTTGGACTTTGTCTCGCAGTGGTGTATGAGTATGGCTTTATTTCCCTCATTCGTACTACATTACAAGTACAAGCTTTATGGTCTGTAAAAGGGTCAAATCCATGTCTGAAGTACCAATCGATGTTCTCAAATCAATACAAAACAAAGCTATTAATACTGTATACTTAACGAAACGTACCTTGATGGGAGAACTCGTTTCTCTCGCCTCTAAGCTCGAGCACAGGTAGCACAAGAGACCAGATTAAATGATAGCTTGGAATTAAAATTGTTTCTATTATATAGCACTAAGAATTAGTTTATAAAAATAGTCTTTTTATATGTTACTTAAATGTGTGCAGGCTCAGGTTCCCAGGCGGACTAATGGAACTTCCCTGACGGATGTGACTTTTCGTAGCAAGATAGCTTCTGGGAACCACCAGAGCTCCTCTAGAAAGAGGCACGTCATTACATTCAACACTGGATTTTTAGCGCAAATGATACAACACTTGCTTACAAATAATTATGTTTTATACCAAAATCACATGAAAAAGTATATTTCATATAATTTAACCAAGGTGGATATTGTGAACAAAAATTACTGAAACCCAATTACTCAGTGTTCTGAATATCTAAAATAGATTTTGGATATTGACAATTATAAATTTGAATGTTTTTTTTTGTTAAATTGAACTTTTGGATTGTTTGGACTCCACTGTTTTTACCTAGACACAGCACTATCAGTTATTCTCTATAATGTCAATAAGAGAATAGTGAAAGTCAAAATACTTGGATGTTTAAACTACTATAGTTACTTACCAACCTTTATGATTAGTTTTCTGTTACTGAACTGCGGAAAAAAATAAGCAATTCTACATCAGATGACCTGTAATGTGGTGGTCTGTGTATTATGCTTACAAATGAATGCTCCAGGGTTTGATTCCTGACCAGGGCTAGATATTTGGACAATCCTTATATATAATGCTGCTATCACCTAGCAGTAAATAGGTACTTGGAGTTAAGTAACTGTTGTGATAGCATCATGAGGAAGGTTAGGGGACACCTTAATTGATTTAACAGCTTCTTGTCCTCAACATTGGGAAAGCATTTTTTTTTCACAGGTGGGTACAGGAAGATGATTGTTGACTCCTGTTACCAGACAGAGTTTTTCCTTCCCATAGCTCATGGTAAGCCTTACCTACTTGTTTCCCAGGAATACAACCCACCAATCATTTAACAACTAGGTACCCCAATCACTGCTGGGTGAACAGAGGCATAGAGTTAAGGATTGGTCAATCTTCCCTGGCTAGGATATAAACCTAGGCCAAATCGCTCGCAAAGCGTTGGGGAAGTGTATTTGTTTTGTGTGCGGTAGGTATAAGTGCCAGACACCCTTTTTAAGATAATTTGTTTCCCCTCCAAATTACTTACACATAGGTCAGTGTTAAAAAATGGTCATTTGATTATGATTTTTCATCTAAAAAAGCTAATTTAAATTTGTTAAACATTTGCCAACAGCATCTGCTGACTTGCAGCCACACCTCAGATTTTAACGTGCCTATGTAAAAAATAAACCATTTAGAAAAAAAGTAGTCAAGATCATCTCATTGTAGATAAACATTTATAAATGTGTACGAGTGACAAAAATGTGTACGGTATGTATTATACATGTACTTGAATTCCAAATAATCAAAAGCAGTATTAGTGACCCTTTAAGTAACTATACAACTACTGTACTATAATTCATGCCAAAGAAAATTATAATTCTCACCAAATATACTCTCCAATGTGTACAATACCTTTATTGACAAGTACTGTATTCTATTAATTTTAGGGCCAATTACTTTTCTCAAAGTAAATTAGCCAATCTTGAGAGTAGGCTGCTTATTTTGGTGTTAAGTTTTCTCATAGATTTTAAGCATGAAGTTTTAAGTAAAATATCAATTTAAATGTATATTTGTGCACAAATTAGTTATTGAGTAAATAAATCAAACAAAAATGTGTGTTTATATATCCTGGCATCACAGCCATATTGTGCACACGTTAGCCTTCACTTCTATACAATGTCCCTTCCATAATTGTAATTACAGGTACCGATATTTATATAATGAAATATTAGTTATGGAAATATCTCTTTATCCTATTATTACTCAAATTCACTTATTTGTTTTAACACACCTGCAGCTACATTTAATGGCAGATATTATGATATGGTAAAAAATCTTTAGAAGTGACAAATACTGTACAGTGATACCTCGGCTTATGAAAGCTCTTTTCAGGTTACGAGTCCAATTGCTTCGTAAAATTTGAATCGGGTTACAAGCTTTACCTTGAGTTACATAGTTTATTGATATGTGTATGGGTGACCTAGTGTGTGGTTCCTGGTGGCACGGTTGCCCACACTTCAGTTTACCAGTGCCTCCCACTTAGTGATGATCGCGCTTGAATTCTCTGTAAAGAATTTCAGGTTTTTCTGCTTGTTGGGGTTTTGAACATAAAAGTAATTATTATATATCATGCCATGGGTCCCAAGAAAGTCAGTGGTAAGGTTCAACTCCCTTTCACTTATCCAATTTATACCCCTTGAACCGTGTTCTGTCTTGTGTTGGTCAAAAGTTTGTTCACCTCACCCAAATGCGAGTACATAAGACAAGATGTTTAGCGTTAGAATTAGTAAAACTCTGTTAAGTGTTTTCAGGTTACAAATTGTGTGTGTGTGTAAACTAAAGTCTTTGAAAATGTAATAGGTTATTACGAAATGCGTTCAAGCGTCGTGTCAGACTAGAAATAAAAATGAATTTTGGAGAATTGATTTTTCAATTACCATCGAGAGTAAAAAGAAACATAAGAAATATTGAGAAAATTCGTGTTAGAATTATTAATCTTACTTTTCGGTCATATTTAACAACATATGTTTACAAGAAAGACTGCTACCAAAATATACTAAAATATAAATATAAATATAAATATATATATATATATATATATATATATATATATATATATATATATATATATATATATATATATATATATATATATATATATATATATATATATATATATATATATATATATATATATATATATATATATATATATATATATATATATATATATATTATATATATATATATATATTATATAAGGCACAACTCTCCTAAACACGAGAGTCAAGTATACAACTTTAGAACACTTTCCCACCAGGAGACTCGAACCCTAGCCAGCACAGAAGCCTTCCAGCAACTGGCATAACAGGTACGCCTTAACCCTCTCCACCACCTGCTCAGACCCCTAAAAGAGATGGTAATTTCGGAGTATTTAAATACCACAAAGATCACCACCTCCCAAGAGCACTAGAGCAAGTGAGGGGTCATTTTGACGTTAATTTCATCAAGTCCCTGTTAACACTTTCGCGCTCTCGGCGCTCAAAAAAAAAAAATACCCCAGATGCTTTCGGCACTTCGCGCGCCTACGCGGTAAGACCGAAAAGTGTACACTCTTTTGACTGTCCTGACAATAACTGAAGGCACACGTATTTAAATTTGGTATCACTGTGTTCGCAATGAAATTGTCTATAAGAGCATACCTATAAAATGCCGCCCAAGCATAAGGAGTATCAACACCAAATAAAAAACTATGCAGATCACTCGCCGAGAGCGCCAAACAGCAACAAAATGTTTCCACTCACTTAATGGTTGCGAAGCCTACAGTTGTCCTACATCGCTAATTTTGGTATCATTGGAATCGCAATAGAATTCTCTACACGGACATATGCATATGAATGTTTAATATAGGTAATTGCCCACCCGCAAGAGTGTGTGAAGTGGAGAGTAGTTAGCCGCGAGCGCACTGGCGAAAACACAGGGGGGAAATCATGCTTGGAAAGTTTATACGTTTCCTGACCCTACTTTTCTATGTACGTATTTCTTTTTTATACCAATGTGTTCGCAATAAAATTTTCTATAAGATGAAATGTATAACATTTGTACAAAGCATGTGTAAGAGAAGCACCAAATATAGAACCACGTCGCTCAGTATGCGTTCGCGGCAGAAACGAACGCATTGTTTTCATTCGTTTGATGTTTGTCATGTTTATACTTGTTGAAACATTTTATAATTTGTATGACAGTGATTGCAGTAAAATTCCCTACACAGACATATACATAACACATACAAATATTTCCCACGTGTTGGATATATCAACGGCTAAAGGGAACCCACTGCCACACGCTCGCCACACCCCCAAACATACTTGTTGTATTTTTTTTTTACTCATAGAAGTTTATGTGATATAATATTCATTCTGGTACCAAAACATTTGCAAATAAATTCTCTACAAAACAAAAGTATCCCCATCCATTTCGGTTAAAAAATGGAATTTATAGAAATATTTTTTCGATGGACGAGAAAAGTAGGCTGTTATGCGGAATCGTAAGAGAAAACGGCGACGAGTTATCTCTAATCTAAAGCGCGAAAGTGTTAATATGGGAAGACACAGTGTCTATGCTTAAGGCACAACTCTCCTAAACACGAGAGTCAAGTATACAACTTTAGAACACTTTCCCACCAGGAGACTCGAACCCTAGCCAGCACAGAAGCCTTCCAGCAACTGCAGGTGGTGGAGAGGGTTAAGGCGTACCTGTTATGCCAGTTGCTGGAAGGCTTCTGTGCTGGCTAGGGTTCGAGTCTCCTGGTGGGAAAGTGTTCTAAAGTTGTATACTTGACTCTCGTGTTTAGGAGAGTTGTGCCTTAAGCATAGACACTGTGTCTTCCCATATTAACAGGGACTTGATGAAATTAACGTCAAAATGACCCCTCACTTGCTCTAGTGCTCTTGGGAGGTGGTGATCTTTGTGGTATTTAAATACTCCGAAATTACCATCTCTTTTAGGGGTCTGAGCAGGTGGTGGAGAGGGTTAAGGCGTACCTGTTATGCCAGTTGCTGGAAGGCTTCTGTGCTGGCTAGGGTTCGAGTCTCCTGGTGGGAAAGTGTTCTAAAGTTGTATACTTGACTCTCGTGTTTAGGAGAGTTGTGCCTTAAGCATAGACACTGTGTCTTCCCATATTAACAGGGACTTGATGAAATTAACGTCAAAATGACCCCTCACTTGCTCTAGTGCTCTTGGGAGGTGGTGATCTTTGTGGTATTTAAATACTCCGAAATTACCATCTCTTTTAGGGGTCTGAGCAGGTGGTGGAGAGGGTTAAGGCGTACCTGTTATGCCAGTTGCTGGAAGGCTTCTGTGCTGGCTAGGGTTCGAGTCTCCTGGTGGGAAAGTGTTCTAAAGTTGTATACTTGACTCTCGTGTTTAGGAGAGTTGTGCCTTATATAATATATATATATATATATATATATATATATATATATATATATATATATATATATTATATATATATAATATATAATATATATATAATATATATATCTGATCTAACTCAATGCAATGGTTCAAATTTCAATTTTATTCAATTTTATTTGCCACCAAAACACACACATGTAGGAATCTATTCAGACCTTTAACTCATATTAATATTTATTTCAGAAACTGTTAATGCCAACATAACACTCCTCACCCCCCCCAACCATGAGCATTGCCTATGCAAATTTGATGATTTCATTCATATTAAGATACATCTTCCTCCTATACGGTCTAACAAGACGACTCTTGCTGGCAGACATTTTTCTACTCGCAGATAATTAAATACCTGTATCAAAACACTTCACAAGTAGCACTACATACTGCACATATATATATCAGAACTATTACTGTATTGGGTGGGAGATACAATGCCTGAAAGGATATACAAATTATTTTAAAATATATAAATTTATTCAGCATGAATAGCAATTGCAATTATATATAAATAACAATTTCCACATACAGTATCAATAAAATATAGTCTATATAACATGTAAACATTAGTAATATTTAAGATGTCCAGTAATTTGGTCAAGCACGTCTACAGATCCTGGTCCCAAGCCAAGAACAGTGGGTGAATCCGGTGCAATCTGTGAGCAGCCAGCATCGTGAACAAGACTTGCAATCATCCCAGCATCCATGGCCAATGAGATTACATCATGCATAGTGGCTTCATCTTCTACCTTCAAAATCACCTGTTGAACACACAACATTTAAATAAATAGCCAAAGGATTTTGTGGGTCCAACTCTAAGGAAATAGAATAGAGGGCAAAGATAATATTGTATTTGCTAAATTTTTAATTCTACTCCAACATAGGTAACACATCCATGGATAAAAGAAGGTTTGTGTGTAGTCATCCTCTATATCTTGAGTTAATGGCATAATGAAAAAACTAGCATTGAATGTAATGAAATGCCATTTTTTGGGCGAGACCCGGAGGCTTCCTGGAGCTATCCAGGCTGATATGAATGTGTTTGACCCTGGCATCAGTCAAAAAGGAATGGAGTTCTAAGACCTACCGGGAACCACGAGTCAAAACCTGGCTTCCTCATACAGGCACGAGGAGCAATGGACCATAGAAACCCCCATGTGGTTGGAATCATTCTATGTCTGTCATCGACCGGGTTAGGCATCCAGAAAGGTAGGCATCCCAAAACAAACTCCACCTGGTTAAAAATTGCTACCGAAAACCGAACCATCAAGCAGAACTCCCCAATCCGAAAACAAGCATACAAGCATGACATTACAACTGCTGCCGCTGTCTGTGCAGCTCCCCTCTCCCTGGGAGGGGAAAGGGGGAAGCCAAAGACCCCTGCGCCAGCCATCCAACCCCAGTTCAGAGGCCGAATATAAAAAAACATGAATACCGCCAACCGGAGGGAGGGAGGGTTGCCGGGGAGCCTCCGGGACTCAAACAGAAAATGGCGTTTCATACATTCAATGCTGGTTTTATGTGGAGCCCCTCCAGCTTCCTGAAGCTACCTACTGGGTAACCACAGAAAAAGTAAAATAGGGACTTATCGGGAAGTGGCCGCCACTCACACCTCAACTCGAAGTCAAAACAACTGGCTGCAACCTGCAACACATGCCTGACTAGGGCCAGGAACATTAACGAGGTAACGGGCGGCCAGGACCCTGTTTGACCTCCAAAACCCTTGCGCATGAATGTCAGCCCAAGACATATTACCAAAAACGGCAGCTAAAGCAGCAAATTTGCGAATGTCATGGGCACAAGGATAGACTGCAGGCTGGCTGGACCGAATAACCCCGTGGACGTCCTGGGAGACCCGAGCCCTGGAACATGGAAGAAGGGAAACCGGGTTAACCCAAAGCGTGTCCCCAGCTACTGAGGCCGTGATGCGCAAATAACGGCGAAGATCGGCAACCGGACACAACACATAATGCACCGCTGGCTGAACCAACCACGCATCAACAACCCAAGGACCCAGAAAGCCGCCGTCTCGCTCTTCACCAGAAAAGAAGGAGACAGCTGCAAATGAACAAACCTACCACCAGGACTGAAAGAGCAGAAACCCTTGTGCCAGAGGAAAGCATGAAGCTCCCCGACTCGACCTCCAGAGGCTAATGCCAACAAGAAAAAGAGCCTTATCAAAACAATCCCAAACCAAAGGGGCCACCACGAACCGAGGAGAAGAAAGAAGAGAGGGCACCCGGTTCAACGACCAGGACGGCTCAGGCAGCGCATGAGCAGGCTGGAGGTGAAACAATGCAAGAGACAGCTTGCAAAACAGACCGGAAGCCCAGTCAAGGTACTGCTAACCGGTTGGCCCAAACTACCGAGAGAACAATTAAAGCTGAACCCCAGCGACGTGTACAATCACAGGGACCTAGCAGGGGACCACCAGAATAACAGAGGGTGGACAATGACCAATGGGCAGACCCCTACCAGGTAACAAACAAAAAGAAAAAGAAAAATCCAGCAAAAGTACCATCCTCAGGAAGAACAGAACTGGCCGCTGTGATCAACGGAAGACAAGCTACACAGTACCTTGCGCTCCTACCAGCTACGATACTACCTCCTACCTAAGGTCAAACAGTGGCTATGAAAACCCCAAGGGCGGGCAATCACCGAGCAGCAAAAGATCCCTACAGAGGTAGTCCCTGAACGACTTGCGGAAGATAACCCCAAACCGCAAGGGCAGTACTTACAGGGCACCTAGGGAAGAAGGCCCTGGGCGCATGAAGCCCCAGAACTCCATGAATTACTCCTGGTTCGCACACCACCACACAGCAGAACACCACCACGAAGGCACAGCACTGCACAGAGACAGGAGTCAGAGTCGAACGACCACCACTCAACACATCAGCTTCAGAACTTGAGTTGGATGGCCAGCACGGGGGTCTGTGGCTCCCCCTTCCCCCTCCCGGGGAAGGGGGGGAGCTGCTCAGACAGCAGTGTGGCGGCGGTTGTGACATCTTGCTTGCTTGTTTGCTTGTTTTCGGATTGGGGAGTTCTGCTTAATAGTTCGGTTTTCAGTAGCAACTTTTAACCAGGTGGCGTTTGTTTTGGGACATTTACCTTTCTGGGTGCATAACCCAGTCGATGGCAGACACAGAATGCTTCCAACCACATGGGGATTTCTATAGGCCATTGCTTCTCGTGCCTCTCTGAGGGGGCCAGGTCCCCGGTAGGCAAGAATTCCAATGGAATTGACTGATGCCACGGGCTAATACATACATATCAGCCCAGTAAGCTCTGAGGGAGCTGGAGGGGCTCTCCAGAGAAAACACAGCATTGGCTGTAATAAAACGCCTCTGTTTTTGGAAGGGTCTCGATAGCGCCTTGAAGCTATCTTGCCGAGATGTCTTCTCGCTACAGAACTACATCAGCCCTAGGAGTGCTGTATGGCCTACCGCAGATCACAGCCAGAATGTACCCCCCTTCCCTCACAGAGTACAAGGAGCAAGAGATTGGTAACAATATTTAGGTACAGAATTAAATGAAAAAGTCAATTAACAACTTTGGACATAAAATTAGTATGACTGTTTTCATATTGAAGAAAGTTACCTTTGGTTGTCCATTCATCTCCCATGCTCTTAGTAGTCTTGGATTCTTCTTTTGAGTTTGTTTGTATGCTTTTAAAGTTGCATGACAACACTGTTAAAACATCAGTAATTAATAAGGACAAATATATATACAATTGCTGGTGTTAATTATAATTAACATATTTAGTTGTTTTATGTTGTGAATGTCATAACTTATTAATACTGTACAAGAAATAATAAACAGATGTCTTAAGTATTATTTGATTTTAATTGTGTTTTCCAGTCCTGTATTGTACTGTCTATATAAGAGAGGATGTAGAGTAATTCTTTGTCTACTCTGGTTATTGGTCAGTTGTATATCAGTAGCTTGTTTAATTAATTACCATTGCATAATTAAAAGAATAAAGTGCTTTGAAAACCTACATGAAACAAGCATGAATGAATGAAAAATGATGTATCTGTGCAGACTGTGATACTGTTTAGTGGTTGGAAAGCAAAGTTTTACTACTTGCTTGTATGACAAAAGCCAGAATGTTGTTTCCGATACAGACAGGAAATAACATGAACATTTTCATAAAAATTACCTGTCAAATGTTTTTTATGGAATACTGCAGTGATAAAGAGGTTTTTCTCAATACAGTGGTACCTCAGCTTATGAATTTAATCCGTTCCCAGAGACAGTTTGTAACCCAAAAATTCATAAACCGAAGCGAATTTTCCCATAAGAAATAATGTAAATTGAATTAATCCGTTCCACACTCCCCAAAATATTAACTTCAAAGTAAATTTTATACCTAATTCATCCAAATCTTCAGTATTAAAGTATGTACAAGTTATTAGTTCTTGCTTACTTTTATTGATGACTCTTGTTGGTGTATGGCAGATGGTTAGGAGGGGGGGAGTAGGAGAGGTGTTAGTGTTTGGAAGAAGAGTCCCTTCCATTATAACATCAGGCAATGATGACTTCTCTGGGGTACTCTCTCCTATGTTTTGCAGGAGTACTACTAGGGCCTGGTTGTGGCTCACTGCTTGCTTGTCTTCCTAAGAATCTGTCTAAAAGACACTTGTTTTCCCTATATTTTAACATCACCGAGCAGCAAAAGATCCCTACAGAGGTAGTCCCTGAACGACTTGCGGAAGATAACCCCAAACCGCAAGGGCAGTACTTACAGGGCACCTAGGGAAGAAGGCCCTGGGCGCATGAAGCCCCAGAACTCCATGAATTACTCCTGGTTCGCACACCACCACACAGCAGAACACCACCACGAAGGCACAGCACTGCACAGAGACAGGAGTCAGAGTCGAACGACCACCACTCAACACATCAGCTTCAGAACTTGAGTTGGATGGCCAGCACGGGGGTCTGTGGCTCCCCCTTCCCCCTCCCGGGGAAGGGGGGGAGCTGCTCAGACAGCAGTGTGGCGGCGGTTGTGACATCTTGCTTGCTTGTTTGCTTGTTTTCGGATTGGGGAGTTCTGCTTAATAGTTCGGTTTTCAGTAGCAACTTTTAACCAGGTGGCGTTTGTTTTGGGACATTTACCTTTCTGGGTGCATAACCCAGTCGATGGCAGACACAGAATGCTTCCAACCACATGGGGATTTCTATAGGCCATTGCTTCTCGTGCCTCTCTGAGGGGGCCAGGTCCCCGGTAGGCAAGAATTCCAATGGAATTGACTGATGCCACGGGCTAATACATACATATCAGCCCAGTAAGCTCTGAGGGAGCTGGAGGGGCTCTCCAGAGAAAACACAGCATTGGCTGTAATAAAACGCCTCTGTTTTTGGAAGGGTCTCGATAGCGCCTTGAAGCTATCTTGCCGAGATGTCTTCTCGCTACAGAACTACATCAGCCCTAGGAGTGCTGTATGGCCTACCGCAGATCACAGCCAGAATGTACCCCCCTTCCCTCACAGAGTACAAGGAGCAAGAGATTGGTAACAATATTTAGGTACAGAATTAAATGAAAAAGTCAATTAACAACTTTGGACATAAAATTAGTATGACTGTTTTCATATTGAAGAAAGTTACCTTTGGTTGTCCATTCATCTCCCATGCTCTTAGTAGTCTTGGATTCTTCTTTTGAGTTTGTTTGTATGCTTTTAAAGTTGCATGACAACACTGTTAAAACATCAGTAATTAATAAGGACAAATATATATACAATTGCTGGTGTTAATTATAATTAACATATTTAGTTGTTTTATGTTGTGAATGTCATAACTTATTAATACTGTACAAGAAATAATAAACAGATGTCTTAAGTATTATTTGATTTTAATTGTGTTTTCCAGTCCTGTATTGTACTGTCTATATAAGAGAGGATGTAGAGTAATTCTTTGTCTACTCTGGTTATTGGTCAGTTGTATATCAGTAGCTTGTTTAATTAATTACCATTGCATAATTAAAAGAATAAAGTGCTTTGAAAACCTACATGAAACAAGCATGAATGAATGAAAAATGATGTATCTGTGCAGACTGTGATACTGTTTAGTGGTTGGAAAGCAAAGTTTTACTACTTGCTTGTATGACAAAAGCCAGAATGTTGTTTCCGATACAGACAGGAAATAACATGAACATTTTCATAAAAATTACCTGTCAAATGTTTTTTATGGAATACTGCAGTGATAAAGAGGTTTTTCTCAATACAGTGGTACCTCAGCTTATGAATTTAATCCGTTCCCAGAGACAGTTTGTAACCCAAAAATTCATAAACCGAAGCGAATTTTCCCATAAGAAATAATGTAAATTGAATTAATCCGTTCCACACTCCCCAAAATATTAACTTCAAAGTAAATTTTATACCTAATTCATCCAAATCTTCAGTATTAAAGTATGTACAAGTTATTAGTTCTTGCTTACTTTTATTGATGACTCTTGTTGGTGTATGGCAGATGGTTAGGAGGGGGGGAGTAGGAGAGGTGTTAGTGTTTGGAAGAAGAGTCCCTTCCATTATAACATCAGGCAATGATGACTTCTCTGGGGTACTCTCTCCTATGTTTTGCAGGAGTACTACTAGGGCCTGGTTGTGGCTCACTGCTTGCTTGTCTTCCTAAGAATCTGTCTAAAAGACACTTGTTTTCCCTATATTTTAACACTTGTTTGTAGTGAGCCATCACACTCATTTAAAAGGTCACTGCAACGGCCTGCTACAGCTTCATCTGGGCAAGTTTTTCAACAAAACTTTGCAGTTCTTCCCATACTTCACACATTTTATTAATGAGGAAGGGACATTCTCTACTGACTCTACTCAAAACTATTTTCTTAGGTTGAACCTTACCACTGACTTTCTTGGGACCCCATTGCGAGATGTATAATAATTAATTTATGTTCAAATACCCAAAAATCTGTAAAACACTGACATTCTTTACAAAGAATTCAGGTGCGATTATTACTTGGTGGAAGGCACTGGTAAACCATGGCGCGGTTGCCGTACCACCACGTGCTAGGTCGGCCCTATGTTTATCAACAAACTACATAACCCAAGGCAAAGTTCGTATCCCGATTCGGATTTTACGAAGAAATTGGGCTCGTAATCCAAAAAATTTGTAAAGAGGGGCATTTGTAAGCCGAGGTGTCACCATATTTCAATGTTTTGCTTCAGGAGTCATGAAAAGGTAATCTCAAATTCTACTCTTTCTTGAACATCTTGACTCAACATAAAAATATTAAGTTTACCATGCTTATATCAATTAGAAACTTTATAAGGTACTTTTATTTTTATACAATGACAAGCACAAAATTCTTCCATAATCTAAACACATTGCAGTACTGTACTGTATTTTAAATGTTCTCATCTGCTATTTACCCTCGGTATAATTTGAGCAGGGCAAACCATTATCACATACTGTTTTGGTAAATATATTGAACCTACTATTATCTGATGAAGAAACAAAGTGTTTGGAATGAATCGTAATATATTTACATACCTGAACTGCAACTTTGCCTTTCCCCATCTTGAGATCATCACGAACTACCAGCACCAGCTTGAACTCCCCAGGCTCTTTAAATCGAAAGTTGGCCTAAACACAAAGATATAAAAAATGTAGTTCTTTGTTGAAATCAGCTAAAATTAGTAGAACAAAGTTAGTGAGAATTATTTAGAAATCTTGAAATAACTGAGCTTGAAATCATTGCTCCTTGTCCATGTTACATCTGACCTTGTGAAGAACTGGTCTGGATTAATATCTCCAAATTATTCAGTATTTTAAAGGTTTTGATAAGATATGCATTGTCATGTCTGGCTTGCAGTGTTGTTAGCCCTTTGGCCCTCAGCTGTTCCTGATATGAGTCGGCCTAAACACACAACATTTAGTTCAAGAATGACTTTTATTGCAGATTTATCTTTCCAATGATGAGGCCTCTATGCCTGGATACAATAATCCAAGTGGGGGCACACCAGAGATTAATACAGTTGAATAACTATCCCCTTTTCCTTGAAGTCATTGACAAAATCTCATTCAGGGAAAAATAAACACAATGGCTCTCAGTTTACCAGAAAGGCAGATGCAATGGCAGGAGTCTGTTCTAGTAACATGATCATTATATTAGTTTGCAGTGAAGACTAACTTTTTTTTTTTTTAGCGGATCAAGTCCGTGCATTGCTGGACCCGGTGCTGAAAACCCTGGATAAAATGTTTGGATAATGGCAAAATTTGTCAAACTTTAAATGCAACAGTTTTTAGTTGCAGTGAAAAAGTTTCCAATATGAATCTATTTTCAAGCAGGATTACACTGCACCTTGAGATTGTGACATACTCTATCCTGAGCAAGTAATGCTGACATCCCATATGTAAAGTATAGTGATACTCTATGAATTATCAGGATTACAGCACAGTCAGTTAGAACATATTGCAGTGATGCTACAAGAACCATTTATTGTATGGTGCCCTTGTAGTCATGTACATGTGCTTGGAAGTCACCAGAAACAGAATCAATCCAGCCAAGATAAGATATTCAGAAGGGTTTGTTCTGAAGTCCAGGTCAATTAGGCCCCAGTAATACCATGACTAGCTATGGAAGCTCAAACTCGCCTACCACTCAAAACAAAATGTATCACAAACCCACACCAGGTGGCCACACTACTGCAAGATCCTACTTGCCCAAAAGAACAAATTGTGGGTTCATAAATTGTATCATGACTCACTTGACAGCATTTTCTGATTCCTCTGGCAATATCAGGCTTCAATAACGTGGTATTCTTCTGGTTAACCCTGAGCTTGCATACCATACAGATGCTGCAGTATTTCTCAACAGCTTCTCTGGGTATAAGAGCATACTGCTCCTGGATCTGTAAGATATATACATTTTCTTTAAACTGACAACTTTGACAAAGTCAGATTTAGGAAAATATAAAAATGTTGAATATATTGGGACGCTGGTTGAAAGTATACATGTCACAGATACGCACTGCTGATTTCCATCCATCACCAGTGGTGGAGTATTTAAACAATCTAAATCCTGTTGACAATATATTTTAAGGGGGTTCTAGTTAATGTGTCCACTTTGCACAACATGTGTGTTAACACATTGTTTTCTTATTAACCTATGACCATGAAGTTCATGTATATGATTTTTTGCTGTGCTCGGACTTAAGTTTTGTTTGACTGTTACCCGTTGCATTCTGCTTGACAGGAAATTGAACAGCCACCATCCTACTTTGTGTGTTATAACCCACAGAACTTATTTCTTGATTATCTTTCCATGGTCACATTTATCTAATGTTTTTGCAAAGTCTGTGTATACTACATCTGCATTTTGCTTTACTGATAATGTTTCTGTAATTTTGTCATAGCAGTTCAGTAACTGCAAAATACACAATCTTTCAGCTCTAAATCCATGTTGCCCTAGGTTGTGAAGTTCATTATTCTCAATAAAACCAGAGATCTGACTCCTAATCAATCTCTCTCCTGATGCCTCCATGGATTTTGAAAGTACAATGTCCATTCTAGTGTCATTTTAAATAATGTCTCCTCTTTCAATTCATAAGTTTTACAATAAACTTGATATAACATTTTTAGTCCACTATGAATGTCAATAATACTTTAAGATGTCCAGTGAAGATAACTTTACTCAAAGTATCACTGACTCTGATAACTTAAATGGTAAAGCCTCACCCTTGACTAGGGGTACCTGTATGAAGTTTCCTGTCCCAAGCAAGGCATTTCTGTACATGAGAAAGTATAATGCTATATACTTCATGCAATAAATCTGCATCTTGGTATACCATACCAGAAACAAAAATAATTTAGCCTCTATTATCTATAGTGACTGGGGTAGGGAGCCTTTCAAACCACCTTTTACTTAGCAAACATTTCTTAAGGCTGCACATTACATCATGTGCATTATACATTCAAATACATCACAAACAAAAATGTTTAATTAATTTAAATTGCTGTCAAAGGCCATACTGAATACATACCATAAAAGCCCGCAGGTCGCCCACCCATTAATCTATACGTATGAGATTATGGCATGTTTTGTCATAACTTTTTAATTACCATGCTACAGTATTTATTAGTTTTCAGCAATTTAAAATAAAAAAGTATGAGATTTTAGATTACCTTACCGCTTTGAATGTTTTCCTTGAAGAAGCATGCTTCACAACATTCCCATGGTATTCCTTTATAATACTGTAAAAATCTTCATAGCACACCACTCTCTTCAGTATATTATCCTGAAAATAAATAAATTAATAAATATATTTTCTGATTGCAGGATAAAAAAAAAATCTATACAGTAGCTGAAATGTTCACAAGAATCAGGATTTAAAAGATGGTCACTCCAGACCCTTTTCATTTCAACTACCAGGCCAAAGCATTTCGCGAGCGCTTTGGCCTGGGTTCGCATCCTGGCCGGGGAGGATTCACTGGACGCCAATCCTTAACTGTAGCCTCTGTTCACCCAGCAGTGAATATGTACCTGGTTGTTAAACAATTTGGCAAGTTGCATTCCAGGGAAAATTAGAATTAAGGACCTGCCCAAAACTGCTTGCTAGAGTCTTTACAAGAATGTAAGAACTCTTGTATACTGTATATAATAAATAAATAAATAAATAAACTGCTTGAGTTCAAGACTCCCCACTTTAGTAGCTGGGCTCAGGCCAAAATCTCACCCTGATGCAGGCGATGAGTCACAATAATGTGGCTAAAGCATGTTGACCTGACCACACACTAGAAGGTGATGGGACGACGACGTTTCGGTCCATCCTGGACCATTCTCAAGTTGATTGTCACATTCACAATCGACTTGAGAATGGTCCAGGACGGACCGAAACGTCGTCGTCCCTTCACCTTCTAGTATGTGATCTGGTCAATTCACCCTGATGCTGGATTAGGCCAAGATCCCAGCCTGCTGCTCGTGTTAAGCCAAGAGCCCAGTCTACTAGCAGATCCATTGTTTATTATGACGAAATGTGTCAAAGAAAACACTTGTATGGGGGGGCAAGTAACAAAGTCAGTGGGCTGACAGATCACAGCGTGAATACAACTTGGCTATAAGTATATGTGGCAGAGCTCAGCTTGTATGGTGATCTAGATGAAGTGAAATGTAAAGTGTGTGGACAGAGACAGACACAAGAACATTATATTTTACACTGTGTAAACAACGAGCCATTTACAGAAAACTAAATTTACGATACATAAATGGCAAATCAATTGTTGTAAAGGATAAAATATCTGAAATACTTGCACTGTAACCATAACCATAAATAAATAACTGGGGATAAATAATAGATAAATGCAACTGGGGTCAGGTCAAGAGCCCTGCCTGCTGCTGGGGTCAGGTCATGACCCCTGCCTGCTGCTGGGGTCAGGTCAAGAGCCCTGTCTTCTACTGGGGTCAGGTTAAGAGCCCAGGCTGTTGCTGGGGTCAGGTCATGACCCCTGCCCGCTGCTGGGGTCAGGTCAAGAGCCCTGCCCGCTGCTGGGGTCAGGTCAAGAGCCCTGCCCGCTGCTGGGGTCAGGTCAAGAGCCCTGCCCGCTGCTGGGGTCAGGTCAAGAGCCCTGCCCGCTGCTGGGGTCAGGTCAAGAGCCCTGTCTTCTGTTGAGGTCAGGTCAAGAGCCCTGTCTTCTGTTGAGGTCAGGTCAAGAGCCCTGCCCGCTGCTGGGGTCAGGTCAAGAGCTCTACCCGCTGCTGGGGTCGCTTCAGGCCCGAGTCTGGTCACTCCTGGATATACCCAATTTAGAATACATCCACAGCACAATACATCACAACATTTTCAGCCAGGAATACATTCATGAACCGACCTGTTCCTTTTTTGCGATGGTTTCTTCCTCGCCCGTGTCCGGAAATGTTATTTTGAAGAAGTTATTCTTCTTAATGTAGAACTTGAGTTTGCTGTCCGCGCAACTTTGCGGGTCTTTCAAGTAGTTCAGAATCCTGTCAAAGCGCTTCCTGCTGAGAACAGGTGTTGTTTTTGAGTTGGCAAACTTTTCATTGCAAAACTCCTGGAAAATGGTTTCTTCGCAAGAGGGAGAGTCGTCAACAGCAGAGAACTGGGGCTCCGCCTCGACCATTTTGACGCCATAGAAAACGGCAGAGTTTTGGCCGATCTTAAGATGGGCACGATGGCCTCCTAAAGTTATCTTGGTCCGATCTTAAGACAGGTCGCATTCCCAGTTGGGAGCGCGTTAGGCAATCATATAATAGTAATAACAAAATCATTAATAATTCGTAGCATTTCGAGCATATTGCAGTGATTCATTTGTATAAATAAATATATAGTTTTTATCATTTTTAATTGTTTTCAACATAAACCTGCATATGGGGGGGGGGGCCTCGTAGTACAGTTGGCTTCGTTCTCTACTCTTAATCGGGGATCCCGGACTCAATTCTGAGGCTGGATAAAAGTGGTTGAGCACGTTTTCTTTTACTAAATGTCTCTGTTCATCTAGCAGTAACAAAGTACCATGGAGTTTAGCCATTATTGTGAGGTTGCATCTTGGGGAAGGGCAGCTCGACCTTGGTGGTCATCATCTCTAGCGCCCTTGCCAAAGACAAGATGCCTCGTCAAGTGCTAAGGAGGCTATTGGCACTTGTCCTGTTTCCCAAAATGGCATTCCATATTCTGACGAATATGTCCCAGTTATTTATTCCTCAGTTCGAGACTGAAGGCTAACCAAACACTTGGGATAATCAAGCGTACTTTTGACTAATACAAATACCTATTTGATATTCCCTGCCTGCTTCATAAATAAATAACTTGTCAAATTTGAATTTGACTATAAAGAAAAGAAGGTAATGGTTCAACTGTATAAATCTGTGGTGCACCCCCATTTAGATTACTGTATCCAAGCATGGAGACATCATTTTCAGGACATAGCTGCTCTGGAGAAGGTGCAACACCAGGCAACAAAAGTCATTTCAGAGCCAAGTCATCTCTCGTATCAGGAAAGGTTGAAGACCACAGGGCTAACAACACTGCAAACCAGGCATGACAGGACGGATCTCATTGAAACTTTTAAAATACTTATCAAGTTAGAGGATGTTGATCCGGATATATTTTCTTCGGAAGGTCAGAGATGTAACACAAACAATGAGTAACGGTTTCAAGCTCAACAAGCCACAATGTAGGACAGAGAACGGGAGATGCTTTTTCACCCACAGGGAACTGCCTACATGCCAAAACTGTGCTGAGTTTCAAAATAAACCTGGAAAAGATCAAGGCAAATGGAGGGGGGAGGACCTTTGACAAGCTGCTGGCTTCCTGTCCTCATCAAGGCCAATAGGGTTAGTGGCCCTCAGGTAAATCAGGTAATCGCTACCCTTATGTGATTTTGTTCATGAATTAACATCCTCGGTGATATTTAGCTCCTTTTGAATATCCATTGACGCTGCTACAGTCTCTCCAGCTTGGTGCCTTCTTTTGGTAACTACTTTATTGAGGGAGAAATGAGCACCCTCATAAGAAGAAGACCATGACTCCAGTCCAACTTGTACAAAATGTATAAGACTAAGAACTCTTGTATATATATATGTAACCTACCTTACCCTTCTATTGTCAACCAATGTCTGTTTTTTTTAAAGCGCTGTTTGTCGACATAATTGTATTTGTGCGGCTTTTTCAGCTATGTTTTCATTTCTTGTTTTCATTCTACTCTTTATGCTCAATTAGTATTAAGCTTGTCATTTAAGTTTTTCATGCCCGAAACGCTTTGCGTAATAGTGGCTTTAGGCATTGTATGTACTAGCTCTACCTATAAGTCAACCAATCTTTGTAAAAATTTCTTGTATGTATGTACCTTACCTAAATAAACATTTATTTATTTATTTATTTATATATTAATAAATAAAAACTTCTTGGTCACACCTGGCTGTATTATGTTAGTATTAGTGTGTATTAATTATCATAGTGATGCATAAAAGAAAATATGGTTAAGAAATTATATAATAAAGCCATAGAAACTAAAACTTTAAGAAATTTTAATTATTCTCATATGCATTATATATTATCTATAATTTGTAATATCAACATTGTTGATATCAACATTGTTGATATTAATGTACATATAAACTGATTTTTCCTCTATAAAATTTCAATAAAAACTACAAAATCTTAGTTAACCTATATATACATCAAACCAAATCCAAAGCTCTTCCAATACAAAAATTATAAGTTAAGTTTATCTATTTCTTCATGTAGACTTAATCACAACCATTTTTGCCATTAAATACAGTCATTGGTGTATTTAATCTGTTCCATACAGTAAATGCCACAGTCCAATAATTCAAGAAATAACTCATTTAAAAATATATATTTATTTACAAAGAATATTGAAAAGCTAAAATATATATAAATACAGTATTACTATATTTAACCTAACAATTTATACAAAGCAATAATAGATAAATAAACTCAAGAATACATGTTTAATACAGTAGATACATGTGAAGATGTTACATTAGAAGAAATTAGAAAATTACATTAGAAAAAAAAAAAAAAAAATAATAAAATGATGGTAAGTCAGCACTATAATATAATACATACTAAGATTATACCAAGCTGCTACAGTATGAGAAGTAAAATATAAAGCAAGCATTGTAATATATCTGTACCATATTTTGTTGCTTCTAGGATGATACATAATTTCAAAGAAAGAAAAATCTTTAATTTAAAAATACTAATCATTTCTATTCATCTACAACAAAATTCTCATTCTCATTTCACTAAGTTGCCTTTACTGGTATATAATAGTGGAAATACTGTAACCTGAAAATACTTCTCGTCATCTGTCTGATAACTATAAGAGTGCTGATGAGTCTGGGGGATTGGATGTATCGGACACGAGACGATTCGACGTAGCTCGTTTTCTGTTTGTTAAAAGCGTATATATTGTTATGCAAGGTTGTATTAGTTTAGGTTAGGATGTATTGGGTTCAGTTAGGTTGGTTTGGGTTAAGTTAGGTTAGGTTGGGTTGAGCTAGGTGAGGTTAAGCAAGTTTCAAAATCCGCTGGCGAATCGTCTTGTGACTTGTATCCACAGACTGAGCATTAGATAGATACCTTAATATACATGATCATTATTTATTTGTTATTATTTATTTATACTAATTGTGTTGGCTTAAATTGGTGTCCTTATTAACTATGAACTGTAAAAATACATGTGTAAGACTATTATCAGTCTGAGTTCGTAACACAATTTGAATTTTTTACCTACTATATATATTTTTAACTAAACTTTCCATATACGGTTTCCATATATATATATATATACCTCCCAACCCTTCAGGAAAGTTTTGCATAGATGAAACATTCTACTATAAATACTAATGAAACATTCCAGGCTTGGTGCCATTTTATAATTATTTATTAAAATAACAATAAATATTAAATGCAGTTACTGTACTGTATATGAAAGTTAAGTCACATTGTTATTTTTTATAAATCATGATACTGTATTCCAACATTTACCACTGAATACCAGTTAACTGTATAGAATTTGACATTTCTAAGTATGCTCCTGATATCTTTGTTCAACTTTAAATTGTGAGTTGTCAATTTAAAATACAGTACTGTATAATGATACAGCTTGAAGAAATTCATAAAAAATATGTAGCTAAGTATAATGAAATTACACATTCTGGGTGGCTCCCTCAGTGAGCAACTGACTTTCCTGCCCTGCTCTGAAAAGTTAACTGAATGCAATATTCATTATCAGACATACATACATCATTTTATTTGTATTGAAAAGTAAGAAAGAATTAATAATTAATTCTCTCAGGAATGTTGTAGGGCATCTCTAATGAAGACTTAGGACCTAGTGGCATTATTCATAAGGCATGGTATACAGGTTAGCTATTAACAAGATCAACAATATTTAAAGTCAATACTAAACTATTTTCTAGTTAGTAAGGCCAAGAACAACAGGAACCCATCTTGACACAGACAGAGGAAGCAGGTCGTGCTCTTAAGGAGAGCCAGAGTTGTTGGTTTGGAACATACATCTCTGCAGGGATATCATCATTGTCTGTACTTAATTTGACTTCCTTATCGTGTTTTCGTCCTGAAACACAAGTCACAACACAGTTAATTTTTTTACCTGTCCTGTTCAGAAATTTTCCTACTAAAAATAAATCTTCCTTGTGGAAAGAGAAAAATTTTGTGAAAAATATATTTTCATTAATATTCTTTTAAAACCATGATACATGTACTTAAATCCCAAATTATGGTACCAAGGATAAGTATGATCATACGATGCAGCAACTATATTCTTGTAAACTGGAAAAACAAGAACTGCTGACAATCACAGTTAATTCATGAATGTATCAGTAGATGTTTGGAGTTAAATTGTATCTTCTAGAGGGAGACCCTATGTGGCGTCCTGAAGTTACCTTGCTAAGATTGCTTCATACTAAAAGATCACATCGGTCATAGACATTCTGTTTGGCCTATGAGGAACCAGAACCTGGTTCCCCTCACAAAGGTGCTTTGAGTGAGTGACAATCTGCCACCCCACTGGAAAAAAGCCTCCATAAAGTCGGTAAAGTTTGACAGACTTCGTTCACACAAAACGAAGTCTTGAAACTGCTAAACAGCTCCACAAATGATACACACAGAACAGGAGATTCACTCAAATTAGCTCAAAACTCATTAGCACTGATTACCACTGCCAGACAGGGCATCTTCAGCCTTCAGCAGGCTTCCCTGGTCAGTTCTGTTGCTGATGAGGCAGCTTCTGTATCTGTCTATAATATTCCAGTCTGTCAGTTGTGGCAATCCCCACCACTTCAAGGTAAGTGCCAGATATCCTTGGACTCTGTTGTCCTACAGGGGCTATTTGCTTTGAGTGTTCTGTATTTTAGTATTAGCTTCACCTGCTCGTTCTTGATTTGGCTTGTGGATTTGGCTCTTGTTGCAATTCAGGTTGCATGGGTTCAGGATTTTCTTTCCTGAGAGCTTGCTAATGCTTCCCTTGCATATCAGAGTTATCTTCTCTGGTGTGTTCAGGAGTTCATCCCTTGAAGGCCTGGCCACCAGGGTGGAAAGTCTCACCTTCGCTTACTGGTTCAATCTCAGTGGATGCCTTGTTGGTTGACCCTGCTTCTTGGCATCCTGTTCTAAGGCTTCATATTTGTTCCAAAGCAGTAACAACTCAATAGGATCCACATCACACTGAAAGCTATGCTGCTCAAAACCAAAAGAGAAAAATATGAACACACAGAGCCCTTGACAATCAGTACTAGGAAAGGCACCAGGTAATTCTAGAACAAAGCTGAAGTGACCAGCTTAAGTCAGAGACATGTAAATGACTGGGCAACACAGTATAAAGCAAACATTAAGGCATGGAACTCCGTGTGCATTGACAGGGTATTTATCTTAATCAGTCTCCGCACAGCTGGTTTTAGTGAAACGTGGACCACCAGGCATACAACTGAGGGCTGTCAGCTTCCCAGACTGTTGTGGTGCTGCCAATCTGGGTGTGGTTAGTGCAGCAACTAGTTACAAATAAACAGTTTGTAGAAGGATAATTGGTTTTCCTAATAGATCCAATTATCTCTTAAGAAAGGTTTCCGAGTGAATTGTTGTACAATTTTATCTGATTGTGAGCAATTACTGGGTGGTTGATTGAGTTTGATACTTCACCTGAATCCCTTCTCTGTTGTGGCAAGACCACAGGAAAAGTTTCTTGTTATGGTGGGGAGATAAGTTGTTTAGAGTCTGGGGAGTATATTAAGACCTGTTTGACCATTCTTGCATTGGTTTGGGGAACAACTGATGGGCCCAGCTCAGAAAAAGACTACAATATGATTAGATACGACGGCATGAAGACTTTCTTAATATGGTTCACTTTATGGTTCCCATTGGGTAATAATGGATCAGAGATATGTGTATACACTTATTTCATAAAACAAGAGTACTGTACTATAGTCTAAATCTTGAGTAATATATGTAGTATTCTCACCTGCAATAATAGGACCCATAGGTGCTACCTGGTTTTGTGAGGTATATCCCACAACTAGTGGGGGTTGCCTCATGAGTAACCTAGCCACCCCCTCACACTCCCGCAGAACATCTACAGCCAACACTTGAGTACGAGCCTCTGGAGCTAGACCTGGATACTTCTGCAGCCACTCAGCTAGTGCATGAAAATCTGAAAACGTTTGTTAATGAACTTTTTAACTTTGAAAGATTTAATCGATGTTCTAAAACTGGTAATTTTTTATAGAGAAAAACAAAACAGCATTGAATGTAACGAAACGCCAGTTTCTGGGTAAAACCTGGAGGCTCCCCGGAGCTAACCAAGATGATATGAATGTATTAGACCCTGGCATCAGTCAATGCACATGGAAATCTAAGCCTACCGGGAACCATTAGCCAGAACCTGGCCCCCTCAGAGAGGCACAAGGAACAATGGCCTATAGAAACTCCAATGTGGTTAGAAGCATTCTATGTCTGCCATCGACCGGGTCAGGAACCCAGAAAGGTAAGTGCCCCAAAACAAACCCCTATTCTGGTTAAAATATTGCTACTGAAAGCCAAACTAGTGAACAGAACTCTCCAAATGAAAATGAGCAAACGAGCATGATGTCACTATGTCACCGCTCCGCTGTGTGCGCAACCCTTCTCCTCCCCAGGAGGGGAAAGGGGGGGGGGGCTAGACCCCTGCACTGGCTATCCACCCTGCAGTTCTAAGGCTGGATGTTAAAAGCCGCAGAAAAAAAACACCTACCGGAGAGAGGAAAGGATGCCGGGAAGCCTCCGGGTCTCACCCATTTCATTACATTCAATGCTGGTTTTCTGAGGGGGGCCCCATTGGGAGCTATGTATCCAAAGACAAAACAAGAGGGACTTAGCTGGGAGGCAGATGGCCCTCGCTCCTCAACGCGAAGTCGAGACAACTGGCCACAACTGCCGACCCAATGCGACACAGACCCAACTAGGCCCAGGAACAGTGACACGGTAGCGATTGGTAAGGACCCTGTTCGAGATCCCAAAACTCCATGCCCGAATGTCAGTCCAAGACATGTTACCAAAGACGGCAGCCAGTGCAGCAAACTTACGAACGTCGTGTGCTGGCTGGACCAAATAACCCTGCGGACGACCTGGGAGACCCAAACCCTGGAACAGGGAAGAAGGGAAACCAAGTCAATACAAAGTGCGTCCCTGGCCACCGAGGCTATGGCAAGCAGGTAACAGCGGAGAGCCGCAATCGGACACAACACATGATGCACCCAAGGACAACACCAAAAAGCAGTAGTCGCATTCTTCGCCAGAAAGAAGGAGATAGCTTCAAACGAACAAACCTACCTCCAGGACCAAAAGAGCAGAAATCCCTGCGCCGAAGGATAGCATCAAGCTCCTCGACCCGACCCCCAGTGGTCAATGCCAACAGGAAAAAGAATCCGGAACCGAAGGGGTGACCACAAACTGAGGAGGAGAGAAAAAGAAGAGCACCCAGCCCAACGACCAGGACGGCTCAGGCGGAGCATGAGTAGGCCGAAACAACACAGGTGAGGTGAAACAGCACACAAGACAGCTAGCGGAATGGTGCAGAATTAGCATCAAAGCTGAATGCAAGCTGCAGCGGCTCTGCCATCACAACACGATACAAGGCGATATTATTCGGCATAAGATGATGGTCTTGGAATAACCACGAAGGGGAAGACAAGATAATCCTATTAGAGACAGAAGTAAATCTACGAAGGGATAAGAAATAACGGATCACCAAGAAACTTCATGCTGCTGCTGAGATGAAGCATGCAGGTGGGACACCATCAATGAAGCCACCTGCTCACCATACAAGTGGTGATAGACTTGAGTCAGAAAGATCAGACACGAAGACTTGAGGAGAAGATGGAACCAGCCACGTAATGGACTGGACCGATCTGCTAAAAGAGGCAGAGCTGTGGGAAGACCTTAGGGTTCAGACGCCGAGCAAGCAGTGCCTGAAACCAAGGTTGGGCCGGCCACCAAGGGGGCCAGGAGGACAACTCTCCCTTGGTAAGTTTCCAAACGAGATACGACCTGGAGCAACAGTGGAACCGAGGGAAAGAGGTACTGAACAGGTAACCCCACCTCGACCAGTTCTGCCTGAAGGCATCATCCCTGACGGCCTCGCGGTCGGAGAAGGGCGCCACATACAACGAGAGACACCTCGACCACGCCGACGCAAAGAGGACCACCTTTGGAGGCCTGTACATCCGGCAGAGCCAACTGAACGATTCGGCGTCGACCGTCCGTTCCGTGGACAGTGAAATGATCCGAGACAGGCCGTCCGCCAAGACGTTGGACACCCCCCAAATGTGAACTGCTAGGAGAGCCAAACCCCGAGAACTCAGCAGACGAGTCACCCGAAGTGACCAGTCCCAAAGAGCCAAGGACCGCATCAAACCCCCACAGTTCAGGCAATGAACCACAGGGAAGCAGTCCGAATGAAGCCGGATCGTCGATCCGTGAGCGACCCAAACCCTCTGAAGCAACATCCACACCGCTGCGAAGTCCCGCACCGTGCTGTGGGCCCGATGGAAGGACGGACCTCACCGCCCCCTGGTCAGCCTGGTCACTGGTCACAAAGCCCCAGCCAAGAGACGACACATCCGTGAACACATCGAGTGAGGGCTCAGGTAGGCGCCAAGGCACTGAACCCTGAAAAACCCGAAGAGGAAGCTGGTGATGCAGCAGCCGACACAAGGCCCCTGGAGGCCAAACTCAGAGATCCTGAGAGAAACGGAAGTGCCATCCCCGAAGGAACCAGTACAGCCAACAAAGCCAAACCCGACACAGCGGGTAGACCATCATAGTAAAGCTTAGGCTCCCGCATAAACTCTCGTGCAACCACTGCGTGACCCGGGAGCCCCCCAAAAACATGCAAAGGCAGGACTGCAGCCGAAGCAGAGCCTCTGGAGGGAGAGACAAGGAAGCAGTCTCGAATGTCTCCATCGCCACACCGGAAGGGGCATCTTCCGAAACCGCCCAAGTCTCAGCACCAATTAAACCCAGCCCCAACTCCGAAGCCCTCAGAGGCTTTGGAGCCGGAAGAAGGGGAAAGGACCAGGACGAACAACAGAAGGAGAAGGACAAGGGGGCATGGGGAAGGGGAAGTGGAAGGGGAAAGACAAAGTCGAAATGACTAACACCCCCAAGTCCAGGTCCCTATAACCAAAACGAGGCAGTCTCGGGGCATCTGGGATACCAACCAACCTAGCGTGCTGTAGCAACCTAAACCGAGCATGCAACAATGAAGCTGCCTGCACCTGAATATCATGATCAGTGGACTGGGTGTATTGGAGTACAAACAAGAAACAAAACTCACAGGACTCCAGGTCAAAGTTGTCACCGACCCAACAGGCAGCATGATGGAGGCACAACCGGTCAGTGTCACCCTGAGACAAGGGGGTAGAGCAACCTTCAAACTCGCAAAAAGCGAGAGGGGACCAGGAGTCGCATCCATTGGAGCAAAGAACCCCTGCGGGGTTTCCCAGGGCCCTCAGTCGCTTAATCTTGCTAAGGTAAACCCAGGCAGGGTACTGACAACTAGCGCCCAAAGTTACCAATCAAACTGCTAAATCTGAATCCCCAGGATGTGTACACTCACAGTACATATTTATGTACAGTGTACATATTTTGGTGGAGGACCACCAAAATATAAATGGGTGTGACCAAAACCAAGGGGACAGACTCCACACCAGCAAGAAAACAAAAAAAGAAAAACGCTGCAAGAGGACAACGTGCCAGGCGGAACAGAGCTGGCTGCTATAAGAGGTGAAAACTAGCGGCACAGTATCCTGCGCCCCAACCAGTGACGAACCTACCAACTACCCAGAGGCAAACAGTGATGTATGAAACACCCCAGCTGACTCCAAGGGCAGTCAATCACCAAGCAGCAAACGACCTTGCAGAGGTAGACCCCAAGGTGACGTGTGGAAGGTGGTCCCAATCCCCAAGGGCAGTACTTACAGGGCACCTAAGGAAGAGGAACCTAGGCGCATGCAACCTGAATACTTGTGAAATAACTCCTGGCTCGAGCAGCACCGCTGAGACAGCACCACACCACAAGGTACAGACCTGGATAAACAGAAGCCAGAGGCGCACAACCTTTCCAGTTGTTCACATCAGCCACAAAACTGTAGGGTGGATAGCCAGTGCGGGATTCTAGCGCTCCCCCTTTCCCCTCCCAGGGAGGGAGATGTTGCGAAGACAGCGGCACGGTGACGTGGTGATGTCATGCTCGTTTGCACGTTTTCGTTTGGGGAGTTCTGTCCACTAGTTCGGCTTTCAGTAGCAATAATTTAACCAGAATAGGGGGTTTGTTTTGGGGTGCTTACCTTTCTGGGTGCCTATCCTGGTCGATGGCAGACATAGAATGTTTCCAACCACACAGGGGTTTCTATAGGCCATTGCTCCTCGTGCCTCTCTGAGGTCAGGTTCTGGCTCTGGTAGGCCTAGAACTCCATGTGCATTGACTGATGCCAGGGTCCAATACATTCATATCTGCCCGATTAGCTCCGGGAAGGCAACGGGGCTCCTTCCAGAAATACGGGGTACAGTATTACAAACAGTTGTATACATTTGATTATCATCTGCAAACCTTTCAATAATTGTTGTGCACCCCAGAGTGAAAACTTTATCTTCTGAACCCTGATGTGTTCCAGCCAGGCATAACACACTACTTTTAGAACGGTGGCTCCGGCACGCCGTTGTAGCACCACACCAAGCTTGGATACGGCATCTAATACTGGTTCTAGCACAGCAGCTGTAGAAGATATTTGTAATAAGGATCTTGTAAAAGTACAGTACTGTAATATGATTTGAAAATAGGGGATAAAATCACTGGAGCAGTCCTGTTTATAACAGAAAAACATTCACAAATTACAGTACACTTTTATATGGAAAAATAGGTTAAAATACACTTCATTGTGATTACCATACAAATAAGTTAATCTTATTGGAAAAAATAGGAAGACTTACATGACCAAGAATTTTGTATATAAAAATTTTAAACAATACAGGTCAAATATAATCTCACTGACAGTGAACTTTAAACCAACACAATAAACAGTTTAGTTTTAGTTTAGTTCAATTATTATGCACCCCATACCCCTCCTGTGGATGGTAGTGGAAAGGGATACAGAGGCACATAATGGGGTCAGGGACTGAATCCCACAATTCATTTAGCTAAGCAAGCTACAATCTTGATGAGCTAGTTACAAAATTCAATGTACTGTACATCGTCACATCAACAATGAGTTCGAGAACAACGAAAAACGGAGTATAAAAAGAAAACGGATATTTTTTGCACGTTACCCAAACTGACCCGCAGTTTGAAAAATACAATAGATATTGGAAATATTACACTTGACTGCTATTTTTTAGCATAATTGAGGGTGATTGCACATATCTTAAGTTTTATATTAAGCATAACTTAAGACAGTGAGACAAACTGGCACCAGTGAGCAAGTGGAGGAGGGAAGATAGGTGACTTGGAATCAGAAAACAATGTTTTTTTTTTTTTTTTTTTTTTTTCAATTCAATGTAGCAATTCACATATTAGATTTGAGCCTACACCTGTTTAGGTTACAGTTACAGCACTGAAAATATACATGTTGGTAGCACAGTATTAATATGATCTTTTGATGCCTGTATTTTTGGGAGTGTTTACTCAAGTGGTGCATCCTGGGATTTAGCTTCCACCTGTCTGAGTTATCACAGCACCATTTGCACATGCTTCGACACTACTTCATAAAGTAACATCAATGAAATGGATAAATTGGGACCAGCTGTGATCTGACTCACAAAGGAGTTCAGTCCATCAGGCAATTTGCCCTTTTTCACATTAGCATTTAGTTTTCCTACCACAAACAGTATAACACACCTTTGGGCACATATACTCTATACAGGCAGAATGCAGTCACACAATACTGTAATAATGTATACAATGTGAAACAAACACTTTAAAAAGCTCCCATACTATGCTGCTGCATAAACCAATTAAGTATAAGCAGCCTCATTTGACTCCTCATGTTAGGATTTCTTGAATATTTTCACTATGAACTATTGCTACTGGCTTTCTCTCACTTGGAAATGACCTCAAACTCTTGAGTTTCTAATGTTTCGTATCAGAATCTGTACTCCAGTAGTGCCAATACCAAACTCCTCTGCCAGACACGTCACTCTCCAGCCTTGTCCACTTTTCTTAAATTAGCCTTTTTTAATTGCTAAATTACCTCCTCTTTTTCCTGTCTGGTTTACTCAAACAAGTACTGCTAGTAGATATCTTTTCAATTCACAAGTAACAAAATATCTAAAGAAGAATAGATAAAAACCTTTTCAAATGGTCTTGTTCTGTGGTCCAGGGGTAAGGAGCACAATGGAGATTACTGTATACCTCAATCCGCCACCAAAACAAAACTACATTAAAGAACATATCAGACCACTCGACACCCCTTCCAAATGAGTATTGAGATCACTAAGATTGCCAATTATTGTTCAGAAACTACATAACTAGCCATTACTCCCTACACTGACCACCTCTAGGTGACAGAAGTAGCTAAAACAACGGGGTTGGAGATGGTGGCAACACACCCACTTTGGGCACAAAGCATCCAAGTGAAGACAAGAAGCAATGCTATTTCTCAGAAAGACCCCTTTGCTACTTCCCTGAGTCATCTCCCCATGGTGCAAGATTAGTAAATATAAAACCAACAGGGACATACCCGAGGAAGCAGCAGTAGGTAGAGAAGTCCTGAGGTGAGGTGGACTTGAAGTATCACTTTGATGACAACTGACCCAAGCCTAAACACATAGTGGGAATGTTGGAGGCTAAGGTCTGATTCAACCTCCAGTAATCCGTGATCCAGATCGCAGAACAAGTCATCGCAGAGAAGGTCGCAAGGTTGGCTTTTTCTGCAAATCATTCACACTGGGGTTACTTACCCCGACCAAGCTCTACAAGTTACTGCTATCATCTATGACACTCGGTGTAAGGGGTAGTTGCTAGTTATGTAGTTTCAGAATAATATTTGGTGGTCCAATGATTGGAGGAGATGCAAAGTGATTTAATGTGTTTTCTGGTAGGTTTCTGCTGGTGGCTCCCTGTTGCTACATCCTGGATACCCCAACCCAATTTGATTCACACTAGGCCCTTACAAGTCTTGAAAACTTTACAGAAGATCAGAGGCAAAAACCTGGTCCCCAAGGATTCAAAATCACTCCAACTTAAGGAAATAGCCACCAAAAAGGTAGGGTGAACCAAAATAAAAAAAACAGCAAAGTAAAAGAAATAAAAACTCATGGTAGAGTTGGCTTCATTCTTGACTTGCAATGGGGATCCCCGGTTCAATTACCAGCAAGACAGAAATGGTTAGGTACATTTCCCTGCAAGTAATGCCTCTGTTCAGCTAACAGTAAATTGGTACCCAGGGGATAAGCAGCAACTGTTGTTGGGTTGAATCCTGGGGTAAGATTAGTAGTTTGGCATTGAGGGGACCTTGATACATGTCTAAACTACAATCAATCAATATACTGTATTATTTATATTATATATATATATATATATATATATATATATATATATATATATATATATATATATATATATATATATATATATATATATATATATAACAAAGTATTTACGTGATTAGGCAGTTCCATGGGTTTATAACAAGATTGAGTCTGAAGGATGGCCAACAGTTGTCTAGGAAAAAGTTTGACGTACAAAAAAAGTCAGTGTTGAATGTAATGAAATGCCATTTTCTGGGTGAGACCCGGAGGCTCCCTGGAGCTATCCAGGCTGATACTGTATGTATATCACTAAACTTTGGCATCAGTCAGTGTGTATGGAGTTCTAGGGCCTACCGGGGACTACGAGCCTAAACCTGCCCCCCTCAGAGAGGCACAAGGAGCAATGTCCTATAGAAATTCACATGTGATTTGGAGCATTCTATATCTGCCATCAACCAGGATAGGCACCCAGAAAGCTAAGTGCCTCAAAACAAACCCCTATTCTGGTTAAAATAATGAAAATAGAGAAACGAGTGGACAGAACTCCCAAAACAAAAACGAGCAAACAAGCATGATGTCACACGAGCTGCAGTGCACGTCTGCACAGCTCCCCCCTCCCCGAGAGGGGTAAGGGGGAGCCCCAGACCCCTTGCGCCGGTGATCCAACCACCAGTTCTCAGGCTGATGTGATACTTTCTTGATCGTGTGGCTCCAGCTCCGGTTTCTCTTGTTGTGCTGTGCCTTGTGTGCGGTACTGCTCGATCTTACGGTGGCGTGGCGTGTGAGCTGGGAGTAGTATTCTCAGATACTCAGGCTGCATGTGCTTAGGGTTACCTTCCCTGGGTGCCCTGTAAGTACCACCCTTGGGGCTTGGGGTTACCTTCCACAAGTTACCTTGGGGTCTATCTCTGTGGTCTTTTGCTGCTTGGTGATTGACCACCCAGTGTGTTTGAGGGTTTTCCTTCCTTGTTTACCTTGGAGTAAGTGGTAGTTTTTGCCTGTTGGGGCGCGGGGTACTGCGCAGCTAGTTTTCACCTATTACAGCAGCTGGTTCTGTTCCTCCTGGGTCCGTTATCCTCTTGCAGGGTTTTTCTTTTCATTTTTGTTTTGGCTTGGTAGGGAGGTCTGCATTTTGTTTTCCCTTGCCCCTGTTAGTTAGGATTTGACCTCCTGTGTTCGGTGGTACCCCCTGCTTAGACCCCGTGAGTGGATACGTCCCGGAGGTTCAGCTTTAGAAGTTTGTTGGTAGACTTGGGTGCCAGTTAGCAGTACCCCACCTGGGCTTACCCCTAGTGATTCCAATCTAGGGGCCCTGGGAATCCCCACGGGGACACACAGGGTCCGATGGGTGCGACCCCTGGGTCTTCTCTCACTTTGTGCGAGTTTGAGGGTTGCTCTGTCCCCTTGTCTCAGGGCGACGCTCATTGTTTTTGCCTCTGTCATGCTGCCTGTTGGGTCAGTGACACCTTCGACCCAGAAGCCTAAGAGCACTGTTGCCTGTTTGTGACTCAGTTAACCCAATCTCATAATGACTTTATTCGGGTGAAGGCAGCTCAAGCATTGCATGCTCGGTATCGGTTGCTGCAACGTTCTCGGTTGATTGCTTCCCCGGATGCCCCGAGACTGCCCCGTTTTGTTTATAGGGACCCGGACTTGGGGGTGTTGGTCACTTCGGTCTTGGTTCAGTCCGCACCCCCTCGTTCTTCCCCTGCTGTTGTTCATTCTGTTCCCCCCCCCCCCTCCCCCACCCTTGCTTCCAGCTCCGAAGCATCTGAGGGCTTCGGCGTCAAAGCGAGGTTTAGAGGTTTCCGAGACTCAGGGCAGTTTCAGGGGATTGCCCCTTTCGAGGAGGTGACAGAGGCAGTCGAGCCCCTACCTCCAGCTGTGATGTCGGCGTCTGACCAGTGGGCCTCTTCTCTTCCCGCTTTTCCGGCTGCCCCAGTTTTTTCTGGTGAAGCCAGGGCTTTGGAGGAGGGCTCCCCCCGGAACCTGACGTGGAGGTTCCTGGGGTTGGGGAGGGGCTGACTTGGGGGCCATGCGCCCCATTGGACCCAGCCTGGGGCAGGGTCCAACCCTCTGTTTCAAACCCTCTGAGCAAGGTTTTCTGTTACAAGAAGTGGGGTTTTCTTTTCTCCCCTCTGTGTACGAGTCAGATTTGGGTTCAGCCCCTCCCCAAGTTCGATTTCGTATCTCTGCGGGTCCTTCGGTTCCGTTTTTCCGGAGGTTTTTCAGCCTCCCACATCTCACCTACTGATGAGCGGGCAACCATTGCGGCTTACCTCCTGCACGACCTGGACTGTGCTTCTATAATGTATCCGTCTTCTTTCATGTTTGGGTCTTCGTCTTCATACTGGGTCTGTTATGAGGTTCCGGAGTCGCCCTGGCTTGTGGACTGCCCGTTGTTGTCGTTGGTTGCCTGGAGTGCTTTCTGTCATTCCCACATGCTTGAGTGGTGCGAGGCATTGGCGGTGCTCCAGGTTTTCCTGGGGAGCGACCTTGAGCACCTTAATGAGTGCTTGTTCACTCCTGCCCTTCTGCAGGATGTGGGCGCAGTTCAGCTGTGCTGGTGGCCGAAGACTTGGGCGCTCGTTGCATGTTGGCTTTGGTCCTGCATTTCTTTTCCCTCCTGGAGCTGTCTTCAGATTGGCTTACAGAGGATGTTGAAATGCTTCGGGCCATTCCTGGGTCTGGTGCCTTGGTGTCGGCCTTTTGTTCCCTTGCTGTTTGTGGTGGAGTAGTTTCTGCAAGTAGCTGCTTCAAGCTGTCGTCCGATGTCCGACTTGTGGGGTTCTCCGGGGTTCCTGGGGTGGGGGGTCCTCCCGGCTGGGTCTTGCTAGGGTTTGGGGTTCCACTCGTCGAGGTGGGCCACAGGTGCCAGGTTCAGGGCCAGCACCGCCTTCGTAGCCGTCTGCGTCAGGTCGGCGCAGTGATCGCTCTGTGTGCAGGTCAGGTTCTCGTTAGGGGTGTCGGCCCTTTTGCAGTTCATCCCATTGATGGGGCAATGGAGGGAGGGGGGAAGAGGCTTGCTCTGTTCACTCATGCCTGGTCTCACGATTTGTGGGTGTTTCAGGTCGTTTCCTGCGGCCTTTGGTGGCGTTGGGTGGCCCTTTCCCCTTCGGGGCAGATGGGGCAGGCCTCTTCTCCTGCTCTCTGTCGGGTCATCTCGGAGTGGGTGCACTTGGGCGTGGTTGTGGGAAAGGAGAGCTGTACAGATGTACGGCGCGGCTCGTGTGATGTCATGCTTGTTTGCTCGTTTTCGTTTGGGGAGTTCTGTCCACACGTTTCTCTATTTACATCGTTTTTAACCAGAATAGGGATTTGTTTTGAGGCACTTACCTTTCTGGGTGCCTGTCCCTGGTCGATGGCAGATATAGAATGCTCCAAATCATATGTGCATTTCTATAGGACATTGCTCTTCATGCCTCTCTGAGGGGGGTCGGGTTCTGGCTTGTGGTCTCCGGTAGGCCTAGAACTCCCAACACACACACTGAAGCCAAAGTTTAGTGATACTGTATACATATCAGCCTGGATAGCTCCGGGGAGTAGAAGGGGCTCCCCCCAGAAAATATGCATGTGAGACTATAAAATATGTGAACAAACATAAGCATAGGGCTGCAGGACAGGCCAAAAGAACAGCCAAAACTTATCTGAAAAAAAATTGGGACCATAAAGGGTGGTGGAAACAAGATGAACATGTGCTGGGATCATACCAGGCGCATCATTGATTGGTATCATCGGCTGGACTTTGAGCTGCTGGGCCCACCATCTGGTGGTAGGGAGGTGTAATTAGCAGTTGTAACTAACTACTGTGGTTTGTGATGTCCAAGTTGCAAATAATTTTTGTTTCATATGTGCAGTTTGGAATGCTCTACCTCTGTTGATAGTATTTCCTCTTGGCCTGGTCAATCCGGTACTCCCAGATTTTCCATGCCTATATAACTAACTACTGTGCTAAGGAATAACACTACATTATTAACACATGATGAACATGTTACTGTGTGGTACTGTATACTTAACACAGATCAGTGAGTTTACTTTGCAACTGGTTGTAAACTGATTGAACAAATTTACAATGTAAGTGAATTAAACTTTCCTTTCATGATATTAAGACAGAATATAAAACAAAAACGTTCAAATGTCATACCAATATATTCGTAGACATAAAAATGTGGTTCATGAGGAATACGGCCGATTCCGCGCCAGATTCGTGGTTTGGGCATAGAATTTTGTAACTGTGCCAGACTCACTGTTCGACAGACAGCACTAACAGCTTCTATTGACTCATCTTCATAGTCCTGAAGACAGAATAAATAATTACCTGAGTAAAACAAAGTTTAGGATGCAGGTTTTATATCACTATTTATCAATATAAAGCAATTAGACTGCCAAAGGATTTGCAGGTCTTAACATTATTATTATTATTATTAATTTATTTTGCATTTGACATCAAACATATTATAGGTTCAGTACAGTAGTAGAGTAGACTTGATTAGCCTTGGTCATACATGGGATCTTTACCATGAGAGTACAAGGGGGGTATGCTTTTTGCAATAGCAGGGAGTTTACCATTAACTACTGATGGTTGTTCAATTTGGTTGCATCATGACATCAACTGACTTTCTCCATTTCTTTTATAAATGACATAATTATTACATAATTACATTATTATAATTACATTATTAATTATTACATAATTACATATTCTGCCATGTTCCCCCCTTTTTTTAATTTTATTCCTTTTTTCAACACAATTTATACCTAATCCCAATTACTATTAAGTTTTAGCTAAGTGTTCCCCCCCCCCACACCTTGCCTGAAACGCTATGCGTATTAGTGGCTTTAGGTATTGTATGTACTGTACTAGCTCTATCTATAAATCCTACATTATGTTTATAAATTATCTATGTACTTTTCCTGAATAAAAATTTGGATTTGAATTGAATTTGAATAAATTATGCTAACCTTATAGTATATTGTTTGCTTGGATTACAATTTTATTATTGAAACAAAAAGCAAATGAATAGTATGAAATGCTCTTTTCTCATTCACTCACCAAGTAAGATTCCACCCAGGACAATGCATTCATACCAGATAATTATCAGCCTATGTTCAATGGTAATTAGCAACTTTTCAAATGGTCTTGCCATGTAGTTGGGGAGGGCAGGCAGGGGAAAAATGAATCCACCACCAAAGAGACTGCTTGATAAAAACAAAAGAGCAGAACCATATTAATGAGCGCCCCATTTGAGGGATACTGAAATCTCAAGGATAGCCAAACATCCTTTGCTAAATACTGTTTAGCTAACAATCCACTACACTGTTGGCAACGTCAACACCATGATGGAAATGGAGGAGCAGATAATCTTTCCCAGCATGACACCAAGCATCAGTGTAAGAGATAGACATTTTTATATTCCCCCACAATAGTGTTTCAAATGGTGACTGATACTAATCAATCCATTGTTTACTTATGTAAAAGATTTCTCCTAAATTTTGCTGTACACTAGAAATGTAACACTGGATCTTCCTACCTTCACGTTGTCAACCACTTTCTCGATCATCTTCACAAGGTTGTCACGAGACATGGCATACAGCAGGCGAGCCATGTCATCTGTTTTTATAAGGTTATCTCTTTCCTGGATCTGTAACGATATCAGTAACCATATCAGAACGACTGCTGTATAAAAATCAAATTTGCTGTCCAAAAAGAACTAAAAGTTCCTGTACTAAGTACAGGTACAGTACTAAATTAGATTTTTCTTTGCTATCCCAATAAGTTGTTCCCTAACTGAATGAGTCCATGGGATATAAGCAACTACTATGACCACATAAAATCTTTGAAACATCCATGCAGGGTCACATTGGTGCATGTGAGCCACGGGAATATACAGTCCAGGCAAGAATGACCTCCAGAAGGTTCATTCATAAAAAAAAACTCAAAGCTCTTTCAAGGCCTCCACGGCATCAATATTGATGACCAATGGAGAATCTTTGCTAGCTACCAGTTAGCCACCTCCACTGATCACCAGGTGACAGCATCAAATTCACAACAATGCTCCATGATCAGACCCACCTCACATTTTTCACAAGTATCATGGTAATTGGCCCAGATGAGGACCAGATTTTTGTTGTTAGTTTCCAGTTGGGTTATGCTTTAATATGTATAATGTTTCATGTATGCATGGTATAATGAACCAGTCATTTGTGTGTCCCATGGATAGCTTTTACCAACCTTTTCTTATAATAGTGGGTATGTAATGTTTAGCTTTTAGTGGTATTAATCTAAATGTTTTGTTATTTAAATATCAGTTTATTTTAATTTGGTTAGTGTTAATTTGCATGTTTCATTTGTTAGTGTTTGAAGGTATGTTATGTATATATGAGACAATGTTTGTGTGTAAAGTAGATTTCCTGCATGCTTTTATGAGGGTAGCCTAACTTCTCTCCACTACCCTCAGAAGGAAGGTGGAGCAAGAAGTATGTATTGGTGCAAGTGAGGTATCAACGTCACTGCCGAGGCATTGAGTCAGTTTTTTCATTGTCATCTGAGAAGAGTATGAACTCCTGTATGCTAAGCCACACAATCACCAAGCCCACATGAATTACCCAAACATTTGCTACAACCCTGGACCACACATGGACTAACATAACAGCCCCTGTTGCTTTTGGTATAATCACTAACAAAACAACTTACGACTATCCTAACTTCTTCATAACAAACATAGATATAACACAATCAGATACTAGTAAATTAACCTTCAGACTACTGTACACTGCAAAGCAGCAATAGGCAACCTCATAAATGCACTTCATAATGTAAACCGGGAATCTGAATTCAATAATACCCATGACAAATTCAAAGTATAACCTACATCTTTCTCACCAAAACTTTAAACCTTTACAACATATACTGTCCTTGCCTCACCAAGCAAGTAACTGTCAAAAGATAAAAAATTAAACAACCCCTGACTCAAACATGGCATGCTTGAAGAAATTAACAAGTATGAAGAAAACAAAAGCTTGGCTTAGTTACATAAGAACTATGGTAAGTGCCTTATTCAGAAAGATTCTCATCTGCACTCAAGGCTTAAATTAAACTTGGGCAATCAGCTATAAGTTTTGTCAACTTCTTCTCCCCTCTCATGATTGACTTATTTAATGTATATGTAAGGCCATAGTTCTTCTCATACGTGTTAAAAGCTAATGCAATTTCAAAACACATTATAAAATTCCACTCACTCGCAGCATTTTCAGTTCTTGAATAGCTCTGGGTAGATCAGCTTGTGTTAGAAGGTAGTAAGGTGCTGTGTTCCAAGTGTGCAGGAGGTGAGTTGCACGAAGCTGCAACCAGCACAGCATTGAACTGACAGCTGCTCCAAGTCTAAGAAGCAACCCTACCTTTTGAATAGAATTCATTAACATTAGAGCAGAAATTGGTAAAAGTCAACATTCATTATCAAGCCAGCAATCAACTTTATACTGGTCCAGGATGGACCGAAACGTCGTGATCTCCTCATCTTCTGGTATGTGGTTTGGTCATCATATCTTCAGCCACGTTATTGTGACTCTTCGTCTGCTTTTATAAAGTAAAGTACTGTATGTATGTACAGTAAAGGTATGTATACATCTGTGAACACACATTATATACATATTTTTTATTTTTTTTATTTATATGTACAAGAGTTGTTACATTCTTGTATAGCTACTAGTACGCGTAGCGTTTCGGGCAAGTCCTTAATCCTGTGTTCCCTGGAATCCGACCTCCGCGAAGAATCGTTTTTACAATTAAGTACCTATTTTATTATTGAGTTAAACAGAGGTTACAGTTAAGGATTTGCGCCCAGTAAATCCTCCTAAGCCAGGATACAAACCCAGGACAAAGCGCTCACGGAACGCCAGGCGAGCGTCTTACCACTATGCCAAGGAGATATAATAACATACATACTGTATATATAATGTAATAGCATAAATATAATTAACCAAGGCAGAAATACAATGAAAATTAAATTACATGAATGTACAGTGACTTCACTTGTCAGATTTTAGGGATGCAAGGTTAATGATCAGTTACAAGACGGTGAAATAAAAGGCTTAACACTGATGCAAGAGTACAGTATGTCAAAATTAAAAAAAATTTGCTTAGGCACTTTGGAAACCTTGGGCAACAACTACCCCTCATCACAAATAGAAGTGACTGATATTACCACATTATGACTGTGAATGTATAATGTTGTATTAACAGTCTGGCTAGTGGGTAAAAAAATGGAGTGCAGAATATTAATATACAATTTATAACAGTTTATTACTAAATGGTTATATACACAAATTTTGAACTAAAGTACATACAACTATAACAACAGAATGGCATAGCTATTTAAAAGTACAACATTGCGGTGTGCCTGACTAATGATAGTTAACAAAATGAATGGGAAAAAATAATTTATGGTGACTGGAGCACGGAAGAAAGTAGTCTCAGACAGCAATTGTAGCAGTGCAAGGGTTACTGACATGCTCAAGAGTCAAAGAACAATTGTTTTGACCATAATAAGCAAGTCAGTTTTTAGAATACAATTATTGCAGTCAAAAATTAAAAAATAAAATAAATGAGTTACCTCATCTCCCACTGGCCAGTCTTTGGGTTCCTTTTCAACTTCTGCTCGTTCTATTTCATTGATTTCCCAAACTAATAATTGAATGACATCTCCAATGCCATCACCTGTAAATATAGTTACCTGGTGCATTATCAAAATATTTTTCATATTTTTGTACATTACTTCAGTGTACTGTATTTACATAAATAGTGAGCTACATAATTCTTCCTTGAATAAAGTTTTGCAAAAATAAAGAGTACAGTACTGAACATAATGCCGGTAAACATCTTACCACCTACAGTAGAGAAATTTCCATCGGGTAACTTAAAAGGCAGAGGACAAGAGCGAGCATATGACCCAATACCACGCACTAGACCCCTGTCTACACATGAACTAGTGGCCAGGTGTCGGCACTCATCAACAATACCCTCACAACTTGCATAACAGGATTCAGGGATAAGGGCTGAAACAAATATAATGAAGAATACCATTAATACATCAGTGCTGCCAAACAAAATATAAAATGCTAAAAATATGCAACAAGCATCACATACTAAATCAGAACAGTCTGGAAGGTGTGCATCTGAAATATAACTTACATACCCTTATTACAGTACTGCTTGAAGACAGTGAGTGCTTGAAACAGCTTCAAAGAAGTGAGAAGAGCTGGGGGTGGGAAGGGTGGTGGTCTGGTGGGTGGAGGAATCCATAACACCAGTTCTTCAACAAATTCTGATCCCTCGCCCCAGACTCTTTCCACATAATATGTTTCAATTCGTGTTCTGGCAGCTTTACTCAAGCGTTTCTCTCCAGATTTGCTTTGTTTGACCATTCCTTTGACTGAAAGATTATTAAAATTAATTGCATTTTGTTAAATTCTTTAAATATTTATTCCATATTTATCACTGATGTATTATTTTATTTGTACATACTGTATTTGCAAATGCATAATTCAAAGGAAAATATGTTAGAGCCACAACTTACCGAGAACTCCTGTTGTTTTTGTAAACTTCTCAACAAGTAAATTAAGTAGCTCGGAGTTAGTTTTGATAAGAGAATCAACTTTGGAACAACATACAGGACCTGTTACATCTCCAGCATCATTGGCTGGCAGGTAGTCTGTGCCAGGAAAATCTTCTCCAAATTCCATTCGTAAAGCTAGGTCTAACTTTTGCTGATTTATTTTATTTTCATCTTCTTCCTTAGCAATTGCTTCTTCAAATATATCACCAGTGATCAGCCCAAATTTTCCACTATATTGTACTGGTTTCCATGGTAAAAGTGTCCCATTTTCAGCTGATAATTTAAATTCTAACATTAAAGTATCTGCAATGCACTTAGTCACATGGGGTGCTCTTTCTCTACCTACAGTCTGAAGAATCTTGGATGCTGTCATCTGCTTTAAATAAGACAATGGAGGAACTAAAGTGTCTGGCATCATAGTTCTATACACTGTTTCACTGTCTTCCTCCTCATCCTCATCTTCATATTCATCCTCTTCTTTCTTTGGTAAAATATTTTTTAGCTTAATAAGTATTTCATTGTATGCTGCTATGACTTCAAAAATGCCAGCATCTGGCAACACTTTTGATCTTTCACTAAAATTTCCAGCTATAATTTTCAATTGAGCTTTTATCAGGCTTTCAACAGAAAAAAGTATAGTGTCTCGTTGTACTTCAACCTCGTTATGTCTCTCCACCACCCTGGCAAACTGAATTTTGCAAAATTTGTTGCGAGACTTTAAGAGTTCTCTGTACTGTTCTTCCATCTCCAGAAAATTTGCTGCATAATCTCTAAGACCCAAAATAACTTTCTTAAATGCAGCTTCATGTCTAGCCAGCACCTTTGATTTTAAACCTGAGGTTTTCATACTGCCCTTGAGCTGTGCATGTTCAGCTCTCACTCCATGGTGTATCCTCCGCAGAGCTTTTACCAGTACTCGGGTCACTTTGTGGAAGTTGGCCCACTCTGCACGGAATTTTTTACATTCTGCATTCACATCTTCCATCATCTTCACTTGGCACTTTTACTTAAACCTGAAAGACATAAACTGCACAGCACTTATACTTTGCCATATAACACCACTGTACTCCCAGAGCTTCAATCTTGAATAACCAACTCAGGTATGATATTACTCTTCCACCCCTCTATTACTGTATTCCTATTACTGATTGTTTAATATTAATTCTCATGCAGCATATCAATTATACCATCTAGTACTGTACTAAGTTTACTCTTCATATACTTTTAAGAACAAGCTTAAATGTTCTTCTTATTAATTTTATCATCTATAAATAATCTTCATATTCTAATTAATTGTAACTCACATTTGGTTATCATAAACTTTAATGTATTCCCCACTGTTAAGCATAAAATTAGGCTCCAGTATCTGCCAGTATCTTACAACTACTATATACTAATAAAATAATAACATTGTCACCATGATTGCATGGCCATATTTGCTATTTTTTAGGTTATTTTTTTAAAAACAGTATTACCCTAACCTTATTATGTAAACCTACCACTAATATCATTATCAATTTTAATCACATACTGTATATATCTATTAACCATAAGTCCAAGGTTATATTTCACTGTATAAACCCTTTCATTCCTGGAAAATTCCAGATATATTAATGACACATGTTAATAATTCTCAGTAATATCATGTGAGAGTATTTACATCTGTTTTAATATTTTACAGAAATGCTGAGCATATTCAGTGGCATTGTAAAGAAGGTAATTTCCTATTGTACACCTGCAAACTCTGAAATCTAACCAATTGCATGTTTTGTTACAACAGTGTAGCATGAAATTAAATGCCTCTTTCTGGGAGGCCCTCTGTAGCTTCCCTCAACTTATGGCACTGATGCTTATGGCACTATCTTCAGGGCCACATTCAACACACCAGGCTCCTATGACTATCTCTACTCACTGATTCTGTGAAGAAGATAATAATATTTGTGGAAACCTGCTCAACAAGGGTGAATCTAAATGGCATCTGGAATCACACCTGGGAAAAGAATTGGCTCAAACTAAGCAGGAGGATGAAACATATTCTCCAGAGAAAGAGGCCCTTTGCTTTGAGATCGTACATCATACTCCAGGATGGGTTCAATTGCAACCAAGGCCCTACCTTGGATACCACAGATGCCCTAGAGCCCTTGCACTTCACAGACAAGAGAGGAGGAACATGGTTGAACACCAGAGCCCGAAATATGGGTGCTAAGGTAAGACAGCATCAACTCAACCTATTCTCCAAAAATGAAAGAACCTAGTTATTAAGGATGGAATGTAGAAAATGTGAACCTTTGTACCCCCATAAAGTTAACATTTTGTACAGTTCATCCTCCTGTTTAGCTAGTACTTATAGTAACAATGAGGACCATCGTACATATATTGTACAAAAGGCAATTAGAAAGTAGAAATTGGTACTTATTTTTTTTTTTGGCAGGGATATTCCTACACGGGCCCTAAGCCTCTGGCTGGCCCACTAAGTGTTGCTTGTTTCTGTTTTACTTGGGCGGAGTATGAGTATTTATGACTCATATAAATCCCCTTGGGAATCTCCACAGTGCACAATTACAAACCCATTAAGATTTCAACTTAGATTCAACAGAGCAGAAGTTGTTAAATACATATGACAAAATCTTACTGAAGCGACTTACTTGAGTGTTTGCTTCAGTAAGATTTTGCCATATGTGTTTAACAACTTCTTCTGCTCTGTTGAATTAAGTTGAAATCTTAATGGGTTTGTAACTGTGCACTGTGTTAGATAATGTTCCAGTGGTCTGTCGGGCATTTCTCCACAGTGCTGACATTTCCTCTCATCTTCCGGAACCTGTAAGCCTATTTCCCATGCACTTGAGTATCCAAGCCTGATGCGATGTAAGTGTACTTCTGTTGCTCTACTGCTCCCTTTCATCAAACTAAGTAGTTCGTAGTTGGTTGAATTCTTGTACCAACCCACAGATCCTGATGTTGCAACTGCTGTGTTGTGGTCACTGTACATCTTTTGCATTGCTGTTTCTAATTATTTTCTTAATCTGTGATAGACTCTGTGGTATGTAAATGTCTACATTTCTTCTCTTAGTTGCAAGTTTTGCAGCTTTGTCTGCAATGCCATTTCCTATCATTCCCACATGACTTGGCACCCAGTTGATAAGTACCCGTCGGCCTTGTCGTTCGAGTGTTTGCATTAATGATGTGACATTTGTGATCAGATGTATGTTATCACATATGTGTTCTTGTTGCAAGGTTTCAGTGGCAGTTCTCGAATCTGTATGTATGATAACATGTTGTCAGTGTTCAGCAAGAGCATGTTTCAAAGCCTTTTGAATGGCTAGCATCTCTGTTTGTAAAGTCGAACACCCATTTGAGAGTCTCCAACTATTTACAGAGTTTCCTGCTTTAACTGCAGCTCCGGTTTCTTGTCCCTGGTGGTCTACTGATCCATCTGTGAAGGAAATGAAGCTGTCGGATGCCAAGTTTGCTTCTATATGCATCTGTGCAATGTTACGTAGCAGATGAGGATTTGTCTGGTTCTTTTTTCCTTTAAGAGCCATAATCTTAAAGTCTGCTGGTGGAGATTCCCAAGGGGATTGCATAACAAAAATTGGTACAATACTACAGTACGGTGACACCTTGATTTACGAATGCCCCTCTTTACAAACCTTTCAGAATTAATTGAAAAATTAACTCCAATTTCACCTGAGGATTGCGGATATGGTGGATACAGATATATGTCGCATTGACTTATTTGGATACAAGCCCATGTGGTGCTGTCTTATTTGCATGATCCCAAAATGATTTGAGCATGGTTAAACTCGTGGATAAGTTCATGGTTTACTTAAAATTTTTCTAACTAAATATGAAGGTAAGAAGAATAGAAGAAGATTTAGATGATAGCCAGACATGGTGAGTGAGTTTGAGTATATTTATTTATTTATTTATTTTATTTATTTATAATACTTATTGTATTTATAATAAATAATAATTATTTTTATTTATAATAATTTATTTATTTATTTATATGGCCAGGAGACTGAGAGGTCATACATTGGTGACTGTTACATTGTTGCAAAGCCCCTAATAATAATAATAATAATAATAATAATTTTTATTTAGGCAAAGGTACATACATAAAGAGATTTTACAAAGTTTGTTGGCTTTATAGATAGAGCTAGTACATACAATGCCTAAAGCCACTATTACGCAAAGCGTTTCGGGCAGGAAAAAACACTACTGACTAAAGCTTAAAACTAATGGGTAAAAAGAAAAAAATGCGTTGAGTACAAATAAAAATAGGGGTAAAAGAGGGGGGAACATTGTTGAAAAAACAGCACAAATACAATTACAAATTATTACAGAAAATTACATTAAAACAGCGTTGATTTGAAAAAAAAAAAAAAAAAAAAAAAAAAAACATACATGGGTTGACAATAGAGGGGTAAGGTAGGTTACAGGGAATTTATTAGGTATAGCTTCGTTTTTAACTTAAACATAGCTTTAACCTAACATACATAGTGTTTCAGCCAGATCCTTAGGCTGAATTTATTGTGCTAACAATAAATGAATAATAGGCATATCGTAACAGAATTTGAATTCAAAATAATTCCAGGTACTACATTATAAAGTGATAGAATAGATTATACTGATGGATGGATGTAGTTTGTAAGGATGCTTTATGTCAATATCTGTGCCCAACAGGCAAAAGTCTCAGAATATTTTCCAGCAGTCCCTAGTGGAAAAGGAGCCAGATGTCCAACCAGCTTTGTGGCTTATGCAGGAATTCCACACTCCTTAGATTAGGGAAAGAAATGCACATTTTCAAATGAGTTTGTTTTAGTTCTGTCATGAGAAGTGCTGTGAATTTGTCAATATGGTTCACTTTCCAAAAACTAGCATGTCATGCTACTGCCATGCACAGCAACAGTTTATAAACAATAATGATCCCTCTTTGGCTATATATAGGATAATTCAATTCAAAATATTATATATGAATACGGTAAAATATTTATAGAATTCGACATGTGAAATACAACAACATAAGGGAAAATTTCCACATCTCTAATTTCCCTTTCCAACTAATCAAGATATTTTTGAATTTATGGTTGAGTTTCCATAAGTTAAATTACCTAGATTAGGTTAGGAGTAAATTAAAATGTGGTAATTTGTAAAAACTGGGTAAAATAAGCTAAGGATTTTCTGTGCTAATATTTCAATCTCAACCCAAGAACATGAATTACACAATGACAGCTATTACCCAACACCTAAACTAAAACATCACTTATATAAACAAAATGTATCAATCTTACCTCTAGTTGCTAGGATACTTCAGTAAAAGTAATGGAGCAGTTTGTGGACTGGTGCTGGCAAATGTATGTCACCAGCGCTCTCGGGAAGCTGGCATCACAACTGTCAAGGTTTTGTGCGTTATTTGCGTTTTTCATCGTGAAATTCACGGACATGTTGGCAGTAGTACTCTTAAAATTGCCAACACTTCCATATCTGTAAAAAATAATGAACCCTACCGTTACATTTCCAATATAAATATTTGGTCACATCCCTGAGCACACGAAAGGCGGCCAATGTTGTTTATGTTGACAGACCCCCGGTCGTCATGGCAACGCTTCTTTCCTTTGACTATACCATTCACAATTCAACAATAATAACAATATTTTATTTACGCAAGAGTACATTTTTTTATTAACAAGCTTAGGTATGCACAGCAATGTGCTGCTACCCTATACTATATGAAAGAATACACAGCGTAGATAAAAAACAAGCTATAAAATCATATATCCCCATTTAAAATAAAATAAAAAAAATAAAATGTTTATTTAGGTAAGGTACATACATACAAGAAATTTTTACAAAGATTGGTTGACTTATAGGTAGAGCTAGTACATACAATGCCTAAAGCCACTATTACGCAAAGCGTTTCGGGCATGAAAAACTTAAATGACAAGCTTAATACTAATTGAGCATAATGAGTAGAATGAAAACAAGAAATGAAAACATAGCTGAAAAAGCAGCACAAATACAATTATGTCGACAAACAGCGCTCTTTAAAAAAAAACAGACATTGGTTGACAATAGAAGGGTAAGGTAGGTTACAGGGAATTTATTAGGTATAGCTTCGTTTTTATCTTAAATTGGTTGAGAGAGGTACAGTCTTTAACATGGTTGGGAAGGTCATTCCACATTCTGGGCCCCTTGATTTGTAGAGCATTTCTAGTTTGATTAAGTTGTACTCTAGGAATATCAAAACTGTATTTATTTCTGGTGTAGTGCTCATGGGTTCTGTTACAACCTTCAACATACAACCTACAATAATCTCACAGGATTATTAGTCATACATGAAATTAGGAAAGAAAATACCTGCCTCAATACAAAAAATAGATTAAATTTGACTAAATAATAACTATATGATTTTCATTAGAGCTAAGCACTGTATCATGGACATATTATATTATAATTATTTTAACCAGTTTCCACAAGATTCCTCTCGAATCAAGTTCTTTTTTTTAACAATCTCAGGTATACACAGCAATTAATAATATGCTGCTACCCTATTATACATGAAAGATTACACAGTGTAGATAAAAAAACGGCTACAAACTCATCCAACATCCCCACCACACAGGACGTATGACCTCACAGACCAGTCATACATGGAGTCAGGAGAGAACATTAAATTTAAGGCTGATCTATTCGCCTCCACTAGCAAAATCTGGGTACAGCATAAGAATATCTTCCAATATTCTTGAGTGTATGAAGTAATTACAGAGCTCAAAGTACCTCATACTATTTGGTCTGAAGTCACTGATAACAGGGTGATCACAGATATAGTGTTGGAGAGTACAGTATGTCCCAGCTCTTGTTCACACAGTTTACAATAGGAATGTCCCCCACAGTTGGGAGATTCATTACCTGCAGTCACCTGCCACAGATATCGATATCCCAGCTTAATTCTGGCAATTACAATGTCACACTGTCTAGTGGATGTTTTATGCTGCCCGTACATATAATTCTCGGTTCTAAACATGTCATAGCTCTTTACTCTCGTGCTTTCTGACTTTTGTGTGTCAGTAACTGCTCTTCTGTCTTCCCTAATTTCCTGAAATATTGCGGCTTTTGCTGCAGAGATTGGAATACCCATATCCAACTCATTTCAGGTTTATCACATGCAGTTTTAGCTGCCTTGTCTGTGTCATCATGCTGGACAATACCTATGTGAGATGGTATCCATACAAATGAGACTTTGAAACTCTTGCTCTTAGCATTAAAAATTTTGTTTATAATGGATGTTACAGCATTCCTAGTATCTATTTTGCATGTCGGGATTTTAAAGGCCTGAAGAGCTGACTTTGAATCACAGAAAAATACTCCTCCATTGTTCTTCAGTGCGTTAATGGCAAGATTATATGTCATACATGGAATCAAGAGAGAAACCTTTTTTGGCTATATGCTGTAAGTGAATATGTACTGAAGCTCACTCTCTTGTTCGTGGACAAGCTTAGGAACTTTCCAACACTTTTATTATCAATGTTTACATTGTCTATCTGAAAGTCCATATTCGGTTAGTTGATTTGTTTTCAAATAAAATGTTTAGGCCTTTTCTGTTTGGTGTGAGCCGTCTAACGTGCGAACAATGAGTGCTTGTGAAGGACACAAATTTGTGCATTTTCATCACAAACACAAATAATAAGAAAAACTCAATGACAATGTAAAAATAAAATAACAAAATTGCCAACTATGCCCCGTTTTCCCGCAGGGACCGGGAACTGGAAAGTTACTATTCAGATACTGTAGTTACTATTCAGATACTGTGTGTGAGCGGGAGGCACTGTGCCAGTATTGTGTACCGGCCTCTTCATGAAGTATCGGGATGCGGAGGGCACAGTGCTCCTTGTGCACCTACAGCTCAAGGCTCACTTTCCCCTGCATGTGCTGGCCGCGTAGACATCGCCACCATTTTGAGAAAATGGTTGTCAATAGCCTTATTGACAAGTTTATTTATTTATTTATTTATTTATATATTTACAAGAAGGTATAATGAGTTTATGAGAGTGCATGAGTACATAGCATTGATGTTTTTATATTTTTGTAAAGCCACTAACACGCATAGCGTTTCGGACAGGTCCTTAATCTAAAAGGTAATTATAAGTAGGTAATTTGTAGCAAATTGAAAAAAGTTAACAAGTACATTGTAAGAAAATTTGAAGTATTTTAAACCCCTATGGCAATCAGATCTATGTTACATCAGCTGTGTTCAGAGTGGTTATGATCTAGTGTGGGAGGGTAGAAATAGCCTAAGCTACTCTATCCCTTTGAGATGTATTTCTTTCTTGTCTCAATAAACATACTAGAACTTGAATGATCTAGTGTAGTCCTTGAATTTATAGATGAAAAATGCCGAGTGTTCATATATTTATAACTTCATGGTATAATTAGTTAATATTAGTCATCCGTCAAACTCTTATCATTCTAATTTTAAGTTATATGTTTTCCTAATATAATTCTCGCGCCGCTCTAATTGTAAACTTTTCTTGACGGCTGTACACTGTTAACTTCAGCCACAGCTGCGATATATCACTGACAAATAAAGGTTCTTAAACTAAATCTAAGTCTAGATTATACAGTATATAATTATAGTGACTGCGTGTTAGACGATTATTACGACTTTCTCTTATGTAAATATATTGGAATTTTGTGTACACCAACTCGATTATAAATGTATGGCAGTTTACGAATAAAGTTTTTTATTTTATTTGGTTGTAGCTACTCTAATGTTCTTAGCCAAATGTGAACAGCAGGAGGGACGGAAGAAGGAAGTACGGGAAGGAGGAAGAGGGAGAAAGGCAGGACGGGAGGTGTAGGGAGGACGAAATGGGAAGGGAGGAGAAGGGATGTGTGGGATGAGAAGGTGGAGAAAAACTGGAGGGGTAGGAGGAATAGAGGAGAGATCTGTGCTGAGGGAGAAGGGAGGAACTATGCCTCTTACTTTAATTACTATGAGAGGAGCAGCAACAAAAGAAGTGAAAGAGAGGGGGTGGGGGAGAATGGAAGGAGGGAGAGAGAGAGAGAAGGGGGAGGAGAAAGAATGGAGGGAAAGAGAGGGGGGAGAGGAGGAAGGGAGAGAGAAAAGGGGGAGAAAGGAGGGAGGGAGGGAGGGAGGGAGCGAGAGGCATTAGGTGAAAGTAAACGTGCCCAATCAGTTCTGTCCCGCCCGGTAATCGAACTATGTATTTGGTCTAGAACGAAGCCAATTGTACTATGAGACTGCCTGACACTGACGCATGACGACTATCTCTGGTCATAAACATTTACCAGGAAGTCAGTCTGATGTGAGATGTTTGTAGCACGCTTGTTAACAATAAAAACAAATGTTTTCTAAATATAGGCAACACAAATTGTTTAACCATTAAATGTTAATTTACAATATATTAACGCACTACCCAAGCAGGATATTAACACTGGGATGACGATCAAGTATTGGTATGTAATTGTGCCTCCTTCCTCGTTGTGAGACGCAGTATTAGGCAATCTTGGGCTTTATGGCTATGTGCACTCTAGGGTTGCTGAGTGCCGCAGTGTCATCTCCAACTCTCTGCAGACGGCATTCTTCTGCTTGGGAGAGGACAGAGCGTGTAGTGGAAAAGGAGAGGGGAGAGAGAGAGTGGAGATGAGCGGGACAGAGGAGAGGTTGTATGAGATTGGGAAGGGAGAGAGAGAGAGTGGAGATGAGCGGGACAGAGGAGAGGTTGTATGAAATTGGGAAGGGAGAGAGAGAGAGAGAGAGTGGAGATAGAGAGAGAGACAGAGAGAGGAGAGGAAGAGGGAGAGGGGTGCAGTGGGAGGAGCGCATGCGCGGGGTGGCAGCAGTTCCCGCCCAGTGGCCGGGAAGCGGACTGTGTGCTTCGCGGTGTGTGTGTGTGCGCGAAAGTCAGTATTCCGTGCTGGGTGCTCACCAGTGTGCTTCACTGGCCTGCTTCTGAGGGGGATATTTAACCGGACTGACAGTGCTAAGGTAAGATACGGCTTCTATTGTTGGAGGGGCTCCGTAACCCCCGTGGTGGTGCCAAATGCTCACTCGGGCTTACTTTAGTAGAAATGTTCGCAAGTGCGCGTTTGTTTTGAAAGCGCGGGAACAGAGCTCCATCGATCGTCTGCTGGAAAACGCGCCAAAACGTACACGTTCTACCGTAGCTCATCTAACAATGTTGTCATTTATTTGCCTCACATGTAAACACGATCACGGGCGTAGGTTATGAGGGCAGGGAGCTGGGATATGAGGACATGAAGCTGGGATATGAGGATATGGAGCTGTAGAAGATGCAGGCTCTCACCTATTATCCCGGGAATGCTGTAGTCGCTGATGCACTCGTTGGCCTTATGTGAACTTGGAAGTATTGAGGGTGAAGAGCGAGGGCTGTGACCTGAGCGGCGGAGGTCTCTCATCCTGGTGTATTTCAATACGCATCATTATTCAAAGGAGGTTACACCGGGAACGTGTGCTTTATACGCTCTCTAAGGTGTACTCATCTCTGTTAAGAAATGCCACATTTATTATTATTTATTTACTCATCTTGGCAATGTGAATACAGCG